ACGACTACAGAAACTACTACTACCACTACTACGACCACGACTACAGAAACTACTACTACCACTACTACGACCACGACTACAGAAACCACTACTACCACTACTACGACCACGACTACAGAAACTACTACTACCTCTACTACGACCACGACTACACAAACCACTACTACCACTACTACGACCACGACTACACAAACCACTACTACCACTACTACGACCACGACTACACAAACCACTACTACCACTACTACGACCACGACAACACAAACCACTACTACCACTACTACGGCTATTAGTAAGTCAACTGTATTTTGTAGATATATCATTTTCAGAGGCAAGTGCGTCTTTGCAGTAGTTGTTTTCATTTTGCATTGCACAGTAGTGCAATCGTCGGTAGATCAGATCGTTCGAAGAACTGATCGAACAGCTAAGAATGTGGGGTGACAGACCATGTTTTTCTCTTGTTATAATTAAAATGTACTTCTGTCTAACAAGCCAATGTTCCATATGTCGAATAAAGAAAACATTTTTAAGACTGCTCGCTAAGAGTTCACGTGGTGGTCGCTTTCTTTTGCGTCTTCTCAGCCAACGATCTGGGCTGGTCAATTTACATTCTTTTTTGTCTTATATTCTATCGATGCATACACACACGCCCTAACTCCTATTTTTTTGTACTTGATAGTATGCAACAGCATGTACCTCGCATCGCTCACGTTTTCCATTGGCAGATCTCCGTACTCAGTTGCGGTCGCGGATGTTAATAATGATGCGAAACCTGATGTAGTAACGGCAAATTACGGTGCAAATACAGTTAGTGTTCTTCTCAATACAGGTAATGGCTCATTTTCTTCTCAAACTACCTATGCAACTGACCGTGGTCCAGGGTCAGTCGCGGTCGCTGATGTCAACAATGATGGGAAGCCTGATATAGTTACGGCAAATTTAGGTGGAAGCACAGTTAGCGTTTTGCTGAATACAGGTACTGGCACATTTTCTTCTCAAACTATCTATGGAACTGGCAGAACTCCATACTCAGTTGCAGTCGTGGATGTTAATAATGATGCGAAACCTGATATAGTAACGGCAAATTACGGTGAAAATACAGTTAGTGTTCTTCTCAATACAGGTACCGGCACATTTCCTTCTCAAACTACCTATGCAACTGACCGTGGTGTACAGTCAGCCACAGTCGCTGATGTCAACAATGATGCGAAACCTGATATAGTGACGGCAAATCAGGTTGTAGATACAGTTAGTGTTTTGCTGAATACAGGTACTGGCACATTTTCTTCTCAATCTAACTATACAACTCAACGTGGTCCAGGGTCAGTCGCGGTCGCTGATGTCAACAATGATGGGAAACCTGATATAGTAACGGCAAATGACCTTGCAAATACAGTTAGTGTTCTTCTCAATACAGGTACTGGCACATTTTCTTCTCAATCTAACTATACAACTGGCAGAACTCCATACTCAGTTGCGGTCGTGGATGTTAATAATGATTCGAAACCTGATATAGTTACGGCAAATTACGGTGAAAGTACAGTTAGTGTTCTTCTCAATACAGGTACTGGCACATTTCCTTCTCAAACTACCTATGCAACTGGCAGCTATCCACAGTCGGTTGTGGTTGCTGATGTTAATAATGATGCGAAACCTGATATAGTTACGGCAAATAACGGTCCAAGTACAGTTGGAGTTTTGCTTCATTGCTAAAACGTAAGAAGGAATCATGCGTTTATCGTCAGAGTAACATGCTTTATCTTGATTCAATAGTGGTTTTTAGCATCATTTATATTCTTGCATTTGTTTTTCAATTCTTCTTTGAACTATTAACCACATACTGAAGCTTTTATTTGAATAAAATGTTGAACATAATAATATCAGTTGATTTTCGAAAGAGTTATAAGAATAGGTAGGGCGCCACTTTTTGAATGAGATCTGTACCTCATGCTGTTTGGGTGAGATGAGCTACCATGACGTGTTTCGTCTTTTGCTCGAAAAAAGTCATCAGATGGCTCGATATTTAGCAAGATTCTGTTCAAAATAATCATTTTCAAAAGAAGAAAAGCATCTTGTGGGTGTGGGTGAATGTGAACTGCCGTAATGGATTTCGAGCCTGTTAGAGTTCATTTTCAAATGGCTTAAACGCTAAATCTTGATCGTTATCATTATTTCAATGTGAAAAGACATGAAAATAACAATAAATGATCAAAAGCAATCGTAATGTTTAGACAGTTTTCAAACATTGTGTACTCGCTTTATAGTTGTTGTCAAGGGGGAAAGGCAGAGTTGAAATAGGAAAGTAGTTCAAAGTATTATGAAGTAACTCAAAGCAAGTTGGAGTAGCTTAAAGTAATGTGAAGTGGCCGCAAGTACTTTCAAAGTACAAGAAAGTGCTTTGAAACGCTTTTTATAATTTAGAGCTTAGTGGAACAGAATGAAATAAAGTTAGAAAAATGTAAAGAACTTGCTTTCTTTATTAATAAAAGTAACAACTGTTGAGAATAAAGAAAGCATAAGCAAGAAATTCACTAATTGCTATTAGATGTTTGCTGCATGACACGAGATAAACGATCGCTCGATAATTTCTTTATTTGATTCAATTGCAACCAGCACGCCGACTACGTGTGCATATATTTACTGCTATCTTTTATTTTAATTTTGAAATATGAATGTCTTAAAGTTGGATTCATATTATCATCAATCCTCATTCCTTTGAAATAAGATTTCGTTGAGTTTAATATACCTTCCTCCTCCTCATCACCACCCTCATCGACAGCATTTTGAGAATCTTACAAGGATTCATCAGCACGTTCGTCTGACGGGTAATCAGCAATATCATTGACGTCATTTTCCTCGTCTAACCTAAACTCCTCATCCACGTCATTCTCGATTCGAAAAGACCAATTGATCATTTTTGAGTTTTTGTTTAACATATTAAATGTGTAACTGCTAACATTATCTAGACAATTTATATTGTGATGGTTTAGGATATCTAAAATATTTTAATTTCTAACGAGATGTACTGTCTGTTCATAGGCGGCTGATATCAACTATTGAATATCTAACGTATCAATTCCATCTAAATCATATGATGGTGTGTTTGAATATTCATGTTTCTGTACACTGAAAACAAAAAAGGTTTTATACGAAACCAAAAAAGGATTCGGCACTTTGCAACGAATTCGAAATCTACTTTTGGTTTCGTATGAAACCCTTCTCCGATACGATACCGAGCTGTTCCAATGACTGTGCTCCGCTGTTTACTACAAACAAAGCAGATTTAAATGCGACAGGCCATTCGTTGTACAGTTTACTGTTCACTATACAAGTCGCAAAAAAGTATAATGTTCAAACAATCTTTGTCTTAAGCCGATGCGAGAATACACTACAAATATAAAAGAATCATATTAATTCAGACCAAACAATTACACAACACTCAACTTTTACTTCAGAATTTTTTGAATGCAAAATTCAGGAATCAAATGGCTGCGAGTGGCGGCAGGTCAATGAAATTATCCATTTGAAAAACTAAATACACTAGAAGAGAACTGGTTCATATCAGAAACACTCACCTATGGATCTACGATGTTGATCGGTCTTTAAATCAAAAAGGAAATCATTAGTTTATAACAAAAGATTTCACTTACAGTTATGCTGATTTCGCAGAATAAATTCTAAAGATAAATGGAAATAAATGAATAGTTTCAAAATGAAATAATAACATACCTACGAGCTCGTTTATGTATTCAATCTAAATATAACATTATAGCAACAATACGATAAATTTCTTCAATCATTTTCGTAACTCACCATTCAGGTTGTTCGTTTATTGCTGCATGCGTGAAACAAGTTATATTGCGCATTTCGATGTATCCCTATTTATCTCGTTCTAAACGTAGTCAAAGAATATAGTTGATCAGTTTCAAATCTGAAAACTACTTTATGCGATTATTCCTATACGTTAACTGAGGAATGAAGGAAGCAATACATTTTGTTTTGTGTTGAAATAATTACGTCTGATAACTTATCCACCTTTCTGCTCAATCTAAACATACTTTTGAACGAAAAAATGATATCAGTATATTGTCGAAAAACGCTTACCTATCACATGAATGTTTTGATTAATCGTGACGCAAACAGATAACGAAGCTTTTCAGGAAAATCATAAGTTAGCAGTAGAACTCTTCGTTTCATTCAACCTAGATGCACAGAAATATCGGATTAATAATATAAATACGAAGGTAACTTACCTCGAATGAAGTAACTTGTCGTAACTGTCTTGATATTACCAAATTGAATTGATCGGTTTTGGAATCTTTTTTTAAATGTGAATCGATTCGTTTGATGAGCTGAAATATAAGATTATGTAGATTCCTGAAAAAAAAAACAACTTCATTGCTGAGTTGACCACTGAGTTGGTGATCTGACAGCTTACTACACAATGCATAATTTAATGTTCAAATAAATTCGAAATACTCATGAAGAGTTATGTTTTATAGATTATCTTATGATGTCACTCTTTTTTATTTCGGAAGAAAAGGATTAATAAAGAGAAGCTGTGTCGAAACATCTTCTACTTGAATTTGATAAACATCGTATACGAATTTTCCAGTTAAAAAATGTGCGCGTCGAGAAATGTAGAAAAGAGGGTGTCGAAAAGACTTCTAATTAACTAACTCTTTTGACTCGAGAACGTTTTAAACGCGAAGCAATCGATTTGTCGGGGCTAGCAGGACGTTTGTGTACTGCAGAAGTGTTTTTCTTCGAGCTAGAAGACGATCGATTCGTTGAGTTCGACGATGTTCGTCGTTTTGTATTCGTGTTACACGTTGCTCTTTCTTTCAGAAGTGGTAAAGCTGATCTTGTCAATTGTTTTTCTGCTGTTGGAAGAACATCATTTGAATGTGGGCAATCAGTTGACGGATATGATGTTGTGATTTGTTGCTCATTCGTTGACGATTGGCAAATGACAAACGAAGAATCAGTTGGTGATGATGGAGAGGAATCTGATGGATATTCTTTCATAAGATCTGCTTCATCCATCTGTACTGATACTGTGATTAAACTCTGACTGTTACCTGGTAATAAAATAAAATCGATCATATTAGATATAAAATCAGAACAAACCTGCTCCAAGTTGATCACCTCCCTGTTTTTCTCCATCCCGCAAGTGAGCAGCTTGTCCATCGTCATCTTGAGCAAAGTTTTCTGCTGTTTTTCGCATGATTTCCTCGTTTGCAGATGCTCCCAGCAAATGAGAATCTCGTTTTCGTCTTTTCTCGATGACAAAATTCCATTGATTCAGTAAAAGACGTAACGGTTTCGATAACGATCCAGGTTCTTGCAACAAGATTCCATACAGCGCGATAAGAATACACACAGCTTGATTTATTGAGGATGTTTCAGTAACGACTTCATAGTCAAGAAGCATAATAAACTTATCCGCAGTTATTTGTATATATGGACGAGGAGACAACGGTTCCTGAAGTTGAAAGAAACAATAAGATGTAGAAGTTGCTCTTCTTATGTTTAGAGAAAAGAACTGTAGCCATGCAGTGTGAATGTTTTGTTGCTCACTTTGCTCGATAAGATCTGTTGCCAGGAGTCTCGAAAATGTTTGGACAAAATTTTTATCAAACGAACAGGTGGGAGATCTAAAGAATAAATAGAAAATACGGAAGACATGATATGAGTCCCCTTAGTGGTCACTTACCATTGACAAAGCCGATGTTATCTGGAACGAGATCAAGTAAGTTTGGTAACATAGCTTCACAATTCTGTTCGATATCAACGTTACATACATATTGAATCTCGTCGAAGATCTTGAAAAAAATTGATTTATGAAAAGCATCCGCAAGTATTAAATAAGATGTTCATCGGAATTGGAATGCAAAAATAACTTACTAACGAAGCATAACGATAACCCGGAAATTCAGCAAGAACTTCTTTCGTTGTATGATCTCGTATGAAGGTTCTTCTCTGAACCAATATTTTTTTCCATGGAATTTTCGCTTCATCCAAGTCCATATTTGGATTGACCAAGATATTTTTCATAAATTCGATGTCGGCACTTGAATCTGCATTGCCATCGTCTACATCTATTCTGTTCCAAAACTCAGCCGATGACTGCAATCGAAATATTAAACAAAATATAATTTAAATTCTTTGAACACTTACTATCCGACGAGGCGCAATGACATTGTTATCTCTCTTGACTGGACGACCAAGACTGTGACCGTACTTGATCTTCATGTTTTGGACTTCCGATGATACTTGTTGAAGTGGACGACGTTCCTGTTTGAACTTGTTCTTGAGACTTTCGATCCATTCGCCCTACACAACGCAATACATAGATGTTCGGTTCGAAAAGGCGCAAAAAATATCTGAAAGTCGTTATTTTGAACTTAACAATATAAAATTTTTGAAATTCATATCGACTTGAATGCTCAATCGTCTACTTTTGAAAGTGAAAAATTATCTCTAACAGTTCGAAACATGAAATTACTAATGCTTCATTGGTTTTTGGAATGTTTAACAGTTTCAGTATAGCTTTACCCATGGCTTTGTAGTGGTCTCTGTTAGGATATCTACAATATGAAACGCAAATGATTTAATACCGACTGTAATCAGACTTTATCACTTACAACGTGAAGTATTTGGTTGTCACATCGTTAAAAATAGTGTCGAGTAGAAGTCGGCGTGCGTTTGTGTGACTGCGAAATTCATTTATTTCATCTTTAGCAACTATTTGCTGGATTTTATTCGGTAAATCCGGTATAACATAAATATTTGGAAACGATGGCTGTTCATCGTCGATGTTGTTTTCGTCAATCATATCGTTATTCTTCGAACAATCGACCACTGGATCAATTTCTTCGCAATCGTTTGAAAATCCAACATTCGATTGTGCTCCCACTCGATTAGAATTAAGTTGTTCAAATGATGATTGTAGGTTATCGTTCGATGGATGAATACATGTATCAGTGGTCGAATGAAATAAATTACGATGTTCGACTAAGAAGCGTACACGTTCTTTCATAGGCTTGATTAAATCATTCACCATAAATTGTGGTAAATTAGACAGCGCCTCACCATCGATGTCTTCTTCTAAAAGCAAATAAATCGTAGCAACAGACGTGTATTAAAAGAGAAGAACAATACGAAAAGGTTCAAATGTCCGAAATATGAATCCAAGATACTATGAAAAGTTTATCCGTAATATGTGATTCAGATCAGTGCATCTTTTTCAACAAGTTGTTTTTCTTTGGTGAGACGAGGCATAATATTAACGTATGACTTCCTGTCGATCTCATATATGTCAAATCCTTTCGGCGATACTTGAATCAGTTCACGCGGTTCCTTAACAGAAAATCGATGTGTGTGTTCAATTTCATACGTCCATAACGATTCTTTGAATGCAACTGTCTGTAAATATTCTACTACTAACAACCAAACGTTGTCGACATTGAATATAAATATTAAATGAAGAAAATATGGTACTTCTTCTTCGTGTATCAGATCACAGACAAATACAGATCCTTTAATAATATTGACAAGCTTGAATCTCAATAGTTCGAATTCCGTAATATTTGCCGCACGATCCAAATGTTCAACGTATTTTGATAATAATGTACGAATTGAAATCGGGAACGTATTTATTTCTCGTTGGAATGATGAATAACCTCTATTAAATATTGTATAATAATTCGTATAAGATAAGAGGAAACATTGGTGTAATTGGTTACGTTTGGATAAAGTGTAAAGTATATTTTTGAAATTTTTCGACTTGACCGCAAGTTGTTTGAACACTTGGTGTTTCGACTCAAAACGCATACACCAATGTCGAATGGCAGGACCGTTCCTTTCGATCTGTCTAGCGTAATGTGTGATAAAATGTACTTTAGGTGTAACGAGATTAGGCAATAAGTGGGCCATTAAACATTGAAAACGAACGTTTAATGATTGTAAATACGACAACCATGATTATCGGAATGGGCATGTAAACACAAAGCTTATGATTTCGCGTAAGCAAATATAGGCTTCTTTTGTTTGTAATTGGCCAATTATGTTAAAGAAAATGATAGGAAATAATCTAAACAATAACATCTTTTGTGATGCGGTGCCAACGATCTTTCCCTTCGCGAAATGTTTCTTTCGTAAAACTGGTGGTTTATTTTATTTGTCATTAGGACCGTATTCGAATGTAGATAATCGACTTTCAATTTCAGCATAGGTCATCAGCTTCTTTCCTGAGATTTCTTTGAACATTGCCATCAGCAGCTGACCACATACACCTGTAAAAAATAATTTCTACTTTAAGAATCACAATTTAATTGACATACCTTCGTTGAAATCGTGCATCGGATCATTTGGAATTGACATTGCAGCGTGAAAACCGATCAAGTCTGCTAATGGGCTTGAATCAACAACGCCATGCAAGACGCCATGGTTATCCGAAGTAATAATCTGTTGAACAAAACCATCATGTTCATTTCTCGTCCGATAAGAATAAGAACTTTGACTCAAAGGAATCAGCTTTTGTTCATGGTCTATATGACAGTGTCTACAAAACTCTCCAGTATTGAAAATTTTTTGAAAACCGCCAAAATCATGGGAAGCCAAATGGTCTCCAACTAATACTGTGAATGCGAAATTCAGACGATCTCCAGGAGTTGGAATGAAAACACCTGTTGTTTGTATAGCATTGAGTTCGTCCACTATTGGATTGAAAAACTGTTTTCTATTGGAATTGTTGGATAAATAATTCGAATGACACATTGCAACAAGTCATATGGAATTCAGCGTTGACTTAATTTGGTCGGGCAAATCTTCTAACTGGAAATAAACCATTGTTATTTTTTGAGTGTCCTTTTTCGCCCCAATTGGATTTGTTAACCCTATTTCATCAATGTATAGTTGAAATAACAATGAATCAGGTTTATTTTTCAAAACTGGGTGTATTTTTGCATGTGATGCATGCCGATAATTGAACATAAGATTAGTGTCAGCCACATTTCGGTTGATATTCTCATTAAAATGTGTCGTTGATGCAGTTAAAACGTCAGGCTTATTCAACATTTGCTGAATACTAGACTGGATTGGTATATAGTATGCTACTTGTTGTAAGTTGTTTAACTTTATCTCTTTAGGTGGCATGTATGAAAAGTATTTTGAACAGAGTTTCAAAAAGCTATGTTCATTCCTTGTAATTTCTTCAATTCTTTCTATTCATTTGTTCGCAAAAACCATTCGATATACGTGTGGACGTAGAATATAGCAAAATCGATGAAAAACAACTATAGTATGTGAACTAAACGGATCGTAACGAACGAAACTATAACAGTGAACAATGAAAAATGTTAGAAACTGATCAAACGTCCTTTCTGTATAGCTTATATAATGCTTGTGATAACGTCGTTTAGATCACTCAGTAAGATAGGGTCATCTGTGTTATAACTAATAATTTCATTCGCGCGTTTCATCAGTGACCTTCTGATTTTCATTTTCAATAATTCATGCATAAGTTCAATCAACGACTTAAATCCGAATGTGATTCTGTGAATGACGTTTTGAGGTAAAGAATGACCTTCTCGAAGATTGAGCAAAAAATCAATGTAACACTTTTCGAACGAGTCTATATTGATCTTCTTCTCTCTTGATTGATTTGAGATTTCCTTTAATAGGGGCCAGTCTATAGCATCATCTTCATCTATTCCTTGTTCAAAGTTAGCTGGTTCTTCGCCATCATTATATCGCTCATTGTCAGAATCTGAATTTTCACGGTCAGTTGCTGTCAACAATGTTTCATCGGCATTCAGTTTCGCGGAACATTGCGTTGTTTGCTCAAATGAATTTTCACTGATAAGATCTTTGTGCTCTCTATATATGTGGCTCTTGTAACCGGCAAAAGTGGAATATACTCTTCCACATAGCGAACTCAGCTCACAACGAATTCTAAAGTTTGACTGTCCGTTATGAACATACTGTATGTGTCTAAATAACTCGCGAAAGACGCTGTACACTTTCTTTTCGGCGTATAGCGAACAATAATAACGATTACACGAAGATAACATGGTCACTTACTAATAAAAACATCAAGAATTTCTTGATTTTTAGTGAAGGAAGATAACCATTGAATTACTTGAGAACAGGACCAGTGTCGAGGTTGCATCACATAATAAAATAGACTTGAAAATATCAAACTTCGTGAGGTAATCAAATCTAAGACAGTGCAGTAGTTGACGACTAGAGCATAAACAAAAACCGTTATATGACAGCATGAAACAGATTTCTTACGAGACAAATGTTGAGAGGAATTCCGAAGTTTTTTTTTCTATTCTGAACGGTTAAAATTCGAACAAAATGAGATTTTAGACCGAGTTATGAGCGATCTGTGCAGACTAAATTGGAAACAAAGAGAAAGTACTTAATTTGCCAGATAGTTTCTTTGATTTCTTCTAAGTTATTTTACCTGGAAACATTACGATATAATGTGTGTTCAAATAAATTACGGGATGACGTGTACGATCTACAACGATCTGCAACAGAAGAATTGATTAGATCTCGTAAATAAGAGATTATATGGACACAGCGAGAGAATATTTCTGATGTTCGATAATCAATGGGCTCCAACTTGTTACTGTACTCCCGATCCAGAGAAAACCAATCGGTGGATCATATGTATATAGTGTCGGGCGAGAATATAATTGGTGTCTATTCGAGCTAGTCATATTTTGGGTAAAAATGCAGTCGTCTCTTTCAATCCAATCAAGTTATACTTTAATTACAGAAGTAAATTAAATTAAAATTCTTCAATTGAAAGCATGAGCCATTTTGTAACGGAACCTTACTTGATATTTATCGCCTGCTGATTTTTCGTGGAACACTCATTAAATGGACATGCTGTAAAGGGTGTTATACGAAACCTTTTCCAAATACTGAAAATGTCAGCGGCATTGTACGAAACCCTTTTAGAATATACAAAATGTCTGAGGTTTATACGACACTTTTGAGGGTGTCATACGAAACCACACTGAGTTGTTTTTTTCAGCCATGGCACCATACGAAACCTTTTTAACTTGAAACAAATACAAAGCAGTTTATACGAAACCCTTTCGTACTCAAGCATTTACACAGGTTTATTCTACGAAACCTCTTTCAATCAAAAAAAAATGTGAAGCTTGATGCTAAACCCTTTTCGTTTCGTTTTTTTCAGAAGTATCTTTTACGAAACTTTCCTGACTGCGATATTTTATAGTTGGTTCTATGCGAAACCTTTTCTCATTTCCTCATTGATAATGAGCGGGGCACGAAACTATTTTAGGCTTTAACAGTATGAGAATGATTTGGAACGAAATCATCCTTGGAGTATAGAAGTTAAAAAGGGTTCATAAAACACCTTGAATGGCACTAAACTTTTTCTAGATTTCGTGCGATTGCGCGATAACATTTGGAATAGATTAAGTTTTGACGAAACCCAAAAGATTTCGCCAAAAACCTTTTTTGTTTTCAGTGTACTTCTTTCTGATAGTTGGCCTGGACAGACATATGGAAAAGGCATTTATGAATCAATTAAAAGACTTAAGCGACTAGAAATTCCATGGAAAACAACTTCTACCATTCAGCCGCTGGACGTCTTCTTTAATAGACAACGGAAAGTGATCGTTCGTAGGGTTCACGAGCGTGTTCTTCTTGACGAAATAAATATTCACCTTGCACAAAGAAATAATATAATTCGCTTACAATCGATTATTCGTAATCAACTTTCCTCTCCAGTTTTTTGTTTCTATGATACGATATGCATGGTTCAGAAGTTAATACACTGATGTTGATCCTCGACCATTTCAATCAGTTACACAAGTATGCTTCACATTCGAACAAGATTACTGTGACGTACATTCGATGTAGTCACTGTAGCAAAATATTTTGTTTTCAGGACTTCTTCGTTAATTTTCATATCCATGATATCTGAATAATCAAAATCGGTGTTCCGTTTTCCTTGTTATTCCATTATGCTTGTTTTTCTTGCCATAGTAATCACGCATAGATTCAAGAGAAGTTTATATTCAAAAATGTTGAAAAAAATACAAGAAAAGACCAAACTTTACTTTTCAACAGCAAATAATTAATTAATTCCAGCAGAATCCGTAGCATTTTTCAAACCAGATTTTCTAATTAGTTGGTAAAGTAAAATCGCGAGACTGGGATCATCTCGATTTGAAAGAAAAACGAGCCAGATCCATGTCTGATAATGTAAATAAAAGGTTTTTAAACTACACTCATTTTCTCATATAGAAAATTTGAATTTTCGGTAAAACTGTAAATACCGCTTTGTAACTTGAAAAATTGATAACGTTTGCTAAAAGCAACTTGCGCACAAACCAACTTAGGATATATCATACCTAGGTATGCCCTACCTACCCATCACACTCCGAGTCATAAAGCTTTTTGATACCTCGGGTGTTTCCCTCGTAAGTGTGTTTTTTAAAATAACAAAGACTATTCTCTGAATGGCATCCAATGCAGTAATTGAAAGAGAGAAAGAAAATCAAGAGTGTAAAAAGATATGCATAAGATATAGATACTGTCCGTTTGATCTCTATAACACGGTTTCTCTTTCACTTGAAAAATAATAGTGTTACTTGGTATGGCTAACTCAAATATATTCTTGGTATTCTTAATTATTACTCTTCAACAATCACTTGCACAGAATATGAGGATGTATGTCGCGAGCGGATGGCAATTTCAACGAGCTACAACAACCTGTTTATCCTATATAACTGTTTTTGTACTGAATATTTGTCAGTGTCAAACTCGCTGTCGAACACAAGTGCACTGCGAGACTGCTAGTTTTCAGCAATCAAATACTAGCTGTCAATTGTTTGATAGATCAATTACTCAAAACCATACGTGAGGGTGTGCCCATATCAGATTGAAATCGTATGCTCTTATCTCTTGTGAGATTTCAAACAAAAACTAGTCATGATTTCGAGATCCGGAAATCAACTCGTTCACTCAAAGAAAATCAAACTATAAGTGTCATTCATCTTTTCGTATCCCAAATCCTATACTTATTTTTACAGAATAAAAGTCAACTACAACAACAGTCTATGGTAAGTAACACATGACAGTTACTACTTTCTTTATAATTTTGAAATTATGACGCTATAGTAATTCGGAATAATCGATGTTTTACGTCACTGTTTCCGAACATCGAACAACATGAATCAGTGTTTGACAAAAACAATGCGAGTGACGGCGTATTTTTTCGACTTAGATGAACATTCAAACACACTCTTTCAATTCAGAACAGGTGAGGACTGACCGTTCACTATTTAGATCATTTAATGAATTTCGTTAAATATGATTTGAACTGTTGAGATATGAAATCTAGCTTAGAACGCAGTCATGAGACATTTCTTTCAAATGAGTTTTGTGTAGCACTTCCGTATCAAAGAGACGTATGCATTCCAGATAATCTGGAGTTCGCAACTATTGGTTATGCATAATGTATTTTACTGATCTTGTGTGAAGAAGTATAACATCTTTAAAGAACGCCGAAGACTTCGAATGTGCTCATCAAATCTTGTAATCATTCTAACCTTTATCATTTTGTTCTTCATAGTATGCTACATCGTATATTTCAATCAGACTACTTATGCAACTAACATTAATCCGCAAGCATTAGCAGTTCATGATCGAAACAATGACTCAGTACTCGGCATCATACCGATACAAATACTCTCAATATTTTTCTCCACCGAGGAAACAAAACATACACTCTATGTGTCAATTATTCAACTGATATCTTTCCAACTGCAGTAGAAATCGTTGATCTAAATTCTGATGCAAGATCGGATATAGTTACGGTAAACACAGGTACAGGCACTGTGAACATTTATCTCAATACAGGAAACGCTACATTCTTTTCTTACATGAACTACTCACTTGGTGTCGCCCCGAATGCTATGGCAGTCACTGATATCAATTCCGATTTCGGATTTTATTTACTTACAGTCAACTATCCTAGCAACACTGCCAGTGTTTTCTTCATTGTATCTGTTCTGTGTACTGCTGTTTATTCGACGTTCTTTTGTGTGCGCTACTTTATATTTGAATGACATACGTGTTGCAGCAGAAAATCTCATTGGTTTCAAAGCAAAAACTAATGCATTGAAGGTGAATAAGAAAAAGAATCAAAACTCAGATCAAAATATTCTTTTTGCTAAACGAAATACTATAGAATGAATGTTTTTCATTGAAGAGTAATTCAATAATAATAATAAAACATTTCTATCGAGTATATTTGCTTATTTAAATCAAAGTAGGTGCGTAAGTGCACACATCATATGTATAAGGACAGATAAACTAAAAATGTTTGTTTCACTTTTCACAACACTCATAAACTAGCGGATAGAGAAAGCTATTGTTGTATGACAGCGATACTTTTAAAGATGATTCTAAGCTTGAAAGACTAAAATATTTTATTTAGTATATGTGTGCGTATCAAAGTCATTGGAAAACCATATTCACTGGTTATTTACAGTGCAGGAGCAAGAAGTTTAGCGATGACTTCATCACGTTGACATCTAATTGAAAGAAAAAACCGATTCTGAAATATAATCAAAGAATGAGGAAGAGTTAAACGTACCCTTGAATAAATTCTTCTTTGCTTATTTTCTTATCATGGTTAATGTCAAGTTTCTTGATTATTTCTTTCGCACGTTTATGAGGATCATTATCACCATGACGATCTTTTATTCGAGCTCGATCATACTACAACAAACGATGAAATATCAATCGAATCATTCAAATAAATTTATACCATAGCCGAAATCAAACGACCCAATTCGTTCTGATCGAGTTGTCCATCTTCAGAAATATCCCAACTAGAAACAAAGAACTTTTCTCCTCAAATAAAAGAATTGTCGTAGATTTACAAATCGAATATGAATTCAAGTCGTTGTTCTAGATCACCGCTAAAATTGGTAACAGCTGTAGCAAAAAGATATTCACTAAAATCAACTGTCCCGTCGCTATTCTTATCCATGCGATGAAACACATTTCTACAAAGAAAATATTCCATATAACTCTCGATAATAATATTATTCATCTACCCGCATATTTGTTCATCGGTGTCTGGATCAAATGTTTTACATATCGAAGTAAATGTTTTCTGATCAAGTTGACCTGTCGGACACATTTCAATAAATCCCTAAGCAATCGCATAACAATCCTAAATACTTCTTATTTAACAAATATACTTCATAACACATTTTGATCTCTGTGAAGCGAAAACGAAAGTTATAATAAGAATTGAGTATCAAAGCTCTTTTACCTTTGTCGCTCAGTTTCGAATTTGTTCGAAGTATAGCCAATTCTAATGTAAAGTATTGCAAAGACACATTTTCAGTTCCAAAACATAGAGATAAATAAACGAACCTTTCGGCGTCAATTCCTTGAATTTTCGTTGTTTATGATTTGGTGTTGTCTCCATCTTTCACGATTACTTTATCGTTTGTGTGGAGAAAAATCGTAACAAAAAGAGTAAACGACATGCTTCATTAAGCAATTCATCAACAAAGCCATGTGACGAGTCGTACGAAAGAAAAATGTAATAAATTGAGATCAGACGTAATCTACCGACACCCTTACGAAAGAGTAAATTATGAAAGTCAGATCATTTCAGATAATCAATGGCAAACAAAAAATACGATATTCGGAATTACATAGGTGTGATAACTCTAATAATTATTTTACTACTTATAAGTAGAGATATATGATGCGAAGGGTGAGTGACTAAATGAGAAGTACTACTTTCAAACATATTGTTCTAGTTTTAATGCAACAGTCTTGACTAGAAAAGGTCATTCGAATATTCGCGGCATACTTGTACTGACTAAAAGCCATATGGGGTAGTTTTCGTATGAAACTAATAATTCTACACCAACAGGCTTCGTAGCGGCCTCTCTTGAAAATATAGGATTATATAGGATTTTACGAGTAAATTTTTATAGGATTTCTATTAATAATATAGGATTTATATAGGACGATGTTTTCTCGCTAAAAACAGCTAGAGACACTTCTTCTCAACATTATTGCTTTTGAAATCGTATAGATGTTTGGTTCTTGGGTGCCGGAGAATAGAAAAAGAGCTTTAAGTCATTTTCTCAATAAGTTCTTTAACGATAGTGATTCTAAAGAAAAAAGTACAATTACGCTTGTGTTTCCTTTATTAAAGGATATTGACTATGTATGTTTACAAAAACAATATTAGAGAAAACCATAACCAAATGCATATAAAAAATACTTCAAATCACTTCATTTTATGAGCTAATATTTTAGTACATTGAAAAAGCGCTTGAACCACCACATAAACATGTTCAAACGAAAATTGATAATTTTAATAAATAATATTTAAATCTTCAGTTTCTTTTGTCGCTGCTGCTTTTTGAACGCATCTTTTCTTTTCTGTTGAATCTTCATCATTTCTTCTGTTACTTTCATTAATTCGTCACCAATCAGTTTACTCCTGTTAGTAACACCTTCAATCAGTATTGCCGCTCTATTTGCGTCAAAATGATCTTTGTTTTTCATTGCTGAGTGTAAACGTATATTTCCATCGGTTATTAACAAATTGAGTTCTTGCTGTTCCCGTTGCAGGTCTTTCTGCTTCAACAATAATTGATCTTCATTCTCCAACATTTGTTTGTACATATCATTGGTATTGTCGCGTTCCTTTTCCTCTTCTCTCGATTGCTGTGCTGCTACACTTGCGATTGTTAATTCTTTTTTATAGAAGGAGTGAGAATTTTTGACAGCTTTGAGCAATTCTTTAGTAATCGGTACCTAAGATTAAAAAGATTCAAATTAATTTCACTAAATTCAAATAACTATATGTACATTGCTAACAGAACCGCGACCAATTGACTTCACAGCATCATGTGCTGTACGTAAACCATTAATTGAAAAATCTGACAGTAACGATCGATTTTGAACAACGATATTTTCGTTAATTGAGAAGCCTCGTTCAACATCAGCGTTTCCGTGTGAAATGATAAGGATATTTTTTATCAATTTAGATAACGCAGGATATTTCGGACGGCCATCTGTTGTTGTTATCGCCAAAACCTTATTCCAATAAAAATCGATTCTATGGTAAATAATACATTCGTTGCCATCCGAATCTATTTCTTTTTTGTCGATCACCCATTTTTCATCAATAACTTCAAGTGAATAAGCTAGCCATTCATCGCGTAAACTATCAATTTCGCTATCTTTCAACAGATGTGGAACAGCGCGAGCAACGCGAATAATTTGATCAGCATTTCGCACGTCTTTCAAAGAATGATGTAAAATCTGTACGTCACGTAAAAAACCATTCTTTAACGGTAGATTTGATTGAAAATATTGAGCGATACCGTGATATATTTTTCTCACATCATTGAAAAATGTTTCACGCTCTTGTTGCGTTAAACCACTTAACGCTGTACGAGTCTTTTCGCCTATGAGTAAAAATAAATGTCGGTAATTAAAAGGACTATTAAGTTGCTTTCTACGTTACCGATTCGTATCTGTTTATTTGTGAGTTGCTTCTCACTTAGCTTGAAATCTAAGTCCAATAAATCGCTGCCAGATTTTTCACAAACATAATCAGATTTCAAAAACTTCATCAAAACTGTTGAAAATAATCGAGTTAATTCGTGATGAAGAAGATGAATCAGGGGTCCTTCTTGTTGAAACCACGTCAGAAATTGATCAAATATATTTTCACATAGGAAAAGTACAAATCGTAATCGGATCTTGATTACATTTGACGTCAAATTCGACTTAATCTTATCATATTTATCATTCTTTTGAATTTGAACTTTTTGAGTAGTCGGTAAGAAATCTAAGAAGTAATCACATAACGGCTCCCACAAGGCTAGAAAATAATTGGAAATGTTGTCATAAGAGAAACGTCGCAAGAGTAAAAATGATGAGTAAACTTACTCAATACGCGTGTAATAACTTTCCCGAGAAGTACCCAACGCGTGATGGTGAAGTACAACAGCGTTTTTTCCATTAGATCATCAAAATCATGAATTGTATCAACTAAATCTTCTTTACGAGCAGGCGATTGCTTAAACCACGAATAAATTTCGGTACAAACATTTTCTACATGCCAACTAGCCGATGATAGACCTAAGAAATTGGTTTAGAACAGGTTAATGATATGATAATAAAAAAAACATGGGAAACAACCTGATTTAAAACCATTGTGCACAACGTGAAGATTACATGAACCTATCAATAGTAAGTTACTTCCCATCGTTCTCAATTCCGCATCGATTAAATTTTCAAGTGAAATATTGACGGTTGGATTATCACGACCAAGCATCAATAATCTTCTTAAATCGACACCATCCGTTTTGAATGAATCGATGATCACAGTGCGAAGTACATTGGCACGAGCATGACCCAAGAAAATTGACTTGTAAAAGCGCGTAACAACCAATCCTTCATCATACGACCAAAATTTGACCAATAAATCCAACTGCTTTTTATTTTGAACATTCGTTTGTTCATCAAAGCACAGCACAAACTTCTCGACACGCTTCAGTTGTTTCACTAACTCTTGATGAAAATAGGGACCGATTCCGTGATACATTACATACGACATTTTCTTCGACTGGATATTGAATTGTTGTGCAATGTTAGAATCGGGAAACATAGCTCGAAAAATGTCACCAAGACCATCGCATGAGTTGTACGAAAAACCTCGGCGTGCAACATTCAAGCTCCATATAGCTTCAGCTTTGGTAACTTGTTCATCAAAATTAAGTGTTGGTGACTTTTTAGTGTCATCAAGTCCTAAAGTATTAGTTGTCGGTGGATCGTTACTTAATAATGTTTGAGAATTTGTTGGTTCCACGACAAACTTCGAATTATTCTTCAATGATTTTATAGTTTTTACGTGGCCAAGTGTGTTCATATGTTGAGCAACTGCACGCCACCCTTGGTTTGAACAATCGCGATCACCTGTTTTGCAGTAAGTACATTGAAAAGTTGTATCCGTTGTACCTTGTCTCAACCACCGTTTCACTTGAACACCATCATTGTCAGAACGTTCCAGCCAATCAAGACTAAATTTTGTATCTTTTGGCATAAATTTATATCTTTCGATGCACAAAATTGCGAATTTGAACAAAATAAACGAGTTGAGAAAGGTAATCAGTGACAATAAATTATCGATATAGAAAAAATCAAGTGATGCAGTTTTACATCAAGTTAAGTATGAAGAAAGTAGAACACAAAGCCTCTTTGATTAGTCATCATAGTTACTATGATTGGTATGACGAAAAACGAATAAGATGGATATGTATGTCGACGAAAAGAAACGAACAACGTGAAACAGACAAACTGTCACTAGTTACTGTTCGTTTTCTTGATCGTGAATTTTTCTCGACGTATGTTTGTTGATTGAAATATGTTGCTTCTCTGAAAGCATCTTCAATTTTTCTAATATATAGGAAATATAGGAAAATTCATCGATAAATAGGATTTATAGGCAGGTTTTTTCAAATATAGGAAATATAGGACGACTACGAAGCCTGTACACCAATACACTCTGTCATTCATTTCTGATTGTTACGGTGATTCAACTTAGAATTTAGTTTTTTATCGATGCATTCATTTGTCATAAGTGTTACTTTACCGAAGTCGATAAGAAGAGACCAATAAAATTTCAAGGGAAATCTTGTTTATTTGAGGACAAATATGTGCAAATTAGAACGGTGCTTTTTTTCTCTATAAAGAAATGCACATTCTATGGAAATCAACATTAGCTTTTATCAAAACTTTTTTCTAACTATGATTTTATGAGCATACACGTTAGATTTGTATTTATCAGTAGTCAACATTCTTTCCATGTATTCTGTATATCCTAAATACATTAAGTATTTTGTCACCTGCGCAACATTTTTATCTGCTAATAAATTTGCACATCTGTTATGGAAATAATTTCTCAATTGTGACGATAGAGACTCGGCTACAACAATCCACTATGTTATATTTCTGAATAATGAAAGTAATCACTAAAAGCTCGACAAGTAGAATCAAACGATTACACAACTGTGTTCTAAAACTAAACATCTATTGTGACGAAAGTGATTCACCACTCATTGATCAATTATTGTCGACACGAATATTCCTCATTCTGTTATTCCTCCTTCTGCTTCTTATTATAGTTTATATCATTCTTAGTGTTCAAACTCATTCGGTGACTATTCAGTCTCCCTCGGAATCCACTTTCACGCAACTGTTTCAACAGTATCCAAGCACACTCTCATGCCCATGTTCACACACATCTGTTCGACATGATCAGTTCCTCTTGCTCAATCCTCAGTATCATCCCATTTGTACAAGTCAATTAGTTAATCAGTCATTTATTCCATTATTATCTTCTGTGAATGTGAGTCAGCATCGCACCACTGATTATCGAACAATGGCAACATCTCATTTTCAAATTCTTGCTTTACTTTGTCAGACAGTTCGACAAATGATTGATGATTCTTTCAGTGAATTCTTCTCACAGCATTTCACTACTTCAGAAGTTGTGTCAAATGAAACATTCAATGTTCAGATGAATCATCTTGTAGAACAACTAAAAACAACAAATATTGCCAATCTAAAACATACCAGCGATTTTCTTTGGTTGAACGTGTTCTACAATGCAATTCACTCGGGATTGAAGACAAACTTTTACATTAAACATTCGGATGGTAATCATTTAACCTACGGTTCGTATTCTTATTCTTCTTCGAATGCGAACTGTAATTGTTATCGATCTGCTGATTGCACTGCACAAGCTACAATCAGAAAGTTAGTATCGTCTAATGCAACTGTAAATACAACGACGGCTGTGCAGAATCCAATCAGACTCTTTAACATACCTGGTCTAAAAGTTGGTTGTCTGCCATACAACTCATTACTTCAATCAACTCTTCAATGTTTCTTCAATCAGTCATGCATCGCTCGAATTCAAGAGTACCTCCCTGCATTAGTCTTCGTCTCTCGGCTCTCTGCTCACTCTCGTTTCCAACAAAATGCCACAGTCGAGCATCTTCTCGATCAACTCTTCATCGAATCATGGAACCAAATCAACAATTTCACGGCTTATTTTCAAAGTTGTTCTCCTCACTCATGCACATATTCATATGATCAACGATTCAATATTCTTTATGTCATTGTCAAACTTATTGGTATTTTCGGTGGCTTGAAGATGGTGTTGAAGTTTTCTGCTCCACTCATTGTCAAACTTATTCGACGTGTTCAAACGTGTCGATGCATTTCTAAGACAGTGGACAAAAATGAAATACCTGTTCAACAAAGTGAGCTATTTCTTTTCATACCAATATCTATTTTTTACTTTACATGTTTACATTAGATGAAATAGATGCAAAGCGGTATCTTGCATGTCTTGTACAGAAAATGGAAACAAAACTGAAGACATTGAATCTGTTTCCATTGTTGTCTGATGAAATAGATGGATTGTATTCAACACGACTTTACATCATCTCGTATATCATTGGAATCATCGCGTTAGTCTTCTATACTTCGATATCAGTTCAGATGCGAAGTATCACTGTATATGAGCCAAGTTTAATCGAATATGAACGATTGTATGCGGAATATGGCAGAACATTGATCTGTCCGTGTAGTCATCTGTCTATGTCTTATCTTTCGATTATTCATCTCGAAGTCGAATATCATCAAGTATGTTCGAGCCAGTTTGTCGACGACAATGCTTGGCTGTCATATTTTAATACGACTATTCATTCCTTATTTTCGTTGGATTTTCGAATTGAAGGTTCAAGGCTATTTCGTATACTTCAGTCATTATGTGGATTGTCGAATGAAACAGTAAGAAATCAACTACGCGTGTTCAATGAAACGCAATTCATCAATGCACATGTTGTGTCAAGAGATACATTCGATATTCAAACATCCATTCTAATTCTTCAATTACAACAACAGGTAATAAAACTTTGATAATATTGCGTGTTATTCCGAGATAGAAAAGACGATTCTCTGAAGGAGAGCACTCGACAGTTGAGCTTACTGCTTGCCTTCACGAAACGACATACTCTAGCATAGATTAGGTTTGTGCAAGCGCAAGTACTCAGATAATATACATAGTTTATATTCACGATTCATACGACAATGACGGAAGCAAATCATGATAAATTTGCAAATTTGAATCGAGGATGGAGAAAGATTTTTAATTATTGTAGACTCTTGACTCATTTATAACAATATTTCAACTGGTTCGTGTATCCATTCAGCTGAACCAATTTATGGTATTTGGTGGCACAAATTCTAGAATCATGCGATACAATAACAGCAGTACTGTAGTATACGGTTCTGTGCCAAACGATGACTACGATTATAACTGTTCATGTGGACAAAATTTTCATTGTAGTCGTTCACAAGGTTTTTACTGTACCGCGTCCGAATGTAAAATCTCGGAGAATAGGCCAAATCAGACTATACCTGGTTTAGTTCAAAGTTGTTTATCTATTGACTCTCTTCTTCTATCAACACTCGAGTGCTTCTACAACTCATCATGCATTCAAATGCTCATCGAATGGCGTTCGTTTAACTTCACAGCTCATAAAAACGATTCGCGTTTCACTAACGTCACTCCACTCGATCCAATGCGTAACACTCGTTTTCCACCTAAGACCAAACTAGAAGACATCGTCTCACAGCTATTCATCGAAAAGTGGATCATCGAAACTAACTTCACCGCATTCTATCAGCAATGTGCACCACACACATGTACTTATACTTTTGAACAGCGTTTTAATCGTGTGTTTATTATTGCAACAATATTTGGCATCATCGACGGTCTTTCCCTTACTCTTACGATACTCATTCCGTTCATTGTCAAACTATGTCGAAAAGTCAATCGTTGCTGTCATCGACATCCTAATGACATTCGAAGAAAAGTCATATTGAATGTATGGATCTCGCATCGAAATATTCTTCAAAAATATGCAAAGTGCAAACATTATGCGCAGACATTCAACTTGTATGACAAACGACGCTTTCATCCCTCATCAGATCCTCCAACAATAACACCTGCTGATATTTTGTTGATCGAACGACAGTGTTTCGCTACTCGTGTTTTTGTCATTTTCTTCATCATCATCCTTCTCATTGTTATCAACGTTCTTGCCTTCAATGTATCAGTGTATTCGCTCACAATTCCATTTCCATCCGAATCAACCTTTGAATCTCTTCAACGGAAGTATTCATCAAAGCTTTCTTGTCCATGTTCACAAACTGCAGTTTCATTTTCCAAATTTCTCTCAATCAAGGCAAGTGAATATCATCAAATCTGTTCAAGTGACTTTGTTTCATTTCGCTTCTTGGATATTCTTTGGGGGAATAAAAGAGCCCATTCATATTTCAGCCCCGTTGACGATAAAGTGTTGAGTACACAATTTCGGCTGTTGGCAGCATTATGTTCTCTTGCAAACAGCACCGTTGAGGAAAGAATACGAACATTATCGACTCGAGAACTCGTCACTCTCGAGCCATTATCACGACACTCATTCGATGATCAAATTCATTCGATTGTGAGCAGTTTTATACGAGAAACGCCTCGTGATTTTCGGCGAACACATCAATATATCAATGACATGCTTCATGCTAATCAATTTCAAAATTTTCTCTCGACAAATTGGAATCTAGTAACAACACTTGTTGGAACATTACACTCTTTCTCGACAAGTCCAGTTTCAGTAAATGAAAGTGGCCAGTTCTGTTTATGTGAGATTTCCTCAACATGTACAAGGTCAAAGCTGCAGAATATGAACAACCAAGCAACATTCGCCGGTAAAATATTGTTGAAGAATAGAATTCAACTTCTTCTTGCTTGTAGGTTTCGTTGTCGGATGTTTACCTGTTCATGGCCTTCGACTTTCAACCCTCGAATGTCTTTATAGTTCAGAATGCTTGAAGAGATTAGCTAAATTTGTCAACAGTTCATTTGTTCCGTCGCCCTTAAATCAATCGATTCCAAGTCGTTTCACACCAATCTCATCAACACCGATCGGTACTCTGATCGATGAGTTGTTCATCGAGTTATGGCAGAATTCGTCTAATTATTCGAGTTATTACTCGATATGTGCACCATCGAACTGTAAATACACATATGTCGAAAGCAATGATTTTGTGCACATACTGACTACGATTCTTGGTTTATATGGTGGATTGACTGAAGAGTTGCTTATCGTTATTTGGGGCAGTCTGCAGATGTATTGGAAGATTCGTGAGCAAATCAAGAGACATCGACGTATTGTACCTATAAATAGTGACTGAAGCGTGTGATTTTCATGTTGCTTACTTGAGTTAGAAAATAAAATGACATATGTTCGTGTCCCCAGTTTTCACTTATGACCATATGAATTACTTCTGAAATATTGTTTGATGTGTGCTATTCCAATCTTTTGTTCTGTCATCCAGACAAGACACATTTTGATTTGTTAGAATCATGATATTCACATGCCAATGTAATCGATTTCAGTTTGTGAAAGAGAAGTACAGCTGGAAAAGCGTTCTTGAATATGGTGCGCGAGCAGTAGAGCATTGTCCTTCAAGATTCTCTATACCATTTGAAACAAATGATTGGCATTCTAACATGATTCAGTTTTTACTCATCTGATGAGCCATAGTCGAGGATGAGCGGAGTGAGCATCGCCTGTGAGTTGGTATGCGTTGTATAGATTGAACATCCCGAGTCGACCAATCCCATACTCGGATTCCTGGTGACGGATCCTTTCGGATTCAGCATAAGATCCTATAGTATCCCAATAACGAATTTCAACGGGTGCGACAGGTAACCAAAAGACCATCATAACTTAAAACTTGAAAAAGAATCGACGCTTGTAGAATATCTCTTGATTGATGAAATGAGTCTGGCTGGTTTGATTCTACTCGGCAAACTCAATCGAATTCTTTGTGCCACCAAACATGTCGATCCGCAAATTCCATTCGGTGGTATAAACGTTATATTCTTTGGTGATTATTTACAGTATCGGCTTGTGTACGATGCCTCACTACACACCGACTTTTCATCGGAAAACAGAAAGAAATCCAACAACGTATGGTACGTTCGTTAGTTCTACAAATTAGTTCTGTGGTCAAACTTGCTCAACAGATGCGAACAGAAGACACACGATATCATCAGTTACTTGAACGACTTCATCAAGGTCAATATAGTTATGAAGATAATGAATTATTACTGACGCGCGTTGTCAGACAGTCATCAGTATCTCTTCATGAACCAGCATGGAATCAAGTAAGATATATTTCTCTGTTCTAAATAAACATTTTTTCTATACTTTTTTTTGTTTTAGGCTCCCATGCTTGTGTTTAGAAATGAAATATGTACGCAACTGAATCACAGGTCGGGAATTCATAATGCAATACAAACAGGTTGCGATCCAATGGTATGTATTGCTCAGGACTTTTGTGAAGGCAAGCCTGTGGAAGAGCCCGCACTTCTTAAAATTATTGGAATTATCAGATAGTAAGACTGAACAGTTATCGAGATTGTTACCGTTAGTTCCTGGAATGCTAGTTATTCTTACACAAAATATTGCTATTGAACTGGGATTAATTAACGGCATGAATGGAATATTTGGACAACTAGTTTATGATACTGATTCAATCTCAACAGACAGTCTATCAACAACGTTTCCAATGAACACTACATATGTACACAAGCCAATATATGCATTGGTCGAAATTAGCGAATAAAAAATTGAATGTAATCTTCAAAAACTCCAGCCAAAACTTATTCCAATACCAATAATGGAACAAATATTTCAGGTAGACGTTTCTGATATTCTTCCGAGCGTCAACAGCCAATCAAAAACAACTAGAAAGACAATGTTATCGATTAAGCGACGCGCATTGCCTCTTGTACCCACCTATTCTATTACAACTCACAAAAGTCAGGGACAAACTTTAAACAAAGTCGTTATTGATTTGAAACTACCAAAGGATACAGATGACATCGCTGCAGTCTATGTACCATTATCAAGAGTGAAACGTTTAAATGGCTTAATTATTTTGCGACACTTTGATTACAAAGTCTTCCAGATCAAACCCAGTAAATCTCAAGTTGCCGAGATCCAAAGATTAAACAAACTCTATATGGAAACACAAATGCGTTTTTCAGAATGGTTTTGACAAATTCGATAGAAAAGACGAATCGCCATTGCTTGTCATCCATTTTGCACATCGGATTCAGTTGTATCACTTGTAACTGTGCAAATGTCTTGTATAATTAAACATTTTCTCTATTAGTTCGTTGTTTTGTAATCGAAATCCAAATTTTGTTTTCCATTTTACCGTAACTATTATGTTTTGTTCCACGCTTCTTATTCGTACTCGCATATACTTTATTCATATTTTGACTTCTTTAGAAATTTAGTTAGAACTAATACAAAAATTATTTGGTTTTTTTCATGTAGTTGTTTATTATATCATCAATTTGTCTTTATTTCATTGAAAAGTAAATAAATAAACTTCATATTGGAGAACATTATCTCTTGTATGAAATGAGAAAACAATAGCAAATTGATTATTACATATGAAGCTTTTCAGTCGAGAGTAATGCGAGTCCGTCTCGACGAGCGTTATTTATTCATACAACTAATAAAGAATCAGAAACTGCAACGCAAAACTTAGAACTGGTGCGTAACCAGCCGAAATATGTTTTGTGGATAATTTAATATTAGGAGATTAGTTCAACCACAATGAAGTAGTATAGAAAGATAGAGCATTTTTTTCTCTATCAGACTACCTAGAAAAGATATTCCTTGATGTCGTATATAAAGTAAAAAAGTGTCACTGCCACTACTTTTGGATACCCCTATGTAACGCGATAACGTTATTCCTCCAGTTTGCCATTGTGATCACAAAAAACTAAAAGAAATGAAATGCTGCAACAGCAACAAAATATTATTTCCTTCTCATCTTCATTTTTATTAAACATACTTGTGGTATTGTCCATGACATGTGCGATAAATAGAACCAAAGAAATCTATCAATGTAACTATATTTTCAAATGCCCGAAAAATTGGGCGATCTTCGCTCTAAACACTGCGATAAGAAAAAAGAAAAATTAACACAATTTATGAATGACTTCACTATTTTGTTTTCGTTTACTTACCATTTGACTTGCACACTAATCCTCCTCTTTTCTGACCTCTACTTTTCTGCTATTCATTCAGTTTATTGTATAAATTATAAAATTTCCTCGGATTATATAGAAAAATCTTCCAAATTTTACATTGAAAAGTAGATTTCTGATTTCGAGTTCTCTCAGAATGATACAGAGTAGTCTGTATATCATAGAACATTTTGAAATATTTAGTTCAAAGAGTAGATTTCTGATTATCTGATTTGAATCAAACAATATATTTTTAAGTCTTGACTCTTAAATCTAAGCATACTATTTTGCTCATATTTAGTCTACAGAAACCGTACGGGATTTTCGAATTTGAAAATGCAAAATTTTAAAAATTTTGAAGTTTTCAGTTTTCAAAATTTCTATTTTCAGAAATTTTGCCACGTTTCTTTGAAAAATGGTACCAATTTTAAATTTGCCACTTTATAGGTACGCGTATTGACAACGTCTCGAAGAACGTGATCGAAGTTAGCTCGGCGATTGTTTTCGAAGCTCATATCTTCGAAACTTTCTTCAGATGGACGTGCTTCACACCATATTGTGAAAACGATCAGTATAAGGAAACATGCTATTAAGCTTTTGAGATTTTGCATGTTGAGACGATTTACTGAATACCGAATGAGAATTGTCGATTGAGAAGGAAAATATATTTGTGATTTTGTGTTGGTAAATTTGGTCTTATATACTTTCTGTTCGAGAGAGAAAACGAAAGAGGAAAGAAAATTCGTATATAGAACGAAACAGCAGCGATCGGAATATGTTGTCGAAAAATATTCACGGTCGATTACTTCAGCGAAAAAGACTATTTCTTTTTTTTGTCGTGAAAAAGGCATACTCATTTATGCGCAGAGGAGTGATTGCTCATGTTCCATCGAGTGAAAGAGGGTCATATAAAAAAAAAGTAGTTTGTATGTTTGTTTCTGGTTGTTCGCAAGGGGCCTTGAAGATAGAATGTTCGTCGGAGAGGGTTGAGGCCAAAAAGAATGCCATAGTAGATGAACTCAAAGACGCGCGAAATATACGATAGAATATGCGCCATATTCTCTCTACTGGAAGGAGGGTCCACGCAGAATTCAAGCTAAAGTTTGTTCGTTCGTTCATGTATTCTACACAATGATGAAATAATAATCTATAGTGTACAATAGCTGACTAATAAGGGTTGCCCGTAGGGTAATTGAGGTCGAAGAACTTGAATGCGATATTAGTTTTTCTGATCTATCGAGCTTTAGCTTCTTCCTTTCTTCCAAAAGAGAGTGTGGTTGTGAGTTTATAACAGATACTATATATAAAACAATGAAGTTGTGGTAGATAAACAAGTATCTCATTATCAAGATAAGTGCCATGGATGAATGTCGATCCATCATAAATATGAAGAAATAAACATAAATCTTCCCGATATTTCATACATTGAAGTAGGCGTACACTCCATTGATTAAAATGGAAAAATGGAAGACGACGAATTGTCAGATGTCAAATGCTATCGTCTAATAACGATTCTTTCGTTGGATAGTTCATAAAACGCCCTGTTACAATATTTTTTTATTTATGCAAGAAAAAATATCGAGATATTAAATATAGTATCGAACTTCTTCACGTAGTAACAATAGCTCTACGACCGTGCAAAGAACAATAGTTCGAGCAAGTGTTCCAACAAGTGAATCTCTGAAAATATGATCTTTTATCAGTGTAAAACTCTTCGATTAAAGAAAGTAAAAATTGTTGAAGAGCACTTGATATTTTACTCTAAATACGTCCATCATCTCGTTTTATATTGTTCTCATGCATCTTTATATCATATAGCAGATGAACAGCATAAAATTTTTGATTTCACTGCGAGTACGTGAGGGCGAATAAGTTTCCTCATTCACAAATGTCATGAACAGCTACAATAGATGGATATTTGCAAAAAGTCTGTTGTTTCGACTTCTTTGTAGCACGAACAAGCATAATTCAGATGAAAACGTGCATATAACCTTTCATTGATAAAGATAAAATACAAAAAAAGTAACAAAATCAATATGAAACTTGCTTTCATCATTCTGATTAGCTTAAAAGAATTAATGAACGTCAGTGCTGATCAAGAACATAATAATATTAGATGAGACTGATTTTGTAGATGTATTGCATAGATCTGTTTAGCAACGCCGTACATCATTACTGCCAACAATTTACTTCTGAAAAATTCTTCATCACACCGCCAGACTTACATCGGGGGGAGATTTGATTTTTCGCCTATTATTCGGATTGTTGCAATCATTATCGCATATAAAGCATCGTAAACCATCGCTGGTGTGAGTTAATACTTCAATATTCCGGCATAGATAACAGCTGAATGTCGAAAGATGACCATTGGATATCGAGTTTTAATAGTTTGAATTGATATTTAACGTGTATCGACTTAAAAGAAATCTTGAGGGCAAGCATCATCGGCCACTGGACTATGGTCATAAGATAAATGCATCTCAAATGGTTGCATAACGTAAGTGCTGTAGAATATTTCCACACCTATGCCGTAACGCATGATGGCAATAGATCAATGAAAAATAATATCCATTAGAATTTCTTTCAAAAAAAAGAATTGCTAAATGATTGACTACAGAGTTCATGGTACAATAAAAGCCAAAGCGATTATTTGCTATGCAGGATGAGACAGACAAAGATCTCGGTTTCGGTACATCCTTATGCAGCATAGGCAAGAATATCCTTTTGTCTTCACGTATAGATGATCCCATGAAATGTCAATCACACAATTTTTGAACTGTTTATATTAATCGTCTTGACAAATGTTTTATCAAAGTAGACGAAACTGAGAATCAAATAAGCTCGAATTTGGAACCATGTATAAGATCATTTCCAGGTCGACCAACCCCGTACTCGGATGCTATTGGCTCCGTTATAGGTATTGTCGGATTTATTATTCTATTCAGCCTTTTTTAGTAACGTAAAAAGAATCTTTATCCTAAAACAAAAAAGAAGAGGTAGCAATGGATATGAGAAGATCTTGAAAATAAGCGAATTCAAAACAAAAGTATCATAATATTAGAAGAAGTAGAGAAATTTTTCTTTCGAAGTCGAAGACGTAGTACCATTACACGCAATACCCAATGGATTACCACTTGGAGCATGAACATCCCATTATGTGAAGGTTATATCGCAAGTACCAGATGGGGGACAATAGATTTTTGCAACTTTCGGATTGTATTTCAGCGAGGTTTTTCCAGTGATGTTGATAAACTCTGTCTTGGTAAGTTCGGCAGTCAACGAGTAATCCATACATGCCGTATGGTTTGATTCGTAGCAATTATCGACTGTAACGTCTTTGTCAGTTACATTGCTTACAAGCACTATTCTACGAGACGGGTCATCTGGAAAGAATTGAATATGAATTGCTGGTGTACAATTGATCATTTTCGCATTAGATACGTAGATATTTCTGGCTATGTATGGGAATCCAGTCTGTAACCTGAGACTGCCAACAGATAAGTCATGTGAACCCATACAGGTTATGTTATTACCTGTTATAAAATTCGAGCCGTTCTTAAACGACACACAATCATCGCCATCTATCACATGAGTGTTCTTTATTGAAACATGTGAACGTGTTTCCGTTCCAAAGCCGTCCATGTTCTTAGGTCTATTCTGCGATGTTGAAAGAGCACTCAGAACCAAGTCGGAAAATACAACATCAACTGAATTATCGATTAAAAATAGAAATCAAAAAGGTGGATTTATCGATTTTATGTTGATAAAGAGTATGTCGGAAGAGTTGCTGAATTTCATAAGTAAAGGCCATCTATACGTTTCATTTGTACCAAAATAATCCCAAAATGCTTGTCCAATTCGATCAATAAGTCTCGATCCAGTCAAGAAACTTAAGAGTTCCTTCAAGCTGAAAGTCACAATCTTTACAATTTCCGAAATCGAGTGAACTGCGAATCGTGAACGTTAACGATTTCACAAAGTACTGTTGTGATTGATATTCATTATCATCATTGTAAAACAAAAGAATATGAAACTGGAGCAGGCTGCTGTTGCACATCTATTATTAAAAATAGTGACATATATAAAAGTACGATAAGAAAATTATTTTGGACAAAGTATTTCAAAAACAAATTCAAGTATTCACGATGCACAAAGAACTGTAGTGTCCAGAAATAACAAATATATATTCTCAATGAGAATCTTCCAGAGTAGATCAAGATCCAACGTGACTTTAAACGCCAACGCTTGTAAAACGGGATTCGGATCACTTTATGAACAAATCTTCTCTCATTCGTTGATTCATGGTGATTTACGTCACATCCCTACTTATTTCTAGGTATCTTGAACTAATTTATTTCTTCATACTTTTTACACTACATCTGTCGCTAAAATATTTTCTTTTTGGATCCTTTGAAAGGAAATGATATCTCATATGCTAATAGAAAAGAAATGTATTTTATTGCTGATGTTTTATGCCATTGCGTCAAAGAATTGATTCGAGAACATAAGGCTTTAATTTAGAGGATGTGACGCGGAGAAAAATATCATGAAATCAAATTTTATTACATTTCTTTCAGTGCATTATTTTAGAAGCTTATCAAGTGCGTTTTGTCCGCTTTCGTTGCTCTCGCTGATTTTCTTCACAGTAAGTAGAATTTTAAAAGAATGGAATGAATGTAGCGCGGCGCCATTGTTATTGGCTGAGAAAGGAACAGAATTCTAGTGTGTATAGCGCCTCTCAATTCTATTCCCAACCGGCTAGAACGAGAATACAATCAGATTCTAGCCAAGAACGAAAACAGACTTGCGCATTTCTTGACGCATTTGTAGTTTACGATTTCCAGGACCATGTCGGGCAGGAAGAAACATATAGATTCTCATTGTTTTTCTTAGTGTCACTGCTAGTACGACGAAGACACGAATGGTTCAACAGATTAGCGGATTCTGTTCGAGTTTACAATCTCTTCAAATCTATGCCACCAGCAGCCAATGATCATGAACTACAAAGTCAGCGGATCTCAACAAGAGTATTCATCGTCTTGTTGTTATTATTCTTAACCATTCTTTTTCTGTATAATTGGCGCATTTATATTACAAACAAGAAGGTAATAGATCATCCTGATCTCAACGACTATTTTACTTTGCAATCTCGATACTCTGACAGTCTGATATGTCCATGCGCTAAACCATCGATTGATCACATTACTTTCTTCGATATTGATTACACATTACACCAGATATGTAGTAGTATATTTGTATCAGAAGAGTGGCGCCGCTCTCTTGCATCGTACCACCATTGGGGCATGCTCACAAAAGAGGACTTTCGATCTATTGCCCATAGCCAATTTCAAACAATAGAAGCATTCTGTCAAATGGCAAATCAAACACTTTCAGACAGTTTGAGCCAGTTCTACTCAGATCAATATAGGAGCGCAACTGTAATTCCGTTACATTTATTTACTGAAGAAATGCAATCACTAATTAATCAGTTTAAAGCGTCGGCAAAGAGAAATTTTTTTCTGTTGTTTAACATGACGCGAGATATAACACAGGCCAATGGCCTTCTCTCGGCAAGGAAAACTAATTATCATATGAAACTGCGAACATATCCAGGTGACATCGAAGTGTATCCTCAATGGTATAACAGTTGCAAATGTGATCATACTATGAGATGTACTAGTAAAGTACAATTTCATCGAGTAGAAGATCGGTCAGTGTTGTCTTATGCACCAGGCCTATTAGCCGGATGTTACACTACTGAAGCAACTCTGCAATCAACTCTTGAATGCTTCTATAATCAATCATGCGTCACACAAATTCTCCCATATTTACACGGCGAACTACCAACAAACGACATGTCGCTCAATTCATCATTACCTAGTCGATTCTCGGTCAACTCAACCCTTGAACAGCTTCTTAGTGAACTAATGATCGAACAGTGGGCTGTGTCCTCTATATATAAAAAGTATTACAATGAATGCCAACCAAAACAATGTACATATACATACAAGACGAAGAATGATGTGATATTTATCATGACTGCTTTAGTTGGACTGGTGGGTGGTTTGAGTACGGTTCTGCGATTGATTGTACCTGCGTCGGTTACGTTTCTTAGAAGAAGAAGAAGAAGAATACAAACAACAGATCACGGTAATACAATCATTCTCAGGCGTTTATAGTAATTGTGACGCAAACAATGATAGATGATTGAAAACCTTTTTCTACAAAAAATTCAAATGAATTCAGTGACTTAAAGGCAGAATCAATGCAACAGGCAATTGTTTTAGTTCTTACTGTGTGTCCCTCAAAGAACTAGTGTGTGTATAAACGAAGACTTAAGGAAAATTAAACCGCTGTTTTAATACTACACTGATAATCCGACCGATAGTATCAATTCATACCTCACTAGTGAAATTTTCTTTTGTGAAACAGCGTGCTGAAGTGTACACATAAGGATACAACCTCGAACCTTGTTGTCAAAACATTCTAATCGACTTTTATTTCTCATTGCTCGCCTAACGTACTATGATCGAGAAAGATCTAAATGATCGTTGACCAGCGAGTAAAAATATCCGAGATTCTTCCGATTGTTGGCATCTAATGACTGTGGAAGATATATTTTTTGTTTGAAATAGATTTGGTTCTCTTCATACCGACTTGTCTCATTGTCTGTCTCTCTGTGTTTCTTCTCTATTACAGACAATGACGTGAATACAGTGCAGACCAACTCGTTTTCGCAGATCAACAACAAACTCTGGAAACTGAACTTATTTGCATCAGTTCCGCCTTCAACCGATGAATACGATCTTCGAAACGAGCGAATGTCAACAAGAATATTCATCTTTCTATTCATTCTGTCATTGATAACTCTTCTCTTCTACTATTCATTGATCAATGTCACAATAACCGTCACGAGAGAACACCCTTCACTTAATGAATATCGACAACTCTATGAAATGCATCATCATACACTCACATGTCCATGCACAAAAGTATCAACCAACTACAAAGAATTTCTTCAGGTGACTTATACCTTACATCAAATGTGTTCAAGTGTATTAGTAACTGAAGAATGGTTTGAATATCTTTCATACCGATCTGATGACAATCAAGTTCATTCTGATGATTTCCGATGGATAGGTCAAGCATTGTTTCAATCCTTCCATATATTTTGTAAAATGGCAAAGCAAACAATCTCGGACAGTTTAAGTCAATTCTATTCCAATCAGTATATAACCACAACTGTCACGTCACTCGAGTTATTTACGCTACAAACGAAATCATCATTGGATCAGTTCATGAGTATCGGAAAAACAAACCTTTTCCTTGCACTTGATCTGATACAGAATACGACTCAAGCTAACTATCTCTTATCAGCAAGAAAAACTAATTATTATTTTTATCATCGTTATTATACATTCGATTACGTGCTTAAAGGTTCCAATGAAACCTGTACTGATCCTATTGAACGTAACTTCAAGAAACCGGTATCTATCTTTGCATACACGAATCATACGACATTACTGGAGATACCTGGTTTATTAACGGGATGTTATGTTGTTGATGCCGCTTTGCAATCGACTCTTGAATGCTTCTATAATCAATCATGCGTCACACAAATTCTTCCATATTTACACGGCGAACTGCCAACAAACGACATGTCGCTCAATTCATCATTACCTAGTCGATTCTCGGTCAACTCAACCCTTGAACAGCTTCTTAGTGAACTAATGATCGAACAGTGGGCTGTGTCCTCTATATATAAAAAGTATTACAATGAATGCCAACCAAAACAATGCACATATACATACAAGACGAAGAATGATGTGATATTTATCATCACCGCCTTGATTGGACTGGTGGGTGGTTTAAGTACAGTCCTACGACTCGTTGTGCCGATTTTCGTAAAGTTCATCGCAGAAAATCTGCTATTACGACGACAACGACACCAGGATGAGGGTGAGGGTGAAAGAGATTTAAGCTTTCGAACTTTCTGTTATCAAAGTGCACACCCTTTGTCGTAAATATTCCTCATGTTTTCGACGATACTAGCCTTAAGGCTTGAATTATTAATAGACTTTCATTTGTATTTTAGGAATCAACAATCAACGACGATCCACAATCTATTTGACCAAAATACTACACTTCATCTACAACTTCAATATGTTTCCATCAGTTCCGCCTTCAACCGATGAATACGATCTTCGAGACGAACGACTGTCAACTAGACTATTCGTCCCTCTATTCATTCTATCATTGATAACTATTCTCTTCTACTATTCATTAATCAATGTCACAATAACCGTCACCAGAGAAAACCCTTCACTTAACGAGTATCGACAACTTTATGAAGAACATTCTCAAACTCTCACATGTCCATGCACAAAAGTATCAACCAACTACAAGGAATTTCTTCAGGTGACTTACACCTTACATCAAGTGTGCTCAAGTGATTTTGTAACTGAGGAATGGCTGACATATCTTGCCAGAACTTACCTATATCAGAATATCTACAAAGAAGACTTCCTCTATCTAGGTTCGTCAACATTTCAAGCGTTGGATACACTATGTCAAATGATCAATCGAAGCATCTCGAATCGGCTGAATGAATTCTATTCGCATGAATACCTTAGTGCAATTGTCACATCACCGGAGATATTTTTATCAACCTTCGAATCGCTACTTGGCCAATTACGACCATTAACGACGAGCAGTTTTCTTCTTTCTTTTGAGATTATTCAAAGGACAACAGCGAATAATGTGATAATGTCAGCATTTCTGTCAAATTATCAGTTTATTGGGGGTCTAGACTTAAATATATATCCAGTGAGCCACTATGCTTGCACATGTCACGAAACAGTCAAATGTGTCATACCCTATCCTGTCCAAAGTCATCCCATGATGGCCGCAGCATTTTCCATATCACACTTCTTTTATGGATGCTACGTCATCGAAGCACTTCTTCAGTCGAGTCTTACGTGCTTCTATGACAAAACGTGCATCAGTGAAATTCAGAAATATATTACATACACTTCACCATTCAATGTCACAGCTCTCGATTCATCATCACCAAGTAAATACTCTGTTGATGTAACAATACAAGATATTCTTGACCAGCTAATGATCGAACAGTGGAATCAATCTATTAAATATGACAAATATTACGATAATTGTCAACCGAAACAATGCACATATATGTATGAAGCGACGAACAGTGTGGTTTCGATTATTACTATACTATTTGGTTTAGTTGGTGGTTTATTAACTGTTTTACGTCTGATTGTACCATTATTAGTGAAGATTATAGCACGTATGACAAGACGATGTAGAAGAATAACTGTTCAAGATATGCCTACCATTGGAACTTAATCATCATCCTAAGGAATGATAACTATAATTGACTTTAATTGACATTTTCTATTCGCACAGTCATTCAACCAATAGAATTGAGAGAAAAGCACATGAAGGTGTTATTAACTATTTTCTCTTCTAATCAATTTCATGACGAAATGCACTTTTGACAGAAACATATTCGATCTATAACAAGAGAAAAAAGAATAGTATAAAAATTTTCTTCGTAATAAATAATTTTCACATGTCGCTGTCTTATTGAAACCACCAATGAACAAATTTATCTGTACTGTTTTTGTTATTTCACAATACTTTCGTAATCTTAGTGATTAAATTACATATTGTACTATAAATGATCCTCGTTTTTTTTCTTATACCTCAATATAAAATTTCCAGCAACGATGTCTGACAAAACAGAAATCACAGCCAGCGAAGTTAAACCGAATCCTGAATATATTGGTGCTTTCTCGAACCTATCAATCGAGTCTTGTGTTCGATTAAGTTTTCCAGGCGATCGTTATCCTGCATCAACAATTCAGCTGTTTCTCGCAAAATATCATTCACTTCCATGTGTTTTACATTGTGCCAGCAATATTGATAGAAGATTATTCCATGTAACAACAATACGAGGTTATTTCCATGATGAATTCCAACATGATTCAAATACCGATCTGATCACCGGAAATTACAATTGTCTAACAAATCAAATGGAAGTCAATACGTGTTTTTGTGATTTAAAAAACGGCGTGATGGTCGAGTTTTCAGATTTTTATATCAATTCCGACGTCTTAAATCCAAACAGATTGAAGGCAGATGATTTGAACGGTGGATTTGCAGTGACACAATCCATTAATATTTATTTTCTTCCACATCAGATGACATTAGTGCAAGAAATGAGCAAATCTTTTTATAAAATGGCAGTTTTAACTCCAGAACCAAGCCGAACATTTACTCTACAAATGGTATGTCGGAATCAATGTGGATATTACCTCACTAGTATTACGATAAAGAAGCCAGTTATTACCGATCTTGCGCTTCATTATGGAAAAGATTTCGTGTCAGTTCATGAGAAAATTATTAAAAATTTAAACAAGAAAGAAGATAAAGGTATCGTACTTTTACATGGTATTCCTGGTTCAGGTAAAGTGGAAAGAGAAAAAAATTGTGGTTCCATGTTTCGTATTAGGAAAAACTCATTATATTCGATATTTAATCCATGAAATTGAAGGTAAATCGTTGATCTATGTTCCACCGGATATGGCAAAAGAAATTTCTTCACCGGATTTTCTTCCATTTCTCATGCAGTATCCCGATTCGATTCTTATCATTGAAGACGCAGAGAATATTATCAAAGATAGAAATGAATCGTTTTTTCCGTCACAAGCTGTTGCTAATCTTCTGAATTTGTAAAGAAATCTTGTTGAGATTAAACATAACTAACACTCATTTCGTTGTTTAGGTCTGATGGTTTATTAGGTGATGCCATGCATCAACAAATCATCGCTACATTTAATTGTGATTTAACGACAATCGATCCAGCTTTACTGCGCAAGGGTCGTTTAATTGCCAATTATGAATTCAACAAATTAAGCTTAGAAAATTCAAAAATTCTCTCGGAAACATTAGGATTCGGAACAACAAATGTCACTGAACCAATGACATTGGCCGACATTTATAATCAGAATGAAGGTGTTTCTTAAAATGAAGTTTAATCGTCAAGTGACACGAGAAAACATGATTTTTGCCTTTTTTCATGTCGAACAACATTTAGAAAAAGAAACATTTATTGGAAATTCCCGCATCTTCAGGCTTTGACAAATATCAGTTTAAGTAATAGGTATCGCGTGCTCTCGTCTAACCCGTCTTATGTAATTCTTGAGGGTGTTAACAATCGTATTGAGTACAACCATTGTTTTCTAATCAGTACATCTTGGATAATGTTAACGGAGGATACAAGAATTCACCGACTTTAAAATTAATAATAAAATCTATCATAATTAAAACAAGTTCTCGCGAGACTGATTTTATTTAGAAATCCTGAATAATGTCAGACGTTCAACGTGTCTGGAACTCTAATGATTAAAGAGTGGATGATTAGACGAACGATCGCCTGTTTACACCCATTCTTTAATGATAAAAGTGGAAGAGTGTTTTCGTGTTATCGACTACTGATCATTTGGTAATGACCAATTCCACTTTTGAAGCCACTCTTTCTCCGCTCTGGACAGTTTTCTTCCTCCATGCTTCCATGTTCCATCATCTCTTAGTGCGTGCTTACCACCCTCAAAATGAACATGTGCAGAGCTGTCACCTGGCCGACTTTGATGAGCTTGATCGACGCGGTCGATTGTTTTCGGTGCTATTCCCTTGTTAATTTCTTGATTCATTTGATTGACATTAAAATTACGGGTACCAAACACATCGAAGTCAGCCATTATATAGCAAATTCTAAAACAAATATGTAGACTTTGTGTGTTCGATGTTTATTGTGAGAACACCAACAACAACACGATGGAAAAGGACAGACGACGACCACATACTCCTATATGTGAAGATGTACACATCTATATGTTTGATCATGATAATGAAAAGTCCATACGAGTAGATATGTTCGTATGGTGACACATGATAGAAAAGGAAAAGTCCAATACGTCGTATATTGGAGGAATCCAAACAATAGAAGCAAGAGGCTGCTCTCGTTTATACTTGTCTGACATCTTGCGACGTGAGGATGTGACTGTATAAATGAGGGTTAAGAAGAGGAACTTTCTTATTTTTTTTAGAACCTAGCGATTATTAATATTCTTCTTACACTTACTGTGAAACGAAATGTCCTAAAATTGATAGTTTGTTGGTTAACGCAACGCTCTGTTATACTAAAAAAGAAGAGACAAACAAAACAGATAAATGAGTTGAAGAATAGTGTATTGCATTAGATGGACAACTATCAAGTAGTAATCACTTCATAAGATGCATATAGAATACACGTACGATGTATAGTCTTATTTATTCGTTACTTTTATCTTTTCCTTCAACTGGTTTTTTTCCCAAGCACTGAGTAATATTCTTTTTATGGTATGTCATAAAATTGTGTATATCAAACATACATACTTTTGTTTCTCTTTTATACAGATTAATCTCATTAATATCTCGATCGAGTTTGCACTAGGTATTGATGTACAGAAAAAGGAGAGATTTCACGCATTGGTACGATTGCTCGCAATGTGTTGAGCTTGAGCAAAAGCTGCTATCACAAAACTTTCTATTGTGGCTGCTTAGATCTCGAACAATGGTGAAAATGTGGCGGGAACTATAGGATTAGCACTAGCATGGCAGGTTGAAGAACAGAAAGGATCTTATCAAAGCCATCTTTGTGTTGATAAACGTCCTTAAACTTTCTAAGAATTGTAGTCCTCTTGAACTGTAAAACTTCGGAAAAGTCAATATTTCCAAAGATTGCATACAAATGTTGTTGATAATTAAAACCAGTTCTTCATCCTCGTCTCTCTAGTTTTGCTGCCTGTTTTAGAAAAACGATCTTATCTCTGTTCGAATGTGCTCAACTGTAGGCTATATAGTATGAGGCTGGATCCGAAAACCTCTACCAAAGAGATAGACTTCGTCTTAGTTGCTATTTATTGCATATTATTCTCAAATACAGTGTAGTGCATTAATAATTCTACCGAAAAGCTTCCATTCTATCGTAACACATACTCTAAATTTTAGTTTATTGAAATATGCTCACGATAAGAACAAAGCTGAAAGTAGCTATCTGCGGAAATTCTCACAAATGATTATAAAGGATTTATTCGTAGCTCTTTATGGATGTTTAATATGCAGGATAGTTAGTTTTTTTCCAATCCTGTTCTCGTTACTCATATGTTACTTAAGAAAATGAGTCAAGAGACGTAATTGCCGCTTAGTATAGTATAACTTGTGTATCTGTTTTGATAGGGGTCTTACATTTCATTTCCATTAATGTTTGTCTATAGTATAATATGTAAACGAGCATTTATCGGTTCGTGTTGATGATCATGTTTAAAGTACATGTATATACGTTATGCAGGTTTGTACAAAATTCGATTTTGTATATAAAGGATGCTAAGTTTCGTCAATATGATTTCCCTCTCTCTCATCAACTGACACTGAATCGTGCGATAGCGACCGCAATTCATGAAATCGGATACTCACGTTAATCGTTCAAATATTATATGATTATCTCCAAGACAAAACGATCATCACAGAACACTTCCAAGTCTGTTAGATGCAGAAAAGATAAATAGAGAAAGTTTTACCCTATTACATCCATACTTCATTAACTCAAAACACCACAATGGACGGTTGTGATGAGCATCGCTTATGTTCAATTTTATGAATTATATCTATTCACTATTTTATCAAATTGATATAAAAACAACACTGAGAATGAAGAAAAAGCGCTTTTTCCTCTAGTCATCTTGTTCGGGTTTAATGGGTTTAAATGCTGATTGAGGATGATGGTTCACTTGAATTCGCACAGGATGTGCTTGAACGATAATCGTTTGTGACGAATCATTCGTTTGTGAGATCTCTTCTGTTGATGTTTGTCGAAATTGATCGGTTAACATTTGACAATGTTCTTTCAACGATTCAATATCTTTTGTATTTGCATTCAAAACGTCTTTGAGACGACTCAACAAATGAACAAATCCATTTGCCATAGTCTAGAAGCAAAAACGGATAACTTTGGAATAGATCCGCGCTTGATCAACGTACTTGACACAAGATCATCTCAGGCGGAGACTTTTTCTGATCGAAATTCGGTGGAAGTTGAACGAGTTCGTCCAATTGAATCAAAGTTTGCTGTAAATTTTCTAGTCCACGTCTTTCACCCACATTTAATAAAGAATTAATTCGCGTACAGAACGCAGAAATCATCTCTTTATCACTTAAATAAAACAAACAACGATGAACTCAATTGAAGAAAAAGAAATTTCATTTACTTAACAACCAGTCGTATCGCCTTCTCAGCTCGTTTCACGTTTTCATCCATTTGTTGATGAGATTTTGTCAACTGCTGAATCTTCTCTTTCGAATAATTTTCGTTCTGTTTCATCTGATTGCATTTCTCTTGAATGAAATCTTTTTCGTTTTGCGTCTGGTGAATAATATCCGTTAAAGATTTCAATTGGTTATTTTGTTCGTTCAGTAAATCTTGCGCTTGTTTTTCACGATCCAATGCTCGTTGTAATTCATCGCATATACGTTCAAATTGATTGTAATCAATGCGAGAATCGATTTCATTCGCATATTTCTCCAAAGTTTTCTCCAGTTGCGAACATTCATTTTCTTTTTCATGAAATTTCAATTCTATGAACAAAGAATTCTTTGTTGAAAGTAGGAGATCGCAGTATAGAGACTTACCTGATTGGTCAACTTGAACAATCAACGAATGAATCAGATCATTTGTCTGGAAGAAAGATTTCGAGGAAAAATTTGTTTAGAAAGTAAGACAAACCTTTGTAAACGAAGATTTCGGAAGCCCATTGGCAATTGATTTAAGCAATGTTCTGAAAAACAAAAGAGATTTCGATTAATCGAAGTGAAGTGTGACTAACCCTTTTTGTATTGGCGAATAAAATCGATTCAATTGATGAATCAGCGATGGAAATAACTGATCGAAATTGAGATTTGAAATGAAATTCTTTTTGTTATAATTTGAAAGAATATTTTCATCGTAAAAGACATTCGACGATGCAGAAAGAAGTTTGACAGAAAGAGAATTTTTCTTCAACGAAGAAAATCTTTTCGCAGCAATGATAGAAATCGCATAAAGTCGAAAACGATTTGGAAATAAACGATTCGGATTCAGAATTTGTTTGATTTGGTTGTACCGAACATATTCTTGTTTAAGAAAACGATTCGAATCGATCAGTTGTAAATATCTGCGTTGAAGTGGAAGCCAAAGCGAGATGAGATGTTTTAGAATCAAATCATATTTCTCCATTTGTTCGCTCAAATCGTTTTTCGATTTCTTTTCGCTGCTGAAACGTTGTTCGCTTTCCTTTGCATGAATTTCCATTTTCTAAACCGAAAGATTATCGAGTAAATCGACAGCCGAAGAAGATACAAACTTGTAGTTGATTATTCAATGTCTGAATATCATTTTGATGTCGGAGTAATAGTTGTTCTTTTTGTGTCAAAAACATTTGATGTTTTTCATCGAAATCGTTTTTCATCAGAAGGATTTGTTCTTGAAGTTTTTGAGTTAATTGCAAAATTCCCTGATCTTTTTCGATTAGTTTTTCTTCTAATGAAGTCGATTTGAGAAGGATTTTTTCGAATTCTTTTTCTAATTCATTGAAATTGTTTTCAATATTCGACGATTTCTTGCCTACGAAATTCCTTAATTTCAATTCGATAGAATTGATTGTAGCAGTTTTCTTTTCTAAGTCTTTCAACAATTGTTCGCGGTCACGTTTTAAACGTATTAAAGTCTCTTCATAAGTGAAATTCTTTTCGCGACATTCGTCCAATTCAATTTGCAATTTTTCGCGAGTGACTTCTGTTTCCTGTTCAAGTTGCTTCTGTGTTAATGAGGATTTGTTTAATCTTTCGATTGTTTTCTTTAGTCGGTTAATCTAAATTGAAGAACATCGTTTGCTGAGGAATAAAGGAAAACAAACGACAACCAACTTCATTGGTTTGATCATTTTTCGATGTTTTTAATTGTTCGATGTGAAGTTTCAGTTCTTCTAATTGTTTCAATGTCGGTAAATTTGTATCAGTTTGAAATGTTTCATTGACGATTCGTGTTAAACGAAGAAGTTCGAATGTTTTATTAACTAATTGAGCGTATTTATCTTCATTATTTCGAAACTTCCGTCGATACTAAAATATTCAACGGTGAATTTTGTCAAAAAAAAAAAAACGAAGAAGAAATTACATTAGCTAATTCTTCTCGACACGATTTCAATTGTTTGTCATATTCGACTGTTGATTTTTGTGCTTCTGCACACTTGATTTCCAATTCTGATTGAACTTTCGCTAAAGTCGTTCGAAGAAGTTTCTCATTCGATGATTGTTTTTGAAATTCATCGATTTTTCTCTCGTGATTTTTACACGTGTTTTTCAGTGTTTCACAAATTCCCTCCAAGTCGGAAAGACGAGTCTAAACAAATCCAATCGTTCAACGTTCAGTTCGATTCAAAAGAACAAACTGACAGTTAACAGTTGAACATTGAGTTTGGCTTCATTGGAAATCTGTCGTTCTTGTTCGAGAGCTTGTTCACTGTATTGGAGTTTGATTTGAACAACTTCGTATTCTTTCTTCAATTCACTTTCGCGTTCTTTAGCTAAAATTGATTGAGCTAAGTTTTTTCGGGATAAAGTTTCCGAATCGGTGAACGTTTCTAGAGAAATCGATGGTGATTTAATGGGACTTTTAAAAAGAAAACTTACTTTCCATTTTTTGAATCTGTTCATTCAATGCCGCGATTCGTCTAAGAAAGAAAAATGTGCGAAGCTTTAACAAACAGAAGTCAAACCTTTCTCGATCGTGTAGAGTTTCGGTTTCATTTTCTAATTCTTTGATTCTTCGCTCTTTTTCCTTCAATTCCTCCTGAATTTGATTGGAATCGTTCAATTGTGTTTGATATTGTTTGATTTGCTCTTTACAAAAAACAAAGAGAATAATTAAAAAGAAAACGATAATGCTGAATACCATTCGCTTGATTGAATTGATTTTGTAATTGATGTGTAAAAGCTGTTTGTTTGCCATGTTGTGCTCGAAGAAGTGTTAATTCGTATTCTAAAGTTTGTCTCAGCATTTCGCTTTNTTCCTTAATTTCAATTCGATAGAGTTGATTGTAGCTGTTTTCTTTTCTAAGTCTTTCAACAATTGTTCGCGGTCACGTTTTAAACGTATTAAAGTCTCTTCATAAGTGAAATTCTTTTCGCGACATTCGTCCAATTCAATTTGCAATTTTTCGCGAGTGACTTCTGTTTCCTGTTCAAGTTGCTTCTGTGTTAATGAAGATTTGTTTAATCTTTCGATTGTTTTCTTTAGTCGGCTAATCTAAATTGAAGAACATTATTTGCTGAGGAATAAAGGAAAACAAACGACAACCAACTTCATTGGTTTGATCGTTTTTCGATGTTTTTAATTGTTCGATGTGAAGTTTCAGTTCTTCTAATTGTTTCAATGTCGGTAAATTTGTATCAGTTTGAAATGTTTCATTGACGATTCGTGTTAAACGCAGAAGTTCGAATGTTTTGTTAACTAATTGAGCGTACTTATCTTCATTATTTCGAAACTTCCTTCGATACTAAAAACATTCAACGGTGAATTTTTTTGAAAAACAAAAAACGAAGACGAAATTACATTAGCTAATTCTTCTCGACACGATTTCAATTGTTTGTCATATTCTACTGTTGATTTTTGTGCTTCCGCACACTTGATTTCCAATTCTGATTGAACTTTTGCTAAAGTCGTTCGAAGAAGTTTCTCATTCGATGATTGTTTTTGAAATTCATCGATTTTTCTCTCATGATTTTTACACGTGTTTTTCAGCGTTTCACAAATTCCCTCCAAGTCGGAAAGACGAGTCTAAACAAATCCAATCGTTCAACGTTCACTTCGATTCAAAAGCACAAACTGACAGTTAATAGTTGAACATTGAGTTTGGCTTCATTAGAAATCTGTCGTTCTTGTTCGAGAGCTTGTTCACTGTATTGGAGTTTGATTTGAACAACTTCGTATTCTTTTTTCAATTCACTTTCGCGTTCTTTGGCTAAAATTGATTGAGCTAAGTTTTTTCGGGATAAAGTTTCCGAATCGGTGAATGTTTCTAGAGAAATCGACGGTAATTTGATGGGATTTTTAAAAGAAAAACTTACTTTCCATTTTCTGAATCTGTTCATTCAACGCCGCAATTCGTCTAAGAAAGAAAAATGTGCGAAGCTTTAACAAACAGAAGTCAAACCTTTCTCGATCGTGCAGAGTTTCGGTTTCATTTTCTAATTCTTTAATTCTTCGTTCTTTCTCCTTCAATTCCTCCTGAATTTGATTGGAATCGTTCAATTGTGTTTGATATTGTTTGATTTGCTCTTTACAAAAAAAAATCAAAGAGAATAATTAAAAAGAAAACGATAATGTTGAATACCATTCGCTTGATTGAATTGATTTTGTAATTGATGTGTAAAAGCTGTTTGTTTGCCATGTTGTGCTCGAAGAAGTGTTAATTCGTATTCTAAAGTTTGTCTCAGCATTTCGCTTTTTTCTAATTCAGATCTTAATCGTGCTAGTTGACTTTGAACATTGATCAACTAGAACAGAAATTGATTTTGTCGATTTTCAAATGCGAATTTTCGTTCGAACTTCTCGATTATTCGTTGTTATTTGATTAAATTGAGCGTCATGAAGATCTAACGTTCGACGAAAATTCTCTACAGGAGTTTTATTTTCATCTTCATCGTTGATAGACATTTCACCAAGAAATGAATCGGATTCAAACTAAAAATCAATTTTTATACGATATTTTCTTCCGATTTACTGAACCTACCTCACTCGTCAACGTAACCATCGTTCAGTTCAAATAAATTTTTTTTCTCTCAGACCATATTAAGCCATTGGACATTGTCCTAGAAACAATCGAATGATCCTCTTCGAGAATTTTCGAGCGACACCTATTGAATAGACGGACATTGGACAGAGGAGAGGAAGAAGAATGATTTCTTTTTTTTTCTTCTTCATCTATATTGACATATTTTATATTTCATCGTGGAATAGATTGTATCAATGTTTCAAAAATACGAGAGTTTCGTGTACAAAACAGTATACCTATCGATATGTTTTGAACGGAATCAATATCATACTAATTGTCATATATAAACGATAAAAAACGAAGAGATTTAAAGTAAAATCTTAGTGATATGTAACAAAAGTTGCCTGTTCTGTAAATTGATGGATACTGATAAAGATGAATGTAGTTTATCTTAATTTGCTGACAAAAACATACTTGTGCAAGCGAATACATCGACTCGACATTTTTTTACGTTCTCCAAATCGTCACGAAACTGAGTCATACGCTTGCTTTGATTATTCAAATTATGACCAAAGGCAATGAGCCGAAGAATAATAGTACAAGTCGTATGCAATATGATGGATCAACAATAATGTTGCTAGCGTTAATGAACAATACAGATTGGCGTCGTCGACCATCGGCAATCGAATCAATGATCTTGGATCGCTATAAAAAACAACGTCACACATTGTATGTTACATTTCTACTCTTCTTTATGTTATTTGTTTATGGTATGTCAGAGCGGCACGCAATTACTTCTGGATCTGATCCTAACCTTAATATTGACTTCCTCAATGCATTGAACGATAGAAATACGACTCAAACATATTTTGGTGCACAGAGTCTTAATTTGAACGATAAAATACGCACACGAGTAGTCTATTTCATCCTAGATGGCCTTCGTTTCGATGCGATTCAGACGAATCCATCATTGAAGGCATTGTTAACATCGACATGGTTCGCATCGGATTCTCTGTTATTGAAGATGTCCACTCAGTTCCCAACTGTATCCGTTCCGAATTGGCAGAGTCTCATCACTGGTGCTCGGCCATCATTGCATGGCCGTGTAGGCAATGATGATTTAACACCGTATACGTTCGACTCCATCTTTACTTCGGTGATGAGTGTCGGAATGAAAAACGGACTTAGTGGTGATGGATGGTGGTCTATTCTACTCAATGGTCNAAGTTTGTCTCAGCATTTCGCTTTTTTCTAATTCAGATCTTAATCGTGCTAGTTGACTTTGAACATTGATCAACTAGAACAGAAATTGATTTTGTCGATTTTCAAATGCGAATTTTCGTTCGAACTTCTCGATTATTCGTTGTTATTTGATTAAATTGAGCGTCATGAAGATCTAACGTTCGACGAAAATTCTCTACAGGAGTTTTATTTTCATCTTCATCATTGATGGACATCTCACCAAGAAATGAATCGGATTCAAACTAAAAATCAACTTTTATACGATGTTTTCTTCGGATTTACTGAACCTACCTCACTCGTCAACGTAACCATCGTTCAGTTCAAATAAATTTTTTTTCTCTCAGACCATGTTAAGCCATTGGACATTGTCCTAGAAACAATCGAATGATCCTCTTTGAGAATTTTCGAGCGACACCTATTAAATAGACGGACATTGGACAGAGGAGGGGAAGAAGAATGATTTCTTTTTTTTTCTTTTTTCATATATATTGACATGTTCAATATTTCATCGTGGAATCGATTGTATCAATGTTCGAAAATACGAGAGTTTCGTATGCAAAACGGTATACTTATCGATGTGTTTTGAACGGAATTAATAATATACCAGTTGTTATATATAAACAATAGAAAACGAAGAGATGTGAAGTAAAATCTTTGTGATATGTAACGAAAATTGCCTGTTCTGTAAATTGATGGATACTGACAAAGGTGAATGTAGCTTACCTTAATTTGCTAACAAAAAACATACTTCTGTAAGCGAATACGTCGACTCGAAATTTTTTTACGTTCTCCAAACCGTCACGAAACTGAGTCATACGCTTGCTTTGATTATTCAAATTATGACCAAAGACAGTGAGTCGAAGAATAATAGTGCAAGTCGTACGCAATATGATGGATCAACAATAATGTTGCTGGCATTAATGAACAATACAGATTGGCGTCGTCGACCATTGACAATCGAATCAATGATCTTCGATCGCTATAAAAAACAACGTCACACATTGTATGTTACATTTCTACTCTTCTTTATGTTATTTGTTTATAGTATGTCGGAGCGACATGCGATCACTTCAGGATCTGATCCTAACCTTAATACTGACTTCCTCAATGCATTGAATGATAGAAATACGACTCAAACATATTTTGGTGCACAGAGTCTTAATTTGAACGATAAAATACGTACACGAGTAGTCTATTTCATCCTAGATGGCCTTCGTTTCGATGCAATTCAGACGAATCCATCATTGAAGGCATTGTTAACATCGACATGGTTCGCATCAGATTCTCTGTTATTGAAAATGTCCACTCAATTCCCAACTGTATCCGTTCCGAATTGGCAGAGTCTCATCACTGGTGCTAGGCCATCATTGCATGGTCGTGTAGGCAATGATGATTTAACACCGTATACGTTCGACTCCATCTTTACTTCGGTGATGAGTGTCGGAATGAAAAACGGACTTAGTGGTGATGGATGGTGGTCTATTCTACTCAATGGTCATCTGACTCCATTTTATGGAGATGGTACTAGTCCTACATTGACGCACAATTTTGGCGATGCATTCTATACGCACGGTCACAGTGATCGTAACAAGGACATTGCTTACAATCAACGATTCCATGCTGCAATTAATAGTCAAACTGTGGTACGTCGATCGAATGGATCGATGGATATCATTCAATTCGATTATGATTTGTTCCTATCTTATTACGGTGATATTGATGGGGAATCTCATTCATTTGGGCCTCAATCATCGCAGACACAATCAGCTATTGACGATAAGGTGATGTTCGTTCGCGAAGGTATCAATGCCATCACTACACTAGACGCAATGACACAGACTCGCACCGTATTTATCATCACAAGTGATCATGGACATGTCAATGCTGGTGGACATGGTGGTGATGCACATGTGTTGATGACTGTTCCTCTCATCGTCTATGTAAAAGATTCTCAATTGGCTTCTGCAAAGAATTTGTTGCCTGTTTATTCCACGTTTGACACAGTCGACATAGCCACAACCATTGCTGGTCTTCTAGGTGCACCAGTACCACGTCAGAGTGAAGGAACTTTCATTTCTCCTCTCATTTCTGCTCTTGTCCCTGCATCGAAATGGCACCATCTATATTTTGATTTGTTCAAGCAGAAACAATCGTTGGTAAAAGCTCTGCTGAAGCAGTGGAATCAATCATCATTAGAGTCGCAGTACCATTCACTACTTGCCGACGCGATGGAAAAGAATATCAATATTACCGTACTCAACAATAATATTAACGCACTCTCCACGCTCATTGAAGTCTCCAAAACGCATCGCATTACGCATATCATGATGAGAAATTTTCTCTTCGGTTTGGTCATTGGCATCTTTGGCATTCTAGCATTATGCATCGTTTTCCACCGATCCACTTTTCTTAATTTTTATGCGCTATTACCATTGAGAGGGCTCTTACTGAATCGCCGTTTCACAAAAAACATGGCCGAAGACAAATCTGTATCTACCTACGTTCAACGTGTACATCGAACGTTTTTCATATTTGCTTTGGTGATCATCGGCTTATGGTGGTTGTTGATGATGATCTTACTATTAGTCATCTTCGCCAATATATACCGTCCTACGGATGAATGGCGATGGCAGCTCACGCTCTTCAATTCAGCGCACGACGCTTACGTTCTCATAGTTGGCATTTGTGTTTTCGGCTCATTTCTCGTCACTGTGCTTATCGCTTTGACAGTATGGCTTGTGTTTAGCCTGAAAAACATGACAATCTGGTTGTCTTCTAAACAAGTTACGAAGTCTTTAGTGCTGTCTCCAACAGCATCTTTGTATTACCTCAGTCTCTACGTGACTTTCTTGTTTACTATGAATGCGATTCTCTTTCACTTGAGTCAAAGCTTTCATTGTCTCTGGTTGCCATTTATTCGCCGTGTCACAATTATCACTCCCATGACATTGAACTTGCGATTCCAAGCGTTGACGATATCTTTCATGATGATGCCACCTATGTTATCACTCATGGCTATTAATATACTCATACGAAATCATCTATTTCGACAGTTTCCCATTCCACAGTTTCATGAACACAAAGAGTGTCAAACGACGCGTTTTCATATTCTAGCCAATCAATGCGAACACGATGAATGAAAATTCTTGCTCGTTAGAGTCGTATGAAAAATAAAAAATTACAAAGGTTTGATCTTGAAGAGAATATCATTTGTTGTGATGAACTGTCCAAGATGGCAGTGAATTGATTGGACCATTCCATTGACCGATGAACAAATTACTAATTTCATTTTCATGGCTTCGAGTAATGATTAAAGGCGAATCAACTTTCACTTCAGCATTTTCCTCAACTAATAATTTCCAAACATTTCTACAAACATCAGAACGAATGAGTTTTGTAACTCTATCGTCTTCTGGTATTTCATCATTGACTTCTGAATCGTGATCGTTTTGAACTTCGAAATCATTTTTCCAAAGTGAAACTTCCTTATTAAAAGCTTCATCACGTTTTTCGAGGAAATTTGATATACTCTCAGATTCAATTAGAAAGAATCACCTATATTTTTTCAAATTCAATTCATTATCTTCTACAATTCCAATCTGCAACCGTCCGTCTTGAAAAGCCTGACGTTGAATTTCAAGTTCATGTTCATCAACAGGATAAAATCTAACTTGATCGAAAAATCTTAGCAGCCAAGGATTTTTATCCTTGAGCGATTGATTTCGTACGAAAGCGTTCTAAATAGGTAAAGTCCGTCCAACTAATTGATAACCTCCAGGTGAATCCCATTCCATAGATGCACATATAAGTCAACATCATTCGGTAACCAAGGTGCGCAATGGCGGACGGTTTGTTAGTAACGTTGGACGGCGTCGAGTGTAGCAGAATCTTCGAACGTTAATGGTAGACGAACAATTCGACTCTGAACACATTAATTTTGATCATTTGATGTTAACGATTGTTCGATATGAAGTAGATTTTTAATCAATTCTTTTTGATGAATTATTCGGCTGTCAAATCTAACTTGAAGAGAGCGGACACCAAGTGATAATTCGAAAATTCCGTTGATTGGATTTGTTACATAAGACAATGAACGCGAAATCGATCGTGTAAATCGAGATTCATCGAGCCGTATTCGATAAGAATATAATGATCACCTTGGTCTTCTGTCTCTTCCAATTCTTCTACAATACACTGGGATGATTGTTTTGCTGCTGAAAATGACAGATCCAGATGAAGATGTCAACGTTGAAATGAGTTCATCTTGTTGTTTTTCAAATTTCAATGCTTGATCAAACGTAATTGGAGAGAACTGAATTTGATCATTTGGCCAATCTTCCACAGTTCAGCTTTAACAATTGTAGCCAGACAAACAAAACGACCTAAACTTGGCCCATCCTGTGTCAGAATAATCGGTGTATCACCAGTGAATTTGATACTTCCAATAGCATATTGGCAATCATGGATATTGGAAGGATGTAAACCAGTATCACCGCCATTTGTGCGAGACCACGCGGGTGTTGGTCCTAGTAGACGAATTTCAAGAAGTTGAAAAAAACTCATCAATAAAGTCGGACGTGAAGAAGTCAGATGTGCCATGTGGACCATATAGAACAGCAACTTACCATTCTTCGTCACTGTCAATGTTTGGATAAGTTGGAATGATTGGTTTCAAGACATTTGCTGGGATTTCATGTGAGATTGATGAATCGATATGTAAAGTATCGCCTGACTTTATTAGTCGACTGGCATAGCCGCCGAATTTTCCCAGAACAAATGTTGGCCCAATTAGCGTACACTCGAGTCCTGCTGCAGAAGGATGGCTTCGGTAACCGGATGTTCGACCTGAAATGACCGACAAGGATGAAAAACGGAGAAATGAAAAGGAATGTTTTACTTGTAAACGACAGTTAACTTCGAGAAAATAGATTTCATTTGGATCTCTATCGTAAACAAATTCAACAGTACCAGCTGAACGATATTTTATCAAAGAACCAAGTCGAATAGCTGCATCTTGAAGACGTGAACGATTATCATCGGATAGGTTCGACGCTGGTGCTTCCTCAACGATTTTTTGATGTCGACGTTGTAAAGAACAGTCACGTTCACTAAGCCCTATGACATAACCTTGACCGTCTCCAAAGATTTGAATTTCAATATGACAAGCACTATCAACAAGGCGTTCAAGATAAATACCATTATTTTTTAGGAATTTCTTTCCTGTTCGACGTACTTTTTCAAACATTTCGATCAATTCTTTTTCATTGCTGGAACACCGTACCATACCTTTACTACCTCAAACTGCGGTACTTTTCAACATAACTGGATATCCGATGATTGATGCTTCTCTTTTCCCTTCTTCTATAGATCAGATAAGAAACCCGTGCGTGGTAAGAGCAGTAGATTGACTTCGAATGCTAATTCATAAGCAATGTCGTTTAAGGCCGAGTTGATGAATTTTTTCGGGTGTCAGATCAATAAAACAAAGACCAGCTGATTCACAACTTCGAGCGAAATCCGCATTCTCAGATAAGAATCCATAACCGGGGAAAATGGCGTCTACTCTTTCCTTATTTGCTAATTCAATAATCAAATCACCGTGTAGATAGATTTCGCCCGATGGAGCATTTTTTAATTCAATTGCGCGATCAACGGCTATGACATGACCAGAGTAACGATCGGCTTCGGAATAAATTCCGATGCTTTCAATTCTTAGTCGACATAAAGTATAAGAGCAACACGCATAACAACCTCACCAAGATTAGCAATAAATACGGCTTTGAACATATTAGTATCCCTATGAAAAGAAATTGACGCGAATGACAAAGTTACTGTTTATTCTAGCACTTACTTTTGACGGGAAAAATTTTCGTATAAAACCAATAAAAAAATCGTGTGAAAAGGTACAATTTGCTCTTCAATACGTAATGCGCATAGGAAATGTGATTATTCCCCACTGTACACACAAATGCATTGGATCTCTTTCTATTTATCTCGTTTACAATAAAACAAGAACGTTTGTGCATATTAACAAGTACAAATTCTCTATTTCTAAACTCCATGACATTTTTCGCGAAGAGGCTTACCATGTGGTATATATATTCGAACAATATTTTACTTTTAGAACTAATGAGGACGAAGACAGTCAAAACCAAGAATTTGATCATGTTGAACGATGGGTTTAATTTGGCAATTATATCGATTGTTTTCTAGTGTCCGCAATGAATCTAAATGTAAAACAGTGGTTCGTTCTTGCAACGCGATCTTTATTAACAAAATATCTCGGCTGACACATTTACAGTACATTGTACCAGTTGTGTTATGGCGATTTTANATCAGATTCTCTGTTATTGAAAATGTCCACTCAATTCCCAACTGTATCCGTTCCGAATTGGCAGAGTCTCATCACTGGTGCTAGGCCATCATTGCATGGTCGTGTAGGCAATGATGATTTAACACCGTATACGTTCGACTCCATCTTTACTTCGGTGATGAGTGTCGGAATGAAAAACGGACTTAGTGGTGATGGATGGTGGTCTATTCTACTCAATGGTCATCTGACTCCATTTTATGGAGATGGTACTAGTCCTACATTAACGCACAATTTTGGCGACGCATTCTATACGCACGGTCACAGTGATCGTAACAAGGACATTGCTTACAATCAACGATTCCATGCTGCAATTAATAGTCAAACAGTGGTACGTCGATCGAATGGATCGATGGATATCATTCAATTCGATTATGATTTGTTCCTGTCTTATTACGGTGATATTGATGGTGAATCTCATTCATTTGGACCTCAATCATCGCAGACACAATCAGCTATTGACGATAAGGTGATGTTTGTGCGTGAAGGTATCAATGCCATCACTACACTAGACGCAATGACACAGACTCGCACCGTATTTATCATCACAAGTGATCATGGACATGTCAAAGCTGGTGGACATGGTGGTAATGCAGATGTGTTGATGACTGTTCCTCTCATCGTCTATGTAAAAGATTCTCTACTGGCTTCTGCGAAGAATTTGTTGCCTGTTTATTCCACGTTTGACACAGTCGACATAGCCACAACCATTGCTGGTCTTCTAGGTGCACCAGTACCACGTCAGAGTGAAGGAACTTTCATTTCTCCTCTCGTTTCTGCTCTTGTCCCTGCATCGAAATGGCACTATCTATATTTTGATTTGTTCAAGCAGAAACAATCATTGGTAAAAGCTCTGCTGAAGCAGTGGAATCAATCATCATTAGAGTCGCAGTACCATTCACTACTCGCCGACGCGATGGAAAAGAATATCAATATTACCGTACTCAACAGTAATATTAACGCGCTCTCTAAGCTCATTGAAGTCTCCAAAATGCATCGCATTACGTATATCATGATGAGAAATTTTATCTTCGGTTTGTTCGTTGGTATCTTTGGCATTCTAGCAATATGCATCGTTTTCCACCGGTCCACTTTTCTTAATTTTTGTGCACTATTACCATCGACAGGGCTCTTACTGAATCGCTGTTTCACAAGAAACATGACTGAAGGCAAATCTGTATCTACTTATGTTCAACGTGTGCATCGAATATTTTTCATATTTGCCTTGATAATCACTGGCTTATGGTGGTTGTTAATGATGATCTTACTATTGGTTATCTTCGCCAATATGTACCGTCCTACGGATGAATGGCGATGGCAGCTCACGCTCTTCAATTCAGCGCACGATGCTTACGTTCTCATAGTTGGTGTTTGTGTTTTCGGTTCATTTCTCGTCACTGTGCTTATCGCTTTGACAGTATGGCTTGTCTTTAGCCTGAAAAACACGACAATCTGGTTGTCTTCCAACCAAGTTATGAAATCCTTAGCCCTGTCTCCAACAGCATCTTTGTATTACCTCAGTTTCTACGTGACTTTCTTGTTTACTGTGAATGCGATTCTCTTTCACTTGTGTCAAAGCTTTCATTGTCTCTGGTTGCCATTTATTCGCCGTATCACAATTATCACGCCCACGACATTGAACTTGCGATTCCAAGCATTGACGATATCTTTCATGATGATGCCACCTATGTTATCACTCATGGTTATTAACATACTCATACGAAATCATCTGTTTCGAAAGTTTCCCAATCCACAGTTTCATGAACACAAAGAGGGTCAAACGACGCTTTTTCATACTTTAGTCAATCAATGTGAACACGATGAATGATAATTCTTGCTCGTTGGAGTCGTATGAAAAATAAAAAATTACAAAGGTTTGATCTTTAAGAGAATATCATTTGTTGTGATGAACTGTCCAAGATGGCAGTGAATTGATTGGACCATTCCATTGACCGGTGAACGAATTGCTAATTCCATTGTCATGGCTTCGAGTAATGATTAAAGGCGAATCAACTTTCACTTCAGCATTTTCCTCAACTAATAATTTCCAAACATTTCTACAAACATCAGAACGAATGAGTTTTGTAACTCCATCGTCATCTGGTATTTCGTCATTGACTTCTGAATCGTGATCGTTTTGAGCTTCGAAACCATTTTTCCAAAGAGAAAATTCCTTATTAAAAGCTTCATCACGTTTTTCGAGGAAATTTGATATACTCTGAGATTCATTTTGAAAGAATCACCTATATTTATTCAAATCCAATTCATTATCTTCTACAATTCCAATCTGCAACCGTCCGTCTTGAAAAGCCTGACGTTGAATTTCAAGTTCATGTTCATCAACAGGATAAAATCTGACTTGATCGAAAAATCTTAGCAGGCAAGGATTTTTATCCTTGAGCGATTGATTTCGTACGAAAGCGTTCTAAATAAGTAAAGTCTGTCCAACTAATTGATAGCCTCCAGGTGAATCCCATTCCATAGATGCACATATAAGTCAACGTTATTCGGTAACCAAGGTGCGCAATGGCGGAAGGTTTGTTGGTAGTGTTGGACGGCGTCGAGTGTAGCAGAATCTTCGAACGTTAATGGTAGACGAACAATTCGACTCTGAACACATTAATTTTGATCATTTGATGTTAACGATTGTTCAATATGAAGCAGATTTTTAATCAATTCTTTTTTGATGAATTATTCGGCTGTCAAATCTAACTTGAAGAGAGCGGACACCAGGTGATAACTCGAAAATTCCGTCGATTGGATTTGTTTCATAAGACAATGAACGAGAAATCGATCGTGTAAATCGAGATTCATCGACCCGTATTCGATAAGAATGTAATGATCACCTTGGTCTTCTGTCTCTTCCAATTCTTCTACAATACACTGAAATGATTGTTTTGCTGCTGGAAATGACAGATCAGATGAAGATGTCAACGTTGAAATGAGTTCATCTTGTTGTTTTTCCAATTTCAATGTTTGATCAAACGTAATTGGAGAGAACTGAATTTGATACTTCCAATAGCATATTGGCAATCATGGATATTGGAAGGATGTAAACCAGCATCACCGTCATTTGTGCGAGACCACGTGGGTGTTGGTCCTAGTAGACGAATTTCAAGAAGTTGAAAAAAACTCATCAATAAAGTCGGACGTGAAGAAGTCAGATGTGCCATGTGGACCATATAGAACAGCAATTTACCATTCTTCGTCACTGTCAATGTTTGGATAAGTTGGAATGATTGGTTTCGAGACATTTGCTGGGATTTCATGTGAGATTGATGAGTCGATATGTAAAGTATCGCCTGATTTTATTAGTCGACCGGCATAGCCGCCGAATTTTCCCAGAACAAATGTTGGTCCAATTAGCGTACACTCGAGTCCTGCTGCAGAAGAGTGGCTTCGGTAACCGAATGTTCGACCTGAAATGACCGACAAGGATGAAAAACGGAGAAATGAAAAGGAATGTTTTACTTGTAAACGACAGTTAACTTCGAGAAAATAGATTTCATTTGAATCTCTATCGTAAACAAATTCAACAGTACCAGCTGAACGATATCTTATCAAAGAACCAAGTCGAATAGCTGCATCTTGAAGACATGAACGATTATCATCGGATAGGTTCGACGCTGGTACTTCCTTAACGATTTTCTGATGTCGACGTTGTAAAGAACAGTCACGTTCACTAAGCCCTATGACATGACCTTGACCGTCTCCAAAGATTTGAATTTCAATATGACGAGCATTATCAACAAGGCGTTCAAGATAAATACCATCATTTTTTAGGAATTTCTTTCCTGCTCGACGTACTTTTTCATTGGTGGAACACCGTACCATACCTTTACCACCTCAACCTGCAGTACTTTTTAACATAACTGGATATCCGATGATTGACGCTTCTCTTTTCCCTTCTTCTATAGATCAGATAAGAGACCCGTGCGTGGTAAGAGCAGTAGATTGACTTCGAATGCTAATTGATAAGCAATGTTGTTTAAGGCTGAGTTGATGAATTCTTTTGGGTGTCAGATCAATAAAACAAAGACCAGCTGATTCACAACTTCGAGCGAAATCCGCATTCTCAGATAAGAATCCATAACCGGGGAAAATGGCGTCTACTCTTTTCTTATTTGCTAATTCAATAATCAAATCACCGTGTAGATAGAATTCGCCCGATGGAGCACCTTTTAATTCAATTGCGCGATCAACGGCTATGACATGACCAGAGTAACGATCGGCTCCGGAATAAATTCCGATGCTTTCAATTCTTAGTCGACATAAAGTATAAGAGCAACACGCATAACAATCTCACCAAGATTAGCAATAAATACGGCTTTGAACACATTAGTATCCCTATGAAAAGAAATTGATGTGAATGACAAAGTTACTGTTTACTCTAGCACTTACTTTTGACGGGAAAACTTTTCGTATAAAACCAATAAAAAAGTCGTGTGAAAAGGTACAATTTGCTCTTCAATACGTAATGCGCATAGGAAATGTGATTATTCCCCACTGTACACACAAATGCATTAGTTCTCTTTCTATTTATATCATTTACAATAAGACAAGAACATTTGTGCATATTAACAAGTACAAATTCTCTATTTCTAAACTCCGTGACATTTTTCGCGAAGAGGTTTACCATGTGGTATATATATTCGAACAATATTTTACTTTTAGAACTAATGATGACGAAGACAGTCAAAACCAAGAATTTGATATGCTTATTCGTAATTTGATCATGTTGAACGATGAGTTTAATTTGGCAATTATATCGATTGTTTTCTAGTGTCCGCAATGAATCTAAATGTAAAACAGTGGTTCGTTCTTGCAACGCAATCTTTATTAACAAAATATCTCGGCTGAAACATGTACAGTACATTGTACCAGTTGAGTTATGGCGATCTGAAGATCTTCGTTTGAATGAATAACATCGCTTCCCTGTTCATAATGTGAATATGAGACCTAATAAGTGTTTTCAACGATAGGAATGTTCAAAAATGACAAGAATTTTACAGATGGTTTGTAACNGTAAAACAGTGGTTCGTTCTTGCAACGCGATCTTTATTAACAAAATATCTCGGCTGAAACATGTACAGTACATTGTACCAGTTGAGTTATGGCGATTTGAAGATCTTCGTTTGAATGAATAACATCGCTTCCCTGTTCATAATGTGAATATGAGACCTAATAAGTGTTTTCAACGATAGGAATGTTCAAAAATGACAAGAATTTTACAGATGGTTTGTAACCACTGATGTTTATTTAGTTCTTTTCTCTTTATTTAATATTTCTTATTTGTTAAACAGAAATGTAAAAGGTGTGACTCATGTATTTCTGGGCTTATTAAAAAGAACTTTTCAAAAGGACAGAACAGGAAATAAGAAAACAAAAAATAGTGGATTAACATAATGCGTGTTTTTCAATTGATTTTTGTTAATATTTTCTAGATGTTTCCCTTCCAATTCAAAGTTATGTTTCCATGATCGATCGGAAAAACAAATACCAATGTTTTTTATTCTACTTTTTTTGTATCAATCTGTATTCAGTAGTGAAACGTCATTCTCTCGAAAGAACGAGCAGATAAAAATACTAACAAAAGTCGACATTGAATTCCCACTATTTTTGGTTTCAAAAAAAAAAGAAGAAAGGGAAATGTTAGTAATTAAGAGTTTTGCAAGACACAATGAGTAAAAGGTACGTGTATCAAGGTGAATTCCACAGACCACAAACGCTGTTAACTTTTATATGGAAGATTTATGCGATATGTCTACAATAAGCACTCTGAAAATATAACTTCTCATTTGATAGTGATACATACTAGACAAAGATACAAGGTTTGATTTGTCGAACTAAATAAGCATGTTGTTGAACATTTCATTATCGTTCACAGGGATCGCGGGTCCTAGACGGTATTTGAGAAATGAATGAGAAGAGTTTCTAACTCACCATTCAATGCCAGCAATTCAATGGGTTCCAATTCATTTTCGTTCGACACTCGAGTTTCGTCGTGAGCACTTTCTCCATAGATGTCACCTTCACTATCGCTTTTATAGCATGAACTCCATGAAGGGTCATATCCGGCGTGTATATCATCAATCAACTCTTCTGCTTCTTTCAAATTTTTTATTGAGAGATTTTTGTTTTGATATTCTTCGCGGATTTGTTGCGTCCGTTGTTGCCAGTCAGCAATAGTTCTGTTACTAGGCCGATCAATTGGCTTCTGAGGACTATACTCCTTCGATAATTCACCACGATCTTCGTAAATCATCATAATTATGAGATCCCTTAAAAGACAACGGGCACGACGAAACACTTTGGCCGCATAAGCATCATGATACATCCACTGTGAAAACTGTTTACGAGATACATGCAACAGTCGCACAAGTTGCCCATCGGTGACCTTCAAATTATACTTGTCATTGGCAACTTTAATAATACGACGAAGGTAAAGTCGAGTGTATTTATTCATGTTAGATAATTGAACGCATTTCTCTGGATCTGATGGAAAAACGTCGTGTGCAATCAGTCGTAATTGATCTTCTAACCAATTAAAATAATCATTTAGCATTTTAAATCTTAATTAATTTAATCTTAAATTAAAAGTAGAAAATAAGTAGTTACCATATTTAACTAGCTATTGAAAGGTCTCTCTCTTCTGAAAACGAATGATTTACTATATTTCTTTCATTGTAATAGTCTATTATCGATCATTTGAAATAAGAGATTCTTATATACATAAAAAATTTGAGTATATACTAATTCAACGAGCGACGCTACTTATGATGAAAAATTGCAATGCAAAAAAAAACAACAAATATACATTTATCATTTTTGCGACAGCTGTATCATTTATTATGATCACAATGACAAAAGTGAAGGCTAGATTTATTGCCATTCTGATAGTGGATAATGATGTCCTATACACCATAATTTTGTCGCACATATAATACAGAACACGAGTTTTTGTNGAAACATGTACAGTACATTGTACCAGTTGAGTTATGGCGATCTGAAGATCTTCGTTTGAATGAATAACATCGCTTCCCTGTTCATAATGTGAATATGAGACCTAATAAGTGTTTTCAACGATAGGAATGTTCAAAAATGACAAGAATTTTACAGATGGTTTGTAACTACTGATGTTTATTTAGTTCTTTTATCTTTATTTAATATTTCTTATTTGTTAAACAGAAATGCAAAAAGTGTGACTCATGTATTTCTGGGGTTATTAAAAAGAACTTTTCAAAAGGACAGAACAGGAAATAAGAAAACAAAAAATAGTGGACTAACACAATACGTGTTTTTCAATTGATTTTTGTTAATATTTTCTAGATGTTTCCCTACCAATTCAAAGTTATGTTTCCATGATCGATCGGAAAAACAAATGCCAATGTTTTTTATTCTACTTTTTTTGTATCAATCTGTACTCAGTAGTGAAACGTCATTCTCTCGAAAGAACGAGCAGATAAAAATACTAACAAAAGTCGACATTGAATTCCCACTATTTTTGGTCTAAAAAAAGAAAGGGAAATGTTAGTAATTAAGAGTTTTGCAAGACACAATGAGTAAAAGGCACGTGTATCAAGGTGAATTCCACAGACCACAAACGCTGTTAACTTTTATATGGAAGATTTATGCGATATGTCTAGAATAAGCACTCTGAAAACATAACTTCTCATTTGATAGTGATACATACTAGACAAAGATACAAGGTTTGATTTGTCGAACTAAATAAGTATGTTGTTGAACATTTCATTCATTTCATCATCGTTCACAGGGATCGCAGGTCCTAGAGGATATTTGAGAAATGAGTGACAAGAGTTTCTAACTCACCATTCAATGCCAGCAATTCAATGGGTTCCAATTCAATTTCGTTCGACAATCGAGTTTCGTCGTGAGCACTTTCTCCATAGATGTCACCTTCACTATCGCTTTTATAGCATAAAATCCACGAAGAGTCATATCCGGCTTGTATATCATCAATCAACTCTTCTGCTTCTTTCAAATTTTTTATTGAGAGATTTTTGTTTTGATATTCTTCGCGGATTTGTTGTGTCCGTTGTTGCCAGTCAGCAATAGTTCTGTTACTAGGCCGATCAATTGGCTTCTGAGGAATATACTCCTTCGATAGTTCGCCACGATCTTCGTAAATCATCATAATTATGAGATCTCTTAAAAGACAACGGGCACGACGAAACACTTTGGCCGCATAAGCATCATGATACATCCAATGTGAAAACTGTTTACGAGATACATGCAACAGTTGCACAAGTTGCCCATCGGTGACCTTCAAATTATACTTGTCATTGGCAACTTTAATAATACGACGAAGGTAAAGTCGAGTGTATTTATTTATGTTAGATAATTGAACGCATTTCTCTGGATCTGATGGAAAAACGTCGTGTGCAATCAGCCGTAATTGATCTTCTAACCAATTAAAATAATCATTTAGCATTTTAAATCTTAATTAATTTAATCTTAAATTAAAAGTAGATAATAAGTAGTTACCATATTTAACTAGCTATTTAAAGGCCTCTCTCTCTCTTCTGAAAACGAATGACTTACTATATTTCTGTCATCGTTATAGTCTATTATCGATCGTTTGAAATAAGAGATTCTTATATACATAAAAAATTTGAGTATAGACTAATTCAACGAGCGACGCTACTTATGACGAAAAATTGTAATGCAAAAAAAAACAACAAATATACATTTATCATTTTTGCGACAGCTGTATCATTTATTATGATCACAATGACAAAAGTGAAGGCTAGATTTATTGCCATTCTGATAGTGGATAATGATGTCCTATACACCATAATTTTGTCGCACATATAATACAGAACACGAGTTTTTGTAACGAGTACAAAGGATAAATTATTAATTGACGTGTTTACTGGTAAAGAGAGCATGTACAAAAAAATGATAGTAATTGAAATACAAAGTCCATTGTCAGAGTCATTCATATGTTAAAAGGCAGTATTTCGTTAAATCCGTAGAAGATGCTCAAGAAAATTTTCCACTTGTTGTTGATGAAACGATTGGATTTGAATTGCAAGAATTGATATTGATATAGTTTGAAGTATAATTAAATATTTCTTTCAAAAAGCTCGCGTCTATCTTTTTCAATTATGATTACTCATGCTAATATCATTTATATCAATGCATGTCGCAATGATCGATCAATTTCATCTCGACTTCAGCTGACTAGTAAACAAAAGTAAAGTGAGATGCAATGTGAATATCACCGATTTTCTTCACTAGAACAATGGGAGAAACTCATTGGAGTAGATTATTTCGACAACACTATCGTTTGATGTCTCCTACAATTTGAATATTCTGAAATCTGGAATGGATAAAAACTTCGAGATTTATATTCAGTGACTGTATATGTAGACGAAATGACGCCCATTCTGACAACTTTGTGAGAGATAATAATGTTTAAGAAACCCTTCACCGATTTATTTCAACTGTCTAAAGGTAAATTCAAGTCATGGAATGTTAGTGATGCCATTGCATGATGCAACATATCTAATACTACTGGATTATACGAAGGTTTATGTCAATTGCAATGATATGACCACCTTCGCGAATTTGAAAATGAACAAATCACCCCAACAAAACCGGGGTTTCAAGTTTAGCAACAATGAGAATTGCATCACTGGGCATAATCATCTCGACAGTAGGATAGTAGATGTACTAGTAGTCGAGCGAACTTGTATTTGAGGGCGATAGTTGTTGAAAAATGGTGTGTGCTGACCACCTTCCTCTCTTTGGTGTGAACATAAATCCTCGATTCAAATTGTGTGTACGAATGGACAGTACCAGACTCGGCCAAAACTTGACCTCGCTTCATGTCTTCTATTTTGATGTTATATAAAGCAAGACCAACATAGTCGCCTCCAAAAGCTTCTTTCAGGATCTTTTTAGATGATTCAATGCTTGCACAAGTTGCTCGTTGTGTTTTTCTAATACCCACTATTCCAAGATCTTGACCTTTTTTAATCGTATTCTTGTCGTCTATTATGAATACATCTTTTACCGGCATCAAGAATGACTTTTTTTATCATTTAGTACAGGTTGTGGGATGTATTGGTCCATTACGTCAGACAACTGGAAAATGTTTTCAATCCAGACTTGATCACCTTCTAAGGCTTTGAGTGTAGAACCTTATAATTATTTGAATATCATCATTGGAATAGCCGTTTTTCGAAAGAAGTTCACGTATTTCAATCTCTACCAGTTCAATTAGTACTGGATCGTCCACCATATCACATTTATTCATGAACACAACAATGTTCGATATGCCTGCTTCTTGGCATAATTGAATCTGTTCTCTACTTTGAGGCCTAGGTCCATCTATAGCAGAAACCACTAGAATATCGCCATCTATCTGAATACTACCACTCACGATGGCTTTCACATATTCAGAATGATTTGAACAATCGACATGGATGTAATAACATTTCTGTGAGTTGTACTCGACGTACGTATGATAAACAGTAGGTGAATTTGATATTACTCCACGTTCAGCTGCGTTTATCTCATCAAGTGAGTATGTTTTACCCTTCAAGAATTTCCTTTCATATATTATTTTACTAAGACCTATACCTGCAAAAGCACTTCTGAATAATAATACGACTATAACCAGCACGTTTACGATCATTTACTCTTGAAGGACAGAAAATGGTACGTATGTAGTTGATAAAAATTTGACTTTATATAGAGTAAAAAGAAGATTAATGTTTTATTCAAGCGTATTCTCGCACATATTTTAATAAAAATTATACAACAAACATTAAGCACGTGCAAATAATTAAGAATGAGTAAATGTACCTATGAATAAACGTTGAAATGTGGTTATGTTATTTTTATGAATCGCTTTGAGAGCGAGAGTGGTGAAAATGCCGTAGGAACCAAATCTACACGTAAATATTTTTCTTTTTTAACAAAACTTCCTTCAAAACAAGTATTTTATCATTGCTATTATATATTCATAAAAGAGTTCATTCTTTATACTATATTTTGTTTAATTCTCTGATGCTTCAATTTGTTCATCAGCTTTTTCTAATTCCTTACAAGAAATCGGTTCCGCGCCATTGTTATGTCAGAGGATTAATGACACACAAAGTGATTCGACTAGGATTGTCGATAACATACTGAACAATGAACTGAGCAGCAGACATATTCTGAAACTTTTGCATTCGATGTAAATAGATCAAAGTTGTGTTGAATGTCCATGACAATGGTGATAGAATCAAGTTGAACTTGCTCTGGTGTCATCAATACGCGGATCACAATCTAAGATGATCATTGTAACGAAAGAAAAGTGAAACAATAGGATGAATAAAATATACAGTGATTAAGAGGACGCGGCATCTGAAATATCAAACTTTTACTTCATTCTGCACAATGAAAAAGTCTTGAAATGCAATTGCGTGAAGGTGTATATGCACCAGAAGAGAGGAGTTAGGAATGTTTTCTCTTTCATCGGATGGTCGCTCGCATCCGATCTGGAGAATACTTTTATACTTCACACTTAGTGCAACACAAGACAAAAATCAGTTGAAAACAAACAGTACCTGTTGTTTCGTACTTTAATCTCAAGCGTTGATCAAGAACATATTTACATATTGATTAACAAGCGCAGGAGTTGTGTATTTCTTTTGTTTAATTACTTTTTGTTGTTAATTCTATTTTATTTGACTTTACCGCATAGAGTATATTAATAAGTTGATTGTGGACTTCGATCTCAGAAGACGAACTGTGCGCGTGATTATTTTAAAGTGAACTTGGTACTTTTTTCGTTGATTTTTTTCATTATTGATTATTTGTCTAGGCTTCGTTGATTAATTTTTTTTGTGCGTCTGAAAAAGATTTAAAAAGAAGAATATTAACACACTGTAACATAATTCTCTTCAACATCATTTCCAAAACAAAAAAAAAATGGATGTTTCGACATGGTTCATCATTGAATTTTAGAAACTCTTCTAATAATCAACATGGAGAGAGACTATTCATTCATTCGAGTACAAAAGATTCGTCGTTCTTCGCTCACTAGTGCACCAAAATCAAATGTTGGATCAGTACGAATGAATAGAAGAGATCGCCTGTTCAAATTCAATAACGAAAATCAGAAATATCGTTATCGGATTGATTCTAATAGCCAATTGGCATCATCTTTTTCCAAACGAGAAGTAAATGAAACAATTCTAAATCTTCACACACTGGAATTTCTTTTCAGTCTCAACGTATTCGCCCATTCGCAAAGCCGTGTAATTCCCAGCTAGGCTCAGCAAAACAATCGACCGAATATAAGAAGAATAGTCGCGGACAGGATCTATTTTCGTCTAAAATTGATATTCCAAGTCGAAACAACTCGAAGAAGTAAACATTTCTTTTTCGATTTTCAATTTTCAACTGTACCTTAGGACAAAGTGGAACTCCCAGTGTACTCGCCGTCGGTGTTGTTGCCTCTTAGCAGCTCTACTGCTGTTTCAACTTCTTGCAGGAATGATCGCCGCTATGACTATCATGGGTAATTGAAACTTCTTCTCTCTTCTCTTCAAGTGGTCTCACGTGAAACTCTCTTTTGTGTCAGGCATACAATTGAAAAATCAAACAACTTACCACTCGACAGTAACAAGTATGTAGACCTTCAGAGGAAAGAGAGATAGATTGAATAGTGAAACTATTTTAGCAACGAGCACAACATCAACAACACAAAGTAAAATGTTCGAGTATTAACATCTACATAATCTAATATTATTTATTTTTGTCAAGCAACAACAACAAGTTCATCATGTGAGTGGCAGTGTTTACTGCGAAAACTTGTTATCTATCTCGGAATTCATCTTGCTATAGCGAGTTCATCGAGTACAAGCAGTACGTCTTCTACAAGCAGTTCGACAACAAGTAAAATCAGTTGATCCTTTTCTTACGAAACACTGCAATTTCTATCGACGAAATTCTTTCTAGCGACTAGTACATCAACTACAACAGCATTCGATTCTTGTTCGTTAACATGTCGAATCAAAATCGAACTTAACTCAATTCTTCAATCTTTTAGGTAATTATCTTCAATGGAATCAAACAGGAACCATCGTTGCAGGCACAACATTAGCCGGTTCAGCCGCCAATCAGTTCAATCAGCCCTATTGTTTATACATCGATAGTAACGATATTCTATACGTTTGTGATTATTTGAACCATCGCATTCAAAAATGGTTGCCAAACGCTACAAATGGTACGACAATTGCCGGAAGTAGTACTGGCCTACTTGGTTCGTCATCTCTTCTATTGTACCTACCTTTTGATTTAACATTTGATGTTAATGGATATTTATATGTGGCTGATTCTGGAAATGCTCGTGTGCAACGCTTTCCACCGAACTCACTCAATGGGACGTCTGTTGCTGGTACAGGTTCTTTATCGAACGCATTGAATGGATTGAACCATCCGACAGCCGTTGTGGTTGATAATAATCTGAACCTTTTTGTTCTTGATGAAGGAAATACAAGATTGATGAAATGGTTACCGAATGCAACCAATGGCTCAGTTATGATTGATGCCATTGATTTAAATTATGTTTTCGATTTCGTATTCGCACTAGGCTCATCGAACCAAGTTTATTTATCCGACAACGGTGCAAGTAAAGTTCGTTTATGGACATTCAATTCGTCCACTGAAGATCTATTTCTTCAAACAGTCAATGCGTCAACGACAACTATTGTTAATCCGAGAGGTTTAGCTTATGATCCTTATGGAAATCTATATGTTGCTGATACACCAAATAATCGGATAGTGATGTTTTGTGGAAATTCAACTGTTGGTACTGTTGTTGCTAAATATATGAGTGGAGTGCCGACGGTTTTCGGACCAAGTGGTGTTGCATTTGATTCTAATTTAAACTTGTATGTCTCCAACTTATATAGTAACAACGTTGTCGCATTTGCTCGTTTGTGAGGGTGAGGGTATAATGTCATATTTTGTTCATCCAACGGCGTTTTATATATTGACATTGAGTGGTATCATTTTTTGAAGATGTTCGTTTTACAAAGGAAATCGTGTCCATATATGACCAATGTCCAGCAAAAGCAACAATCAAAATAGAACGTGAACCTAAAGAAAAGAAATATTCATTGTATTCAAGAATTTTTCTTTTCATCTGTATGATTGTTGCTCATCAACGAAGTCAAATTTTCTATCTCATCTTCAAATTTTTTCCATTTTTTGCCGTAAGTTACATTGTCATCAAACATAACGCTATTCGTCCGAGATTCATTTACTTTTGCTATAGAAAAACATTATGTTTCCACACTTACAGTAATTTCTACATAGACACGTATTTAATGATATTGCATTCGAACATGTTTTAAGCCTTGGTTATAATCTGTATGACAGATGTCAGCATTCTAAGACGGTTAAAATTTAGGTATTTGCTTCAAGCGTTCGTAAATCATAGTCAAGCAGAAAAGAAATGTAAGACGATTATCACCGGCATGAAGTACGAAAGGCAAAGATGAAAAACCTACAACATCTAGTTATATGTTATCATACATCTGCTAATATTAGGGTAATAACAAAACGGTTTTTTTAACAATTATACCGGCAAGAAAATCATATCTAGTGGGATAGTTCTGTTGCGATCCTGCTGAGTTCACCGTGCTTTGTTTGAAAATAGATGTCCGCGTCCGTTGAACTTACCTGATAACCTCTCTGCAGATTGAATAAGTGTTCGAGCTGGACACGGATGAACCTGAAACAAATGAGATGGTTCTTAAAACTTCGATAGGATTTTGTAGATGTATCCAATGGATTTGAAATAATTATTACAATGTGAGAAAAGTTCCATAGCGATCATTTGCGGGGATGAGGAGAGTCTATGTTTTCGGCCGTTATTTACAAATATTCACAGACTTTTTAGGCGCTTTATTTTGAGATTTCACTTGTGCACAATCATATGAAAAACATAATAAATTGATAGTGTTTTATTGGAAAAATACAAATTGTTTCGAACGAAAAAGCGTTACTGGATGAATAGTCGATGAATAAGAATACTGCCGAAGATAAGAAGAAGATTTAATGAAATCGCCGATGATCCTTGACAAAATGGTACTGCGAACGCAGTCGGACGGCCACAATCAGCNTTCGAAAAAAGTTCACGTATTTCAATCTCTACCAGTTCAATTAGTACTGGATCGTCCACCATATCACATTTATTCATGAACACAACAATGTTCGATATACCTGCTTCTTGGCATAATTGAATCTGTTCTCTACTTTGAGGCCTAGGTCCATCTATAGCAGAAACCACTAGAATATCGCCATCTATCTGAATACTACCACTCACGATGGCTTTCACATATTCGGAATGATTTAAACAATCGACATGGATGTAATAACGTTTCTGTGAGTTGTACTCGACGTACGTATGATAAACAGTAGGTGAATTTGATATTACTCCACGCTCAGCTGCGTTCATCTCATCAAGTGAGTATGTTTTACCCTTCAAGAATTTCCTTTCATATATTATTTTACTAAGACCTATACCTGCAAAAGCACTTCTGAATAATAATACGACTATAACCAGCACGTTTACAATCATTTATTCTTGAAGGACAGAAAATGGTACGTATGTAGTTGATAAAAACTTGACTTTATATGGAGTAAAAAGAAGATTAATGTTTCAGTCAAGCGTATTCTCGCACATATCTTAATAAAAATTAGACAACAAACATTAAGCACGTGCAAATAATTAAGAATGAGTAAATGTATGAATAAACGTTGAAATGTGGTTATGTTATTTTTATGAATCACTTTGAGAGCGAGAGTGGTGAAAATGCTGTAGGATCCAAATCTACACGTTAATATTTTTGTTTTTTAAAAAAACTTCTTTCAAAACAAGTATTTTGTCATTGCTATTATATATTCATAAAAGAGTCCATTCTTTATACTATATTTTGTTTAATTTTCTGATGCTTCAATTTGTTCTTCAGCTTTTTCTAATTCCTTGCGAGAAATTGGTTCCGCGACATTGTTATGTCAGAGGATCAATGACACACAAAGTGATTCGACCAGGATTGTCGATAACACGCTGAACGATGAACTGAGCAGCAGACATATTCTGATACTTTTGTGTTGGATGTAAATAGATCAATGTTGTGTTGATTGACCATGACAATGATGATGTCATCAATACGCGGATCACAATCTAAGATGATCATTGTAACGAAAGAAAAATGAAATAATACAGTGAATAAAATATACAGTGGTTAAGAGACTCACATCTGAAATTAACACGGACGCCTTAGTGCAAACACATATGAACTTTTAACCAGTTGTTTAACCGACAGTGAAAAAGTTTTCAAATGCAATTGCGTGAAGGTGTATATGCACCAGAAGAGAGAAGTTAGGAATGTCTTCTCTTTCATCGGATTATCGCTCGCATCCTTGAGATGCTTTTTAACCAATTGAATCCTCTCCTAATCACCGACGTTAGATCTGGAGAATACTTTTATACTTCAAACATGGTGAAACACCAGAAAAAAATCTGTTGAAAATAAACAGTACCTGTTGCTTCGTACTTATATTTCAAGCGTTGATCAAGAAAATATTTACATATTGATTAACATGCACAGGGGTTGTAGATTTCTTTTGTTTAACTACTTTTTGTTATTAATTTCATTTTACTTGGCTTCACCGCGTAGAGTATATTTATAAGTTGATTGTGAACTTCGATCTTAGAGTACGAACTCTACGCACGATTATTTTTAAATGAACTTGGTACTGTTTTAGTTGATTTTTTTCATTATTGATTATTTGTCGAAGCTCCGATGATTAATTTTTTTGTGTACCGAAAAAGACTTAAAAAGAAGAATATTAATACACTATAACATAATTCTCTTCAATAACATTTACAAAACAAAAAAAATGGATGTTTCGACATGTTTCATCATTGAATTTTAGAATCTGTTCTAATAATCAACATGGAGAGAGACTATTCATTCGTTCGAGTACAAAAGATTCGTCGTTCTTCGCTCACTAGTGCATCAAAATCAAATGTTGGATCAGTACGAATGAATAGTAGAGATCGTCTGTTCAAATTCAATAACGAAAATCAGAAGTATCGTTATCGGATTGATTCTAATAACCAATTGGCATCATCTTTTTCCAAACGGGAAGTAAATGAAACAATTCTAAATCTTCACACACTGGAATTTCTTTTCAGTCTCAACGTATTCGTCCACTGGCAAACCCGTGTAAGCCCCAACTAGGCTCAGCAAAACAATCGACCGAATATAAGAAGAATAGTCGTAGACATGATCTATTTTCGTCTAAAATTGATATTCCAAGTCGAAACAACTCGAAGAAGTAAACATTTCTTTTTCGATTTTCAACGGTGAGTCAATTTTCAACTGTACCTTAGGACAAACTGGAACTCCCAGTGTACTCGTCGTCGATGTTGTTGCCTCTTAGCAGCTCTACTGCTGTTTCAACTTCTTGCAGGAATGATCACCGCTATGACTATCATGGGTAATTAAAATTACTTCGCTCTTGTCTTCAAGTGATCTCACGTGAAACTCTCTTTTGTGTTAGGCATGCAACTGAAAAATCAAACAACTTACGGCTCGACAGTAACAAGTATGTAGACCTTCAGAAGAAAGAGAGGTAAATTGAATCGTGAAATGCTTTTAGCAACGCGCACAACATCAACAACACAAAGTAAAATGTTCGAGTATTGACATCTGGATAGTCTAATATTATTTATTTTTGTCAAGCAACAACAACAAGTTCATCATGTGAGTGACAGTGTTCACTGCGAAAACGTTTTATCTATCTCGGAATTCATCTTGCTATAGCGAGTTCATCAAGTACAAGCAGTACGTCTTCTACAAGCAGCTCGACAACAAGTACAAGCAGTACGTCTTCTACAAGCAGCTCGACAACAAGTACAAGCAGTACGTCTTCTACAAGCAGCTCGACAACAAGTAAAATCAGTTGATCCTTTTTTTACGAAACACTGCAATTTCTATCGACGAAATTCTTTCTAGCGACCAGTACATCAACTACAACAGCATTTGATTCTTGTTCGTTAACATGTCGAATTAAAATCAAACCTGACTGAATTCTTCCATCTTTTAGGTAATTATCTTCGATGGAATCAAACAGGAACCATCGTCGCAGGTACAACATTAGCCGGCTCAACCGCCAATCAGCTCAATGAACCCTATTGTTTATACATCGATAGTAACGATATTCTATACGTTTGTGATTATTTGAACCATCGCATTCAAAAATGGTTGCCGAATGCTACAAATGGTACGACAATTGCCGGAAGCAGTACTGGTCTACTTGGTTCGTCGTCTCTTCTATTATACCAACCTTTTGATTTAACATTTGATGTCAATGGATACTTATATGTGGCTGATTCTGGAAATGCTCGTGTGCAACGCTTTCCACCGAATTCACTCAATGGGACGTCTGTTGCTGGCACAGGTTTTTTATCGAGCGCATTGAATGGATTGAACCATCCAACAGCCATTATAGTTGATAATAATCTGAACCTTTTTGTTCTTGATGAAGGAAATACACGATTGATGAAATGGTTACCGAATGCAACCAATGGTTCAGTTATGATTGATGCCAATGATTTAAATTCTGTTTTCGATTTCGTATTCGCACCGGGGTCATCGAACCAAGTTTATTTATCCGACAATGGTGCAAGTAAAGTTCGTTTATGGACATTCAGTTCGTCCACTGAAGATGGATATCTTCAAATAGTCAATGCGTCAACAACAACTATTACTAGTCCGAGGGGGTTAGCTTATGATCCTTATGGAAATCTGTATGTTGCTGATACACTAAATGATCGGATAGTGATGTTTTGTGGAAATTCAACTGTTGGTACTGTTGTTGCTAAATATACTACTGGCGTGCCGACGGTTTCCGGGCCAAGTGGTGTTGCATTCGATTCTAATCTAAACTTGTATGTCTCCAACTTATATAGTGACAATGTTGTCGCATTTGCTCGTTTGTAAGGATGAGGGTGTAATGTCATATTTCGCACATCCAATGACGTTTTATATATTGACATTGAGTGGTGTCATTTTTTGAAGATGTTCGTTTTACAAAGGAAATCGTATCCATATATGACCAATGTCCAGGAAAAGCAACAATCAAAATAGAACGTGAACCTAAAGAAAAGAAATTAATCATTGTATTCAAGAATTTTTGTTTTCATCTGTTTGATTGTTGCTCATCAACGAAATCAGTTTTTCTGTCTCATTTTCAAGTTGTTTCCACTTTTCGCCATAAATCACATTGTCATCAAACATAACGCTATTCGTCTGAGACTTATTCCACACTTCCAGTAGTTACTACATAGACACGTATTTGATTACATTGCATGCGGAGATGTTTTAAGCCTGGGTTATTATCTGTATGACAGATGTCAAGAGTTTAAGACGGTTAAAATTTAAATATTTGCTTCAAGCATTCATAAATCATAGTCGAGCAGAAAAGAAATGTAAGACGATTCTCACCGGCATGAAGTATGAAAGACAAAGATGAAGAACGTAGAGCAACTATATGTTATCATACATCTGTTAATATTAGGGTAATAACAAAAAGGTTTTTTGACAATTATACCGACAAGAAAATCATATCTGGTGAAATAGTCCTGTTGCAATACTGTTGAGTTCTCCATGATTTGTTTGCAAATAGATGTCCGAGTCCATTGAACTTACCTAATAAACTCTCTGTAGATTGAATAAGTGTCCGAGCTGGACACACATGAAACTTAAACAAAATGAGATGGTTCTTAAAACTTCGATAGAACTTCGTAGGTATATGTAATAGATTTGAAATGATTACTACAATATAAGAAAAACTTGTATGAAAGTATTGTTCCATAGCCGACACTCATAATAGTGGCTGTGAACATACTAGAATTTGATTACATCGTTTACGTAGAATCTCTATCATCTACTTCGTTGAGTAAAACGCTCGCGATCATTAGCGAGGATGAGGAAAGTCTGTGTTTTCGCCCGTTATTCTACGAATACTCACAGGTTTTCTAGGCGCTTTCTTTTGAGATTTTACTTGTGTACGATCATATGAAAAACATAAAAAATTGATCGTGTTTTATTGGAAAAATACAAATTGTTTCGAACGAAAAAGTGTTACTGGATGAATAGTCGATGAATAAGAATACTGCCGAAGATAAGAAGAAGATTTAATGAAATCGCCGATGATCCTTGACAAAATGGTACTGCGAACGCAGTCGGACGGCCACAATCAGCTGGATATTTAATCTTACATTGGTTCAAACATTCTTGGCCACCTTTATACCAACATCGATTCACCTCGAATACTTCAGGAAGAACTCGCGGTGTACATGGTGTTTGTGAACAACATCTACACGCACATGTATCTCCATTGATTAGTGATAGATTGCATAAGACAACGAACAACACGATTATCGTTGACTTCAACATTTTTCAAAGTGAGAGAGAAATAAAATATGCCTTTGACATATATATCGTGTCTATCGAGCTTTATTTATCGTATGGTATTCAATTTCAAGGTTGAGATCACTCAAGTGTTTGAATTGTGAATACAACATGTTTGAATACATGAAAGTAAATATTTTCTTACGAATTAACATTACTTTGTTTTTGCATAAGGACAGAATTGCGTTACTAATAATTACGAAAGATTAATCATCGTTCAAACGTTTTTTTTTATTATCTTTACTACACTAAAAGTCTAAAGAAATTACAAGATCATGAAATAACTTTTCTAGTTTTCTGATGCTTCAATTTGTTTCTCAGCCGTTTCTAAATCCTTGCGAGAAATTGGTTGAAACATTGTTAACCGTGCCAATCTTCCTAACAGTTCATTTTCAAAACCATCTCGATCAACTTTAGTCAGTATGAATGTTTGTAATGGTCGTCCCCATCGACCGTTCCAATCAGCAACCGTTTGACCTGATGTTATTCTTCCCATATCTTCAACATCGACGCAAGCACGGCGACCTTCGAACAGATCTGGTCTTAGCAAATACATAATTGCAGTCGGATCATGGAAACACGCAGGAGCATTCCAAGAGCGTAAGATTTCTGTATAATGCTTCGTGATATCATAACAAAATTCACCAATCGGATTCAAACTCTTCATCTTCTCGCGAATGTCATCCGTTATTGGAAGCTGATGGGTACAGTTGAGTCCGGCCATTGTGATGTCAGAAAATGCATCGAATACAATCCTTCCTGCATGCGGATCATTGGCTAAATTGGCTTCAGCTGCAGCTGTTTTGTTTCCAATACCTTCGGCTGATCCGCCCATGATGACAACTCGTTTAACAGATTTGACAAATGTTTCTCCACCGATGGCTACAGTCAAAGCTAGATTTGTTAGAGGACCAATGGCACACAGAGTGATTTGACCAGGATTATCGATAACATGTTGAACGATGAACTGAGCAGCAGAAATATTTTGATACCTGTGCATTGGAGATTGATTCAACTCTTTAACTGGATGTTGAACGTTTCCGATGCCATTCTCTGCATGAACTTGCATAGCCAGATGGCCATGATATGCAGACGTAAGAGGTTTGTTTGCACCTTTGATGACAGGAATGTGTTCAGTCATGTGACACATTTGAAGGAGAAGACAAGCATTAGAAGCAAGTAGATCAATGTTATGATGATTACCCATGACAATGGTGATGGCATCAAGTTGAATTTGCTCTGGTGATGATAATGCTAATAATATTGCTATGGTGTCATCAACGCCTGGGTCACAATCCAAGATAATTCGTTCGCGATGCATATCACTTCCTTTGTGTAAAGAAAAAAAAAGTGTGAAAGATGCCTTGATGTTAGAATAAACAAAATAGCAAAGAATAGGTCATCACTGAAATATAAGATTTCGTTCGTTCTTTGTCCTTCTTTGTCTTAATCGCGGAATCGAAAGATAAAAACTTATCATTCAATAGATGGAGTAATACTATAGAGGTTGCCTGTCGTTAACGAAAAACGGACTTTTTTCATTTCTCTCGCTTGTATATCATAGGATGAAACAAGTGATTGGAAGATAAGGTCTTCTTTAACCTTTCTTTGTTCTCCTACACAAATTTAATTTACGCAGTGACATATTCGTATTTATAATCATGTCTAATGATACAGTCTTCATTAATAATTTATCTACTTCGGCTATAATCGGCAAAGATGCTTGGAATCAAGCGAGTCTACAACCAATTTTCATCTCAGCAAGACTTAACACCGATTTTCAACAGGCATCGGTAGCGGATGATTTGAAGCACTCCTTGAATTATGCTGTTCTATCTCGTAATATCTTAGAATTGATGAAAATCAACGAACACAAGAATTTTCAATCATTGCACAACGTTGCAAAGAGTATCTCTCGTATCATGCTGGATCCTAAGCAAGGCGGTGGCGAACAGGTGGAAGTGATTGTTAAAAGTACGAAGTCAGAAATCAGAGCGGATAGTGTGGAGTACAAACTAAACAGAACACGAGATGCTCTAGTCAGCCAGATCTTGGACGAAATCAGTATCAATGGTTTAAAAATATTGACTGTAATTGGTGTTTTTACATACGAAAAAGTACAGAAACAATATGTGCATATCGATCTCTCTCTCAAGGTTCCTTCAAAACTCAGTATTTCCATTCATCAAATCATCGATGATGTTGTTCAATATGTCGAATCTTCCAATTTCAACACAGTCGAAGCATTAGTAATGAAAATTGGCCAATTAATCATCGGAAAACATGCCATCGACAGTGTTGGCGTCAAAGTTATTAAACCCAATGCTATTCCATTCACAGATGGTGTCGGCGTAAGCTCATATATGACCAAAGATTCGTTTAAAGATCTGCAAAGTACACAGTCCAACTTTCCAACTTTCGATGAAAATTCAACTAAGAATGGAGATCATACTGCTTACATTGCGTTTGGTTCGAATCAAGGTAATCAAATAAAAAACATTAGAGAAGCATTGAACTACTTAGAAGAAGCGAAAATTAAGATCATATCTACTTCTTCGCTGTACATATCCAAACCGATGTATTACAAAGATCAACCTGATTTCTTCAACGGAGTAATTCAAGTTTCATTCAAAGACTTGTCTCCAATTGATTTGATGACAATATGTAAAGAAATCGAATATGAACGTATCAATAGCGTGAAAAAGATTAACAATGGACCGAGATCCATCGACTTGGACATTCTATTGTACGATGACATTACATTCAACCGCGATGATTTAATTATTCCTCATAAATCTATGTTGGAAAGATCATTCGTCTTACAGCCACTATGCGAACTAATGAGTCCTGATGTTCTGCATCCTGTTACAGCTGAGCCTTTTCATCAGCATTTAGCTCAAATTTTAAACAGTCGACCGGATGAAACTCTTCAAGATTCGTTGGACCTTTTACAGATTATTCCAATTCCACGATTGGAACTGAACCACGAGAAAAATCCTTTGAAATTCGATCAATTGAAATACAAACATCTGACTTTGATCATGGGGATTATGAACATCACTCCTGACTCGTTTAGTGACGGTGGTGATAACTACAATATGAGCGCTGACGTCATAGAGAGTACTGCTTTACGATTGTTAGATGAAGGTGCAACANCTAAAGAAACTACAAAATTATGAAATAACTTTTTTTAGTTTTCTGATGCTTCAATTTGTTTCTCAGCCGTTTCTAAATCCTTGCGAGAAATTGGTTGAAACATTGTTAACCGTGCCAATCTTCCTAACAGTTCATTTTCAAAACCATCTCGATCAACTTTAGTCAATATGAATGTTTGTAATGGTCGTCCCCATCGACCGTTCCAATCAGCAACTGTTTGACCTGACGTTATTCTTCCCATATCTTCCACATCGACGCAAGCACGGCGACCTTCGAACAGATCTGGTCTCAGCAAATACATGATTGCAGTCGGATCATGGAAACACGCAGGAGCATTCCAAGAGCGTAAGATTTCTGTATAATGCTTTGTGATATCATAACAAAATTCGCCAATCGGATTCAATCTCTTCATCTTCTCGCGAATGTCATCCGTCATTGGAAGTTGATGGGTACAGTTAAGTCCGGCCATTGTGATGTCAGAAAATGCATCGAACACAATCCTTCCTGCATGCGGATCATTGGCTAAGTTGGCTTCAGCTGCAGCTGTTTTATTTCCAATACCTTCGGCTGATCCACCCATGATGACAACTCGTTTAACAGAGTTGACAAATCTTTCTCCACCGATGGCTACAGCCAAAGCTAGATTTGTCAGAGGACCAATGGCAGACAGCGTGATTTGACCAGGATTGTCGAGAACATGCTGAACGATGAACTGAGCAGCAGACATATTTTGATATCTGTGCATTGGAGATTGATTCAACTCTTTGACTGGATGTTGGACATTTCCGATGCCATTCTCTGCATGAACTTGCATAGCCAGATGGCCATGATATGCAGAAGTAAGAGGTTTGTTTGCACCTTTGATGACAGGAATGTGTTCAGTCATGTGACACATTTGAAGGAGAAGACAGGCATTAGAAGCAAGTAGATCAATGTTATGATGATTGCCCATGACAATGGTGATGGCATCAAGTTGAATTTGCTCTGGCGATGATAATGCTAATAATATTGCTATGGTGTCATCAACACCTGGGTCACAATCCAAGATAATTCGTTCACGATGCATATCACTTACTCTATGTAATGAAAGAAAAATGTGAAAGATGCCTTGATGTTAAAATAAACAAAATAACAATGAATAGGTCATCACTTAGATAAAAGGTTTCGTTCGTTCTTTGTCGTTCTTCTTCTTAATGGTGGAATCGAAAGATAAAAAATTATCATTCAATAGATGGAGTAATACTATAGGGGTTGTCTGTGCTTAACGAAAACCAGATTTTTTTTCTTCTCTCGCTTGTATATCATAGGATGAAACAAGCGATTGGAAGATAAGACCTTCTTTAACTTTTCTTTGTTCTCCTACACAAATTTAATTTACGCAGTGACATATTCGTATTTGTAATCATGTCTAATGATACAGTCTTCATTAATAATTTATCTACTTCTGCTATTATCGGCAAAGATGCTTGGAATCAAGCGAGTCTACAACCAATTTTCATCTCAGCGAGGCTTAACACCGATTTTCAACAGGCATCGATAGCAGACGATTTGAAGCACTCCTTGAATTATGCTGTTCTATCTCGAAATATCTTAGAATTGATGAAAATCAACGAGCACAAGAATTTTCAATCATTGCACAACGTTGCAGAGAGCGTCTCTCGTATCATGCTGGATCCTAAGCAAGGCGGTGGCGAACAGGTGGAAGTGATTGTTAAAAGTACGAAGTCGGAAATCAGAGCGGATAGTGTGGAGTACAAGCTAAACAGAACACGAGGTGCTGCAGTCAGCCAGATCTTGGATGACATCAATATCAATAGTTTAAAAATATTGACTGTAATTGGTGTTTTTACATACGAAAAAGTACAGAAACAATATGTGCATATCGATCTCTCTCTCAAGGTTCCTTCAAAAGTCAGTATTTCTATCCATCAAATGATCGATGATGTTGTTCAATATGTCGAATCTTCCAATTTCAACACAGTCGAAGCATTAGTAATGAAAATTGGCCAATTAATCATCGAAAAACATGCCATCGACAGTGTTGGCGTCAAAGTTATTAAACCCAATGCTATTCCATTCACAGATGGTGTCGGCGTAAGTTCATATATGACCAAAGATTCGTTTAAAGGTCTACAGAGTACACAGTCCAACTTTCCAACTTCCGATGAAAATTCAACTAAGAATGGAGATCATACTGCTTACATTGCGTTTGGTTCGAATCAAGGTAATCAAATAAAAAATATTAGAGAAGCATTGAACTACTTAGAAGAAGCGAAAATTAAGATCATATCTACTTCTTCGTTGTACATATCCAAACCGATGTATTACAAAGATCAACCCGATTTCTTCAACGGAGTTATTCAAGTTTCATTCAAAGACTTGTCTCCAATTGATTTGATGACAATATGCAAAGAAATCGAATATGAACGTATCAATCGCATGAAAAAAATTAACAATGGGCCGAGATCCATCGACTTGGACATTCTACTGTACGATGACATTACATTCAACCGCGATGATTTAATTATTCCTCATAAATCTATGTTGGAAAGATCATTCGTCTTACAGCCACTATGTGAACTAATCAGTCCTGATGTTCTGCATCCAGTTACAGCTGAGCCTTTCCATCAGCATTTAGCTCAAATGCTAAACAGTCAACCGGATGAAACTCTTCAAGATTCGTTGGACCTTTTACAGATTATTCCAATTCCACGATTGGAACTGAACCACGAGAAAAATCCTTTGAAATTCGATCAATTGAAGTACAAACATCTGACTTTGATCATGGGGATTATGAACATCACTCCTGATTCGTTTAGTGACGGTGGTGATAACTACAATATGAGCGCTGACGTCATAGAGAGTACTGCTTTACGATTGTTAGATGAAGGTGCAACAATATTAGACATCGGAGGTGTTTCGACAAGACCGGGTAGTATTCCTCCAAGTGAAGACGAAGAACTCCGGCGTGTTTTGCCTGTAATCAAAATTATCCGAGAATCGAAGAACGAGAAACTATCTACATGTCTCATTTCTGTCGATACTTATCGTGCAAACGTCGCTGAAGAATGTTTGAAAGCTGGTGCAGACATCATCAACGATATTTCGATGGGATTATACGAACCGGAAATATTCCATGTTATTGCTAAGTATGGATGTCCGTATATTATGAATCACACTCGAGGGACAACTCAAACTATGTCCAGTTTAAACAATTACGAATCCAATAGTAATGAAGATATTGTCGAGTATATGATTGATCCTTTAAATCCTTCATTTAATGTTAAAAATTGGGATTCACAAGTGACCAATTTGATTAACGGAGTATCTCGAGAATTGGGATTACAGATCTTCAAGGCTTTTAAAAGTGGTGTTAGAAAATGGCAGGTAATCATCGATCCAGGTGTTGGATTTGCCAAGAATTTATCGCAGAATTTAATCGTCATCAAACATGCCTCATATTTTAAACGATATTCAATGACGGTTAACGGACATTCCTATTTGACTTTCAATGGTTTGGCTACTCTTCTAGGTCCTTCGAGAAAGAAGTTCTTAGGTACTCTTTGTAATGAACCTATCGCACGAGAGAGAGTTATCAGCACTGGTGCAACTATCATGGCGTGCATACAACAAAATACTGACATCGTCAGAGTTCACGATGTAAAAGAAGTGAACAAAGTTGTGAAATTGGGTGATGCTTTGTATAAAGATATTTATGAAAGAAAGGAATAAAAAGAAAATTTGCCTTCATTTTGAGGATGAAACAAGGTATTTAGTAATCAGGTTTTCGTGTCATGCAAAAGGAATCATGAATAATTATTAGTCGCCGACCGAGCAGCAAAAAAATATCAGTTTATTTGACTGAGATCCAGCGGAGTTGCTTAAATTTCTTATCAGGACGTCACTCATGAAATACCTTGTGTGTAAGAACTGGGATATATTTACCTACTTAGTCAGCATTACTGTTCTTCGTCCTCTGCGCTTGTGGTTATCTGTTATCTGTCATGGAATTTACCACCCTATTCGTGCGTACTATATAAACACAATTAGTATTTCGATTTCTAGTGCGGTATCACAGCGAAAAGTGGGACATGAACCTGGAATCATTGACTAACGAGATATTGCTGGCTGTATTCGAATTTCTTACAGGGACTGATTTTCTCTGCGGCTTTTATCATCTGCTTTTCAATCATTTTCAATTCAATGCTTTGAATTTTAAATCAGTCTCGTAAACTGATTTCGATGTTATTTGTCAGCAACACCTTCCGTCGATCTCGGATCGTATAAAATCGCTGCTCTTAACAAGCGCGTTGTTTTTGCTCACAATTTGATTCTGAATCAATTTACTAATTTTTAAGCACTTTCTCTGCGTCATATCGGTGTCAAAGAAACAATGGAGAGGATTATGAATGAAATCTGTCACATTGCCGCTCTCGTTTATCTGAATATAGGCACGTACTATGTTCAATCATCATGTCTGAAAATTGAGGATGAACTATGTTTCGTACCACTTTATTTTTCCGAAATCCTGGAAACGATGTCCGTTACGATCATTCTAAACGTTTTGTTCCAAATACCTAATCAGTGTATTGAAATCTCATTGTTTTCTAATTTTACGATCTTCGGCAGAAAGGAAATTTCGAACTCCCATCACACAATCCAAAAATTTCCGGATACCCGGCATTCCGAACTTCTGCACGAAATAGAGAAAAAAGATTTTGTTTCTGAGCATCCGGTCATGCTGCCAGATGTTCGGAATAGGTGGTATGAAACGTAATTTTCACTTTTTATCCAAGATTTGCCCATAATCATAACTTTGTTCGATATAAACTCGAACAGCAATTTAATTTCTTTTAGCCCGCTTTACATTATCAACAATAAACCGACAAAAAAGTGAGAGAGAACATGTCGAAAGTGTATTTATTCGAAGTTTATATTAGGAATGGTGAGTGTAAGAGTGAGGGTGACATTGCTTATGATTATCTTCACTTCTGGAGACACTGTAAAGTGGTTTTATTTCAATGAGAATGGTTTAGTTATTCCTATGGATCCCTCATCAAGGAAGAAATTATAATAACTTTGGGAGTGAATGAAAACGTCTATTGATAAGCATTCTTAGCTTGATCGGATGATTCTCCATCGACGCTCTCATAGTGAACACAATGAAACTTGAGCGAAGAACAATTATAGAAAAACCAGCACTAATTTTAAGCTAAGGTATATTTTTAGATCTCCATTTACATTCGAAATAGAGAGAGCTCACGAGCATGTCGTAGAAAAAGTAGTTTATTTTACGTTAATAACGCTTTACAACTTTGTGATTGTTTGATGGAACTGAGTAAATTGACGACGTCTACGTTATTTTCTATCAAAAAAGTTCACATTTTGCTCTCATGATTAGAAATTTCCGTACCTTGTAACCTGGTATCGGGTTTACTTTCAAGTAATTGGTAATACTAAAGCATATCTGAATCTGACAAGGAATTTTGAAATGTGTATGTGAGAAAGGATTGTTATGAAAATAGATGTTCTTCTTTCCTGAGCTTGTTGGGAAAAGAACAAAAATACATCACGTGCTGTTCTCTGATGTTATGCGTTTACACGTTAGTCGTGTGCAAAAACAACTAAGTACAATGCTGCAAACTATATCCGATTTAAGGATATTCATTTTTAGTTCAATGACTACCTCAACTGGTTTGTTTGGTCTAACAGGTCCTGAAACAATGCTACACCTCATGAATTTCACTGTAATTCATCGATTAACATGACACCCTAGCGTTTCTGACTTGTTCATCAATGGCGTCATTGAATATGGGTGTTTATTATTTAGTTCCTGCGTTGACCCAATGGATAAAATTCTATCAATTTACGGTGATATTTCGGTTAGTAACAGTGGCAGTATTTATCTTAGCTACTAAGGGCAATCGTGCGCCACATGGTCTTATTGGCGTGGCGGTTTGAGGGTTGATAGGCGTGTTACCAGCAGCAGTAGCTTTGTGGTACGATGCAAAAATAAGACGAAGAAAAGTGTCCTGAATCGTTGCACTATTATTGTGCAAAGAAATAAAAAGAAAAACAGAATTATTATCGCAGTAGAAATAGCTGAACTGAGTCTACCGACTTCAACAACCGTCTGATGATGGTCTTTCGTAAATAAAATTTGAACTGCGTCCTCGTATAGTTCGATTCGCTCACAACTCTTAACTCTTTCACTCGACTTCTCTTATTGAATGATATGTTGTATTTCACGAACGTTTTAGTTCAGTGACGTTCTACTTTAAACTAATACTCAAATGCTTTCTTTCTATTTCCTGAATCTTTGAGAAAGAAAAACATGCACACAGTTTGTTGATCAATTAGAACGTTAAAGAAAAATGCCATTTAAATATTGTTGTAAAATCTTTTTCTCGAGCATATTTAGCAACTAAGAGGCAGATGAAGACATTGGAGAGCGCCTAGATAGACATATAAAACATGATTTTAAGTTTACAAAGAAGCGTCGAGAACCACACGTGAATCATAATCATTGATTATTATAGTAGAACCTAACAGTGCTCATCTTTGACTATATTTCCTTTTAGCGTGTAAAGATAGCAGCTTTTGGGAAGACTCATTGAATAGAATGAATCCGAAAAATCTATGGAATTGGATTTACAAAAAAGCGTCAAATCATAATCTTTTCATACTGGAAGAAGACGATTATGATGATGATGCATTGAAAGATCCAGCTGCTGTTGTAAAAAAACAAAAATATAAAACCTGGTTGTACATTGGACTTCTCACAGGTAAATAACGTCGCTCCTTTCTTCTGTCTCGGCCGTGCACTTTCTCATAAGCTCTATTCACATCTATTGAAGACTTCAGTGACGAACGGATATGCCAAACAATACGAATGTAGATATACTTCATTATTTTTTCATTCTAGTGTGTTTTTACATATTGTTTTATGCAACCCTGACAAGACCTCAATCGGAGACACTTGTTATTTCCAATGTAAAGTCTGATACTTTTGATCAATTGTATTCGGAGTATGGTCAAACTTTTGCATGCCCATGCTCAACGGTCATAATACCATACAGGAATTTTATATCGAACAATTGGGCAATGCACCCTATTTGTTCGAGTATTTTCGTCAGTCTGAAATGGGTTGAAGGATTGTATTTTACAAATGCAAGTTCGTACATGCTGTATGATTTTCGAAAAGTGGCCTATTCACAGGTTAGTGAGAATGATGTACATTCATATCTTAAATCAAGATCTACTTAACATTCTGAAAAAGCAATAAACTATGAATGTAATTCAATGTTTTCATTTAGTTTGAACTTTTATCCAAATTATGTTCAATTTCCGAAGCAATCATATCTCAAATCGAATCCGAGATAAATAACACTGAACTTGTTACTATTAATGTTCTTTCCAAGACGCAAATTCAACTGGAAGTCGATAGCAAAATTGAATTTCAGAAGAACAATGCCTATGGTCGAATGATCTCGTTCTTGAATTACTGGAGAACAACAATTCAAAGAAACTTTTTGGTTTCAGCCCTCGGTACCAACTGGCAGATTTACCAATGGTATACTACTAGTCCGCCTACCTTAGCAGGCACTGGAGCGACTTATTTTATAGAAAGCTTACTTTTCTCTAAAAAATGTGGCGTCGATACATTTGCAGTTTCTGCATTTCTTCCTTCACCATCAAATGATTCAGAATACGTTGGGCAGCAATGGCCGTTTTTAATCAATTATGTATCCGTCCATGGGTTCTTCGCGGCATGTACTCCTCTCGATGGACTTCTTCAAAGTACGATGGATTGTTTATATGAATCTGAATGTATGCAATGGTTATTGAACTATTTTCCAAATCTAAATCAAGTTCGTATAGTTTTTCTACTATATTTTCAAGGCACACGTCTTTTTTTTTATCTAGACAAACTTCAATTGGAGCAGTTCGATTTTATCTGCAAAACATGATAACAAAACTGTACTTGATTATTTTCAAACTCTCTTTATTCAGAGCTGGATTTCCAACATGAATTATTCGGCATATTTCGACCAATGTTCTCCGTCAAAGTGTACATACTCCACGACAACTCGAGTACACTTATCCTATGCAATCACTTTTCTCATTAGTCTTTATGGCGGTCTTATCATAATACTTCGTTTATTTGTCTCGTATTTAATTGATATTTTATTCAAATTCGTACATCATCAAAAGCATACAAGTGAAAGTTCGGGTAAGTTTCGCATATGACGTAGACGGTTCTCGGCAAATCTCTGTATTTTCTAGGCGAACAAAACCTATACACATTTAAATCAGTTCCATTGTTGAAACAATTGAATCTATTCAAAAATGTTAATCATCGGACAGAGAGTAGTCTAAAACAACAAAGAATTATCACTCGTGTCTATTTGATATTACTAATCGGTAACGTAACACAGCATAGAAGAGGTCAATTGTTCTAATTCAGTTGAAATCTTAGGTTCAATATGTGTTCTTTGTCTCTTCAATTCACTAAGCAGTGAAATAGCGACGACTGTCGTGTCAAATCCATCGTTAGCAGCTTATAATTTATTAGAAATGAAATATTCAACAGAACTTCGATGTCCATGTGCGAATAACACCATGCCCTATCGCACATTTATCTCACTATCGCCCGTTTTGCATCAAATATGTTCAAGTGGATTCGTTACGAATGATTGGATTTATCAAATAATGAGCAATATGTTCATTGTCGTCTCCTATGATTGGCGTCTAAAGGCATATAAACAATTTCAGATTCTCTCTGACCTATGTCAATTAGCTAACGCGACGATCGATGCAGCTATGGACAAATTTCTTTCACAATTGTTTGTTGTTTCTTCTGTTCTAAGTGAAATGGATTTTGATCAACAATTAAACGCAACTCTCAGCCAATTTTATCAATCAACAGCTTACAGTTTCGCCTTACCAAATAACATCATACAACTTATTCAGAAAACTAATCAATATCATGAAGGATTCGCATCGCAATACATGCCGCCTAATTATCCGGATTCTACTTTAATATTTAACGCAGTAAACAGCCAGGTAGGTGCTCTTTGTAACACTTCTTACGCATGAATTGTCGTCTAGAAGGATTTAGTGCCCTGCCGAAAAAGATATTGAATGAGTAAGATCAAAACATTTTTAACTCGAGAAAAGTATACTGCACACGAGCTTCTTTAGCCGAATAGATTTCAAAATGTACCGTAAGCCCATAGCTAAAGAGTTCGTACGTTGAGCTGCGTGTTCGACTTATGAACTAGGTATAAGGCAGCCACTCTGATCGTGCCTGATTTTTGATCAGTAATGAAATACGAAAATGTTATGTTTTCAGGTATATTTTCGCTTATATGGTATTCAAGATGTTACCACAGGACTAATCACATGTGTGTGTGCTATCAATCCTTACTGTCAAAGGCCAGCAATTCTCAACGATTTTAATCTAATAAACAATTATAACTCTTGGTATGGATATGGATCTAATCATAACTTATCTGGCTGGGTTGAACGCTGCCTTGCTCATGAATCTCTTCTACTATCGACACTCGAATGCTTATATACAAATTCCAGTTGTTTTCCCTTCTTATTGAGCTACATAACCAAAGCAAATACGGATGCGCTGTCACTTTTAACATCTTCATCACGTCTACGTCCTCTCACCTATGATCCAGTAGTGAGTCGCTTTCCTCCCAATACCCCAATTTCCATAATAGTCAATGAAGTGATGCTTGAAACATGGAATGCTATTTTGTCATATGAAAAATTCTACGAATCGTGTGCGCCCTTGTATTGTTCTTATTCGCAAAGTGTACGAAAGGAAAATTTTCTTGGAGTCATCATCGTATTGGTGTCAGCTGTTGGTGGAATCATAGTATCATTACGTATTATAACCCCTCATCTTGTTCATTTTACGTTGAGAATCTTGGTAGGAACGAGCGAAAAGTCAAATCAATCTGAACAAGGTATAATCACTACTTATTTGTTGAAATTTTCATTTTTTACAAAAAGACTGAAGATCAGCTCTATTCATGTGAGTCATAGCGAAATACATCTTAGAGAACTCAGCTCTCAGGCCGAATCGCGAATTTTAACGAATACATCCGAGAAGAGGTCTATGTTATAATTTTAGTTCGACGGAGCTGTACTAATCGACTAAAGATGATGATACGGAATGTAATTAAACTTCTTTATACTGCACTTACTGAATCGAATATATTTTCATTACGTGATGTCGGAAGCGACGTTGATCGAATGAAAGCGAAAAATTATGGTCAGTGGGCAACGCGTCTTTATATGATACTGCTCATCAGCAGTCTCAGTATTTTGGTATTCTACACAATTATCCAGCCGCATTCTGTGATTAAGAAATTTGACCAACCATCTTTCACTTACTATAATCGATTGAAAGATATCTATGGTGATGAGTTAAAATGTTCATGTTCGAGAATAGCATCAACATATAGTGAATTCGTCAGCATTCAACCAGCATTTCATCCAGTAAGACGAAACATTTTCATATAATCGATATTTGTGTTTATTGTTTTTTTTACAGATCTGTTCAAGTCAATTTGTTTCGAATGAATGGCGGGTTAGTTTAACAGATGGTCTTGTTGCGAATTTATCGATTTATGAGAGAACAGATTATCGTCGGTTTCTTTCTGCNTGAACCACGAGAAAAATCCTTTGAAATTCGATCAATTGAAATACAAACATCTGACTTTGATCATGGGGATTATGAACATCACTCCTGACTCGTTTAGTGACGGTGGTGATAACTACAATATGAGCGCTGACGTCATAGAGAGTACTGCTTTACGATTGTTAGATGAAGGTGCAACAATATTAGACATCGGAGGTGTTTCGACAAGACCGGGTAGTATTCCTTCAAGTGAAGACGAAGAACTCCGGCGTGTTTTACCTGTAATCAAAATTATCCGAGAATCGAAGAACGAGAAACTATCTACATGTCTCATTTCTATCGATACTTATCGTGCAAACGTCGCTGAAGAATGTTTGAAAGCTGGTGCAGACATCATTAACGATATTTCAATGGGATTATACGAACCAGAAATATTCCATGTTATCGCTAAGTATGGATGTCCGTATATTATGAATCACACGCGAGGGACAACTCAAACTATGTCCAGTTTAAACAATTACGAATCCAACAGTAATGAAGATATTGTCGAGTATATGATTGATCCTTTAAATCCTTCATTTAATGTTAAAAATTGGGATTCAAAAGTGACCAATTTGATTAATGGAGTATCTCGAGAATTAGGATTACAGATCTTCAAAGCTTTTAGAAGTGGTGTTAGAAAATGGCAGGTAATCATCGATCCAGGTGTTGGATTTGCCAAGAATTTATCGCAGAATTTAATCGTCATCAAACATGCTTCATATTTCAAACGATATTCAATGACGGTTAACGGACATTCCTATTTGACTTTCAATGGTTTGGCTACTCTTCTAGGTCCTTCGAGAAAGAAGTTTTTGGGCACTCTTTGCAATGAACCTATTGCACGAGAGAGAGTTATCAGCACTGGTGCAACCATCATGGCGTGTATACAACAAAATACTGATATCGTCAGAGTTCACGATGTAAAAGAAATGAACAAAGTTGTGAAAGTGGGTGATGCTTTGTATAAAGATATTTATGAAAGAAAATAAAGAAATAAAAAGAAAATTTGTCTTCATTTTGAGGATGATACAAAGTATTTCGTGATCAGATTTTCATTTCATGCAAAAGGAATCATGAATAATTATTAGTCGCTGACCGAGCAGCAAAAAAATATCAGTTTATTTGACTGAGATCTAGCGGAGTTGTTTATCATAGGGCATCACTTATGAAACACCTTGTGTGTAAGAACTGGGATATATTTACCTACTTAGTCAGCATTACTGTTCTTTGTCCTCTGCGTTTGTGGTTATCTGTTATCTCCCATGGAATTTACCATCCTATTCGTGCGTACTATATAAACACAATTAGTATTGCGATTTCTAGTGCGGTATCACAACGAAAAGCGGAACATGAACCTGGAATCGTTGGCTAACGAAATATTGCTGAATGTATTCGAATTTCTCATAGGGATTGATCTTCTCCGCGGTTTTTATCATCTGCTTTTCAATCATTTTCAATTCGATGCTTTGAATTTTAAATCAGTCTTGTAAACTGATTTTGATGTTATTTGTCAGCAACACCTTCCGTCGATCTCGGATCGTATAAAATCACTGCTCTTAATTGAAGACGACGAAACTCCCCAACAAACGCGTTGTTTTTTTTTTGCTCACAGTTTGACTCTGAATGATACACTGCCAGTTCAAAGATTTGAGTGATATCAGCTGGAGTGATGGACTAACAGTGCGATCATTATCTCTCCGAAATTTGTCTGTTCGAGGTTATTCTATCCACAATTTTCACTTAGATCCTATCTTCGAATACACGCCTCATCTCCAACGTTTTGCAATGAATTTTGATCCATACTATTTTCCATATCAAGATTTATCATCCGATGCACTATCGATCAAAGCGTTAGACTTGCGGTTGGATTATGCATGCGATTCAATGCAAGATCTTTCAAAAGATTTGCCAAATTTATCTAAATTAATAGTTCATATGGATGAAAGTTATATAGATGGACATGAGTGGAAATACAGCGTTACCGATTATCTACCTAAACTAAAAGTATTTTGGCTGTGGATGACTTTTGATAGCAGTAGTAAGACCGATACTGAACGAATAGTTGATAAACTTCTCGATACATTTCGAATTGACTTTTGGGTTGAAGAACGTAAATGGTTCGTTCGCTTTGCTGGATAGCCCAGCAAAAAAGATATTGTTTTGATCTGTATACTTTACCCAAAGCATTTCCTATCCATATTCTTGGTGCTACAACGAAATTTAAATCAACGGATCCTCATGATATGTCATGCGTTATTCCATTTCGTTGTTCATACGTCGAACATCTTAATACCGATTTAATTTTTCAGGAGAAATTGTGGCCGGTGACATCATCCTTTGATCGATTTGACTTCAACTTTCATAGGACTTATTTGAACAAGCCGACATGCATCGACCTGTTCCATTCACCATTGAGCGTTCAATGTGAAGTTCTCTTGGTCCAAACTAATGATCGATAAAATATCGTCTGCCTCGTCAAAAAGATGAAATATCTTCGAGCATTAATTGTTACATGCAATGATAATCTAACCCGATGCGATCTGTCTGGATGGTTGCAACAACGCCTACCACCGAATTGTGCGATTTCACAGGGAAAACATATTGATACTAGCAGAGCTCGATTATGGATTCGATAGTATAAAGACCATTGTTTTTAGTTAGATGATCTTTTTTTGAGAAAAGTTTGGAAAAGATATATTAGTCCAGAATGACTATGCACATAATTAATTTAATTCTCGCTTCATTCCGATTTATGGACGGGCGAGTGAATGGAGACGCATTTTGTTCTTTCACACTACTCTACTCAATGTTGATCCTGATTTATTTGAATTTCAGTTCACGGCGTGAAAGTGCTGGGTGATGCTTTATATAAAGATATTTATGAAAGAATATGTAAAAGGATTATGCTGTGAAAAGTATGGATGTAGATTGTCGAAAAATAGGTGTTTCTAGTCACAATCACTTTATTAAAACATAGACTAACGTTCGTTGGTGATTAATTTGCCACGAATCGCGTCAATATGTTGCTTGTACTGATTGATGATAGGATGATCGTAAGGCAACACATTTGTAACTATACTTTCCGCTTTTTCTGCGTGCTCGAGAGCCTCTTTAAAACGATTTCTATTCTCAAAATTGATGGCGAATTGATGATGTATTGTAGCAGCAAATACACCACTTGTCGAAAGTGACTTTGACAGTACTGTCCATTGTGTCTGAATTCTTTCGAATAAATTCTCATCACCTGGACATTGAATACATATCTGTAAGAGGTTACTTAAGCACGTTATAATCAGTTCAATATACTTCTGACCGTCACTATCTGACAGATTGGATACTGAGTTATCTACAATCTTAAAGAAGAACTTCTGGGCATCGTCATAGTTCTCGCTGTCTAAATACACCTCAGCGAGTATTAGGTCCATAAGATTCAGAAGGATTCGAGATGGAGATTGAATGTTTTTTAGGATTTTAACAGTTTCTTTCGCGTTTTCGATGAGTTGAGTATATTGTTTTTTAATTCTGAAAATGCGAGTCAGCTCCATATGGCAGTGAATTCGTGTCATATTATCCCGTGCAACGATCGAGGTCGATGACGAAGGATCACCAAGGAGATGCCGGTAAAATTGTTCACTTTCATTGAGTTGACCCATCTCAAATAGTAGTTTGGCGAAACGATGTAGAAGATGTCTGGCAGCTGTTTTTTTTCGATAATAGTTAAGAGATGACCGTAATTTCTCGTCACCGTCATTATTCATTGACAAATAAATATGCCAGATACCACTGGAATCCTCTTGAAGCTTTTGAATATGAAACACTGTAGATGCAGAAAACAGAACTTCACTTTCCCCTGGAAATGCTGATAAATGTGAGATTTCAGCAAACGGACAGTTTCTATTATTAGCTGCGGAATCTTGATTAGACTCTATCATTTTTTTCTACATCAACTATTGAACGAAGATGGCCAATAAAGAACGCAACTTTTTCATCATCCGTGGTACATCTATTTATCTCTGGACTATAAAGTAATTGTGGAAGTGCCTGAATAACTGGTTTTGCAACATAAGCTTCTAGAACGACTTCGACGTGCATCAGAAGAGGAACAATATTGGGATCACCTGCAGTAGACGCTTGATGAGAAAAACAAGCCGCCATTGTCTCATCGCTGCTCGTTGACAAAAAGTTATTAAAAGTAAGAAGACCACCTTGGCTTGCCTTCAATTTTTGAAAGTCACTCTGATTCATACCTTGTCCACGAAAAACTCTCAGTGTCGGTGAGTGGCCATCAGATGCTGTAATAGCCATACGAAAAAAATCGACCATTTTCATTAAGAAAAGAGAAAATAGTTGCTGATGTAGTTCCCGAAGGAAAAATCTTAAATAATACAGGGTATCAAGATCACGCGTTCGCAATGCTTTGTTCAACGCTTTGTACAGAAACGAATCCTCTGTATAGAACCAAACGGGTGTCTTTGACGGGTCACGATTATGTTCAAAGTCATTGATAAACAATAATTCTTTTGGATTATCGGCGTATTGAGTATGGCAAAAATTGATCATATCTGTTCGAGCGAACTGTTCATCAGTTTCATCTTCCGTGTTGAGTAGAATTTCGTTTACCAACTGGCTATATATGAATGCAGTCTCTAATTTATTTGCGTCTTGACCGCCAACTCTGTTTAATACTTCAAACTCGATAAAATCCTGATTGCATACCTTCACATCTAATTTCAGATGCTCACATATAGTACCGATGGTCGTAAACACTCCTTTCACCTTGGAGTAGTTCTTCGCCCATGAGGGTGGGTGTGGATGAGGGTGAGGGTGAGGGTGAAATGAAAGGATTCATCTCTATCTACACCTGCAGTAAAATGTTAGTCTCACTCAGAAAAATGAATGGAATATAAAGATCAGCTGAAGACTTATAGACGTTTGTCGCTCGTTTATTATTCCTTGTATTTGTAGGTAACTGTGGCTCGCATCATTGTTCAAGCTAAGAATGTCAGAAATATTAGGCAGTAGTTCTTCAGACTGGTGGCAGAAAGACTCATTGTGCATAATCTTCTGAATAGTGTTGTGAAGGGTTGGTTGCACATACTTAAATGGTTGCGCATACAGTTGTTTTTCTGCAAAAAAATGCATTTTCTCTCTCATTTTTCGCTGTTGTCAACATAAAAATGCTTCATTCACGCTTCAAATTATACGTTCTTTTGCATTGAATCTTTTTCGCTGAAAAAATTATTAACGCACTTGAATGTCAACTTTGAGGACTATAAACTCAACTGATTAATCATTTGAGTATGTATCGCTAAGATTAATATGACACATAATTTTCTGCCAAAATCATTTCCAGTTTAAACGAACGCTCCAGTGTGAATATATCTTCTTTATCGCCGTCTTCTTATTGGAACTTGACAAGAATGATCAGTGGCAATCTTTTCTCAGAATTCCCAAACATGAATGAATTCCAAAAGTGACACACATTTGGATCACCGGAAATTTATTATTAGGCAGCTGAAAAGTTATTCAAGTAACTTCTGCTTTGTCATAGTAACAAAGTACAATTGTATAACCAATCTAGAAGAAAAAGATATGGAATTCTAAGCAAAAGTGAATTGAATGAAGACTTCCCTGTCTGTGTTCATTGGTTTTACCTTCATTAGTTGTTGTTTGATTCAAAAATGAACATGAGAATTGTAATCTTTCATCATAACAAACATAAAAAGTGCACGGAACTGTACTATACGAATGACACTTGTGTGGAAATACTGTATAGCTCAGTATGAAACAGTTTGTTTCAATGGTTGATTAGAGCACGAGTTGGTCATTTTGTTGTTGTTATTATTCGTAATAATGATAAATACTGGTTTTTAAGCATGTTCACTGAATATTTTTACACTGTAAACGTGACATCAGTATAACATATGGCAGTCTCGCACCGAAAAACAAAAATTTTCATCATTTGATTAAAACGAAGCTTCGTCTACACACATTTCGCCATCATCAGTAACAACGAATGATGCTTCAAAAAATAGGAATTTCATTCCTAAATCTTCGCGAGATATTTTTTGAAAGAATCGGAAGGTGAGTTAATAAAAAGCATCAAAGATTTGTATTTCCTTTCATCTCGATATTGTTCATGCTTTTCGCCGTCTTTTTCCTTAGTACATGATCGAAAATTCGCTTCGTACAGTTTCTGATATTCGAAACGTAGAAGACTGATTCCACTATCGCGCTTGTAGCATTCGGAATTTCTAGAATAATCAAAATAACTCGTGTTGGTTTATAATAACAAGTGTAATTTTGATGCGAAGAAATCAATGAGCCAGACTTGTCTCTGCTAATGTGGTCTTGATCGACCATCACTTATAAATTTACTTTAAATCATTGTTTGATTGAAAATACGATGTAAAAGTTGAACTGTTTCTTGGAAACAGGTGTATCCATTACACGATTGCACGCATTCCAGCTTCCACACACATGTTTGATTTTATTCACAATGTATATCTATGAATGTATGAGGTCGAGTTGTTCGATAGTGACTACACAATGTAAATAAACAATAGTTGGGTCGAAGAAAGTTTTATTAATTTCATCACAGATACTACAGTACTTTCAAATTACTGACAACGAATTTTGAAATGTGTATGTGGAAAGGGATTGTTATGAAAATAAACGTTCTCCTTTCCTGTGCTTGTTGGGAAGAAAAACAAAAATACACCACATGCTGTTCTCTTGCGTTATGTGTTTAAACGGTATTTGTTTGTAAAATAGTTACATATAATGTTACAAAGCACATCTGATATAACGATATTGATTTTTGGCTTAACAGCTATCGTGACTGGTTTGCTTGGTTTAACAAGTCCTGAAATAATGTTACATCTGATGAATTTCAGTGTAATTGATCGATCGACACGACAAGATGGTGATTACACTCTAGCATTTCTGACTTGTTCATCAGTGGCGTCATTGAATATGGGTGTTTATTATTTGGTTGCTGTATGGACCCAATGGATAAAATTCTATCAATTTACAGTGATATTTCGATTAGTAACAGTTACAGTATTGATGTTAGCTGTAAAGAACGGTCACGCACCAACAGGTCTTGTTGGCGTAGTGATCTGGGAATTGATAGGTGCGTTAACAACAGCAGCAGCTTTGTGGCACGATGCAAAAAACAGACGACGAAATGAGATGAAAAAGACTTCATAAATCCTTGAACGATTAAACATGAATAACACTTCATTGACAATGCTGTTTAAACAAAAAACGTGTCTATCATTTACTTATAATTGTACAAAGGAATAAAACGAAGGATGAAATAATTATTACAGTAGGAATAGCTGAATTGAGTCTACTGACTACCACGAACTTCAACAACCAATCGTATCTATTGCGCCATCGATGTTTGAGCCAGGTTAAAAGGATATTCGTAGCGTTTTCAAAGTCTTGTGCCGTCTGCTGATGGTTTTTCGTGAATAAAATTTGAACTGCGTCCTCGTATAGTTCGATTCGCTCACAATTTTCAACTCTTTCACTCGACTTCTCTTATTGAATGATATGTCGTATTTCACGAACGTTTTAGTTCAGTGATGTTCTACTTTAAACTAATACTCAAATGCTTTCTTTCTATTTCTGGAATCTTTGGGAAAGAGAAACATGCATAGAGTTTGTTGATCAATTAGAACGTTAAAGAAAAATGCCATTTAAATATTGTTGTAAAATCTTTTTCTCGAGCATATTTAACAACTAGGAGGCAGATAAATACATTGGAGAACGCCCAGAGAGACAGAAAACATAATTTTAAGTTTACAAAGAAGTGTCGAGAACTACATGTGAATCATAATCATTGATTATTATAGTGGAATCTAACAGTGCTCATCTTTGACTATATTTCTTTTTAGCGTGTAAAGATAACAGTTTTGGGGAAGATTCATTAAACAGAATGAATTCGAGAAATCTATGGAATTGGATTTACAAAAAAGTGTCGAATCATAATCTTTTCATACTGGAAGAAGACGATTATGATGATGATGCATTGAAAGATCCAGCTGCTATTGTAAAAAAACAAAAATATAAAACCTGGTTGTACATTGGACTTCTCACAGGTAAATAACGTCGCACCTTTCTTCTGTCTCGGACGTGCACTTTCTCATAAGCTCTATTCACATCTATTGAAGACTTCAGTGACGAACCGATATGCCAAACAATACGAATGTAGATATACTTCATTATTTTTTCATTCTAGTGTGTTTTTACATATTGTTTTACGCAACTTTGACAAGACCTCAATCGGAGACACTGGTTATTTCCAATGTAAAGTCTGATACTTTTGATCAGTTGTATTCGGAATATGGTCAAACGTTTGCATGCCCATGCTCAACAGTCATAATACCTTATAGCAATTTTATATCGAACAATTGGACAATGCATCCTATCTGTTCGAGTATTTTCGTCAGTTTGCAATGGGTTGAAGGATTATATTTTACAAATGCAAGTTCGTATATGCTGTATGATTTTCGAAAAGTGGCCTATTCACAGGTTAGTGTGAGTTATGTACATTCATATCTTTAATCAAGATCCACTTAACATTCTGAAAAAGCAATGAACTATGAATGTAATTCAATGTTTTCATTTAGTTTGAACTTTTATCCAAATTATGTTCAATTTCCGAAGCAATCATATCTCAAATCGAATCCGAGATAAATAACACTGAACTTGTTACTATTAATGTTCTTTCCAAGACGCAAATTCAACTGGAAGTCGATAGCAAAATTGAATTTCAGAAGAACAATGCCTATGGTCGAATAATCTCGTTCTTGAATTACTGGAGAACAACGATTCAAAGAAACTTTTTGGTTTCAGCTCTCGGTACCAACTGGCAGATTTACCAATGGTATACTACTAATCCACCTACCTTAGCAGGCACTGAAGCAACTTACTTTATAGAAAGCTTACTTTTCTCTAAAAAATGTGGTGTCGATACATTTGTACTTTCTGCATTTCTTCCTTCACCATCAAATGATTCAGAATACGTTGGACAGCGATGGCCGTTTTTAATCAATTATGTATCCGTCCATGGCTTCTTCGCGGCATGTACTCCTCTCGATGCACTTCTTCAAAGTACGATGGATTGTTTATATGAATCTGAATGTATGCAATGGTTATTGAACTATTTTCCAAATCTAAATCAAGTTCGTATAGTTTTTCTACTGTATTTTCAAGCCACATGTATTCTTTTATCTAGACAAACTTCAATTGGAGCAGTTCGATTTTATCTGCAAAACATGATAACAAAACTGTACTTGATTATTTTCAAACTCTCTTTATTGAGAGCTGGATTTCAAACACGAATTATTCCGCATATTTCGACCAATGTTCTCCGTCAAAATGTACATACTCCACGACAACTCGAGCACACTTATCCTATGCAATCACCTTTCTCATTAGTCTTTATGGTGGTCTTATCATAATACTTCGTTTATTTGTCTCGTATTTAATTGATATTTTATTCAAATTCTTACATCATCAAAAGCATGCAAGTGAAAGTTCGGGTAAGTTTCGCATATGATGCAGACGACTCTCGGCAAATCTCTGTATTTTCTAGGTGAACAAAGCTTATACACATGTAAACTAGTTCAATTGTTGAAACAATTGAATCTATTCAAAAATGTTAATCATCGGACAGAGAGCAGTCTCAAACAACAAAGAATTATCACTCGTGTCTATTTGATATTACTAATCGGTAACGTAACACAGCATAGAAGGTCAATTGTTTTAATTCGGTTGAAATCTTAGGTTCAATATGTGTTCTTTGTCTCTTCAATTCACTAAGCAGTGAAATAGCGACGACCGCCGTGTCAAATCCATCGTTAGCGACTTATAATTTATTAGAAATGAAATATTCAACAGAACTTCGATGCCCATGTGCGAATAAGACCATGTCCTATCGCACATTTATCTCACTATCGCCCGTTTTGCATCAAATATGTTCAAGTGGATTCGTTACGAATGATTGGATTTATCAAATAATGAGCAATATGTTCATCGTCGTCTCCTATGATTGGCGTTTAAAGGCGTATAAACAATTTCAGATTCTCTCTGATCTATGTCAATTAGCTAACGCGACGATCGATGCAGCGATGGACAAATTTCTTTCACAACTGTTTGTTGCTTCTTCTGTCCTAAGTGAAATGGATTTCGATCAACAATTAAATGCAACTCTCAGTCAATTCTATCAATCAACAGCTTACAGTTTCGCCTTACCAAATAATATCATACAACTTATTCAGAAAACTAATCAATATCATGAAGGATTCGCATCTCAAAACATGCCGCCTAATTATCCGGATTCTGCTTTAATATTTAACTCAGTAAACAGCCAGGTAGGTGCTCTTTGTAATACTTCTTACGCATGAATTGTCGTCTAGAAGGATTTAGTGCGCTGTCGAAAGAGATATTGAATGAGTAAAACCAAAACTTGTTTAACTCGACAAAAAGTTATCAAAAAGTATATTGTACACGAGCTTCCTTAGCCGGATAGATTTCAAAATGCACCGTAAACCCATAGCTAAAGAGTTCGTACGTTGATCTGCGTATTTGACTTATAAACTAGGTATAAGGCAGCGACTCTGATCGTGCCTCATTTGTGATCAGTAATTAAACACGAAAATGTTATGTTTTCAGGTATATTTTCGCTTATATGATATTCAAGATGCGACCACAGGACTAATCACATGTGTGTGTGCTATCAATCCTTACTGTCAAAGGCCAGCAATTCTCAACGATTTTAATCTAATAAATAATTATAACTCTTGGTATGGATATGGATATAATCATAACTTATCTGGCTGGGTTGAACGCTGTCTTGCTCATGAATCTCTTCTACTATCGACACTCGAATGTTTATATATAAATTCCAGTTGTTTTCCCTTCTTATTGAGCTACATAACCAAAGCAAATACGGATGCGCTGTCACTTTTAACATCTTCATCACGTCTACGTCCTCTCACCTATGATCCAGCAGTGAGTCGCTTTCCTCCCAATACCCCAATTTCCATAATTGTCAATGAAATGATGCTTGAAACATGGAATGCTATTTTGTCATATGAAAAATTCTACGAATCATGTGCGCCCTTGTATTGTTCTTATTCACAAAGTGTACGGAAGGAAAATTTTCTTGGAGTCATCATCGTATTGGTGTCAGCTATTGGTGGAATCATAGTGTCATTACGTATTATAACACCTCATCTTGTTCATTTTACGTTGAGAATCTTGGCAAGAACCAACGAAAAGTCAAATCAATCTGAACAAGGTATAGTCACTACTTATTTTTTGAAATTTTCATTTTTTACAAGACTGAATATCAGCTCTATTCATGTGAGTCATAGCGAAATACATCCTAGTGAACTCGGTTTCTCAGGACAAATCGCGAATCTTAACGAATACATCCGAGAAGAGGTCTATGCTATAATTTTAGTTCGACGGAGCTGTGCTGATCGACTAAAGATGATAATACAGAATGTAATTAAACTTCTTTATAATGCACTTACTGAATCGAATATATTTTCATCACGTGATGTCGGAAGCGACGTTGATCGAATGACAGCGAAAAATTATGGTCAGTGGGCAACGCGTCTTTATATGATACTGTTCATCAGCAGTCTCAGTATTTTGGTGTTCTACACAATTATCCAGCCACATTCTGTGATTAAAAACTTTGAGCAACCATCTTTCACTTACTATAATCGATTGAAAGATATCTATGGTGATGGGTTAAAATGTTCATGTTCAAGAATAGCATCGACATATAGTGATTTCGTCAGCATTCAACCAGCATTTCATCCAGTAAGATGAAACATTTTCATATAATCAATACTTGTGTTCGTTGTTTTTTTACAGATCTGTTCAAGTCAATTTGTTTCGAATGAATGGCGGGTTAGTTTAACAGATGGTCTTGTTGCGAATTTATCGATTTATGAGAGAACAGATTATCGTCGGTTTCTTTCTGCTCATTTACAATATCTCCAAGGACTATGTCAACTTTCAATAGACTCAGCGAATAATTCAATCCATGAGTTTCTCACTTCATTATTAGTTATTACCGAACTTTTACCAAAGGATAATTTTGATGATCGCCTCACGAGCTTAATTGAACAAAGCAAATTGAAAGCTCCGACTTTGTTGTCTACTCTTCTTCTTTTCACTCAAAGTATTATACATGGAAATGCCTTCCAATCAACTTATGGAACAAATTTCCAATATATTTATGTAGATGGAAATGTAGCACTTCCTGAAGCCGAACAAGCGTTCATATATGATGATGATTGTTCTTGTGATGCTTCTCCGAGTTGTACAACTCAAGCCAGTTTTATCCAGGCGAACTCCTCCCAGAACGCTTCCGTCAAAGGAATGAAAATGGGATGTACGCCAAGTGAGTCACTGCTTGCTTCGACTCTCGAGTGTTTTTACGATCAATCATGTTTGGATCTTATTCAAAACTATACTCATTCTCGCAATTCATCAAGCCCTCTTTCGACAACATCGAGCCGTTTTTCACAAAACACAACAGTCGATGAACTTCGACAGAATCTGTTTATAGAAGAATGGTCAACCGCAATAAATTATTCGTCTTATTATGCGCAATGTTCGCCTTCAGTCTGTTCTTATACAAGTGTTGCGCAGTTTAATATTCTATACACAATCACTCTTATCCTTGGTCTTCAAGGTGGTTTGACTATTGTTCTCAAATGGATTTGTCCAAAACTCGTTCGAATTGGATCAAAGATTTATTATAATCGGAAAAAACTAGCATCTTCTGTCCATCCTGTTGACGTTCTTGAAATGTCATCCATTATGACGAATAATATAGTCATTCAAAATACAACTTCAAATCTTGAGAATAGACCAATGGAAACACTATCTCAGTAAACTAGTTCACTAATCTTCCTCAGCCTTACATTTCGTTTGTTGTAGGAAGAATTTTGCATTACGCATTCGATGGTATTTCAAGACCATATTCATCGTTGTATCAGTGATATGCTTATTAGTCGGTATAGCTATTTTTTCAATTTATTACGGTCGACAAGGTAAGAACGAAACTCTATACGCGATAAAGTATGTATTGGTTCATAGGTTCGACGACAACTACACCAATCAGTGGTAATTTAAACGCAATGCTAACCACAATTACACCGACAATTTCAGGTGTTTCAGGTTAGTTGACGGATTAAGCTAGGTGTAGCAGAAGTACACTGTGAGACGTTCTCTAAGTTTACTGAGTATTGATTATTTCATTAATATGTTTAATATGTTGTAGGATCAACATGCCAATTAAAAGTTAAACGACAGTCAATTAATATACAGTGTCCATTCTCGAATACCAGCGTATATAGAATTGCTGATGTAAACAATGATAATCGAGTTGATCTTATCTTTTGCTGCGATAACAGCTCTACAGTGAACGTCTTATTAGCAAATTCGAATGGTTCGTTTGGAGAAGTGATACCAACTTATTTACGTGGAGATATAATTAAGATCTATGTTGACGACATGAACAATGATGGTATAGCCGATCTAATTGTGTTATGCTACATCCAGTACCTCGATTTGATCTTATTCTTATTTGGCAATGGTGATGGAACTTTCCAATTAGCAAACATTCCGTATATTTGGCTCATTACATCTCCAGTTGATGTTAGCGTAGCCGATATTAATAAGGACAATGTCCTGGATGTCACTGTCACATTTCGGTATTTTGATGCTGTTTATGTTTTTTATGGATATGGCAATGGATCATTTTCATCAAGTTCAATGCTGTTTATAGAACTTACTAGTGATCCGCAGCAACTAGCTGTCGGTGATTTCGACAATGATGGCTATACAGATCTTGCCGTATTAAACGGTCGGTCTCTCCATATTCATGTATTTTTGAGAAATTCCAATGGAAGCTTTCCATTACCGACGTGGCTATACACTGCATACGATATTAATCAATATCGAATGCTAGCTGGTGATTTCGATAATGACTATCAATCCGATATTGTCTATCTTCATAGCTGGGAAAATACAGAATTAATACTATATCGATATAACAATGGTGCTTTTCATACTGATCAGCAAATTGTCATAGGTACTTCAGTATTATTAAATTCAAAATCAATAGTTATACACGATATCAATAATGATAATTACTCAGACATCATTATAGGTTCACTTTTATCGGATGAAATTTATGGTCTTCTAGCAGACGGAAGCGGACATTTCCAAACACAAACTTTTTATTCAAGCCTACTTATTAATTCTTCATATGACATCAACGACTTTGATCACAGTTCTTGTCATGAAATAATCAATATGAACATAATTAACAGTACTTTATATATTCTTTTCAATGCATGTCAATGCCCAACATAACAGACTCTCGAACATAACTTCATGCTTTTTACTTTGAGGGTGTGGGTAGTGAACGTACCCTTTTCGCCAGCAAAATTGCAATTCAAACCTTTATTTTCCTGTAAGACTGGCTTCCCACTTCCTCTTTTTCTCTTTTGTCCATGAAATATATTTTCTTGGAGTATTTTTTTGCCTTTTCTTTGTTGAAAAAAGTTAAACTTTACCAAATATAAGTATATCAAAAAATGCCAATGTAATAATGTAGACAAGAAAATTGAGAAAACTAAAGAAGAAAGAAAAGAAAAAAAGAGGACGAGTGGGAAACCAGCTGTAAGAAGATTTTGATGAGACACACCTGAAACATAAATGGCGTGTTCGCTTAACAAGTTTAAGTCGTTCCAGCAACTACTGTGTTAGGTCTTCGATTAATTTGCTTGACTAGATATGCTCGAACTGGATCAGTATATGTTGTGGGCAGAATCGGAGTTCAAGCAAATTCATAGAGCCACGTGTTTGGCTAGAATGAAGGGAGACTAGAAAAATGTTAATAAGAGGGAAACTTTGGATAAATAGTATAAGTAAAGCGGTATAAACATAATAATTTAACTAAAAATGCCTAAATCAGATTAACTGACCGTTGGAGAAGAAAATAAAGAATTATTGTATTATCAAGAATTAGAAAAATATATCAATGCATTAAGTGAAAGATTTAGATCCAAAAGCGTAATAGATGATGGATGTTGTCGAAATATGGGTGAATAGTAAAAAAATATTTCGTTTTTTTGTAGTGTTTAGAGAAAATAATTTTCTTGAAAAGTAACTATGATGCAGTTCGATACAGATTGTTTTTATGAATTTATTTTCAGTCAAAATCTTAATTTTGCCTGGGCAAATTCCGATTCTGCCTACAACATATACAAAGATGTAGGCAATACGAAAATGATATTTTGGTGGTCGAGCGAAATATTCCATCAGGACAAAAATTGTATAAGGAATGCCGACTCCGAGAAAAATGAAAATAAGTATCACAATACAATAAATCATTCGCACTTCTCGTTGCGCACGTTGGAGAATATTTGCTGGGGGTGACCCGCTTACTCATTTCTTTCACATATCGAACTAATTTGAGATAGATGATGATGATTACACTGATTAGTATCACGTACGAATAAAATAGGTTATACACCGATATCCAAAAAGAACTCAAGTACCATTTGATCATTGACAAGACACACAATTTTACCCGTAAATAAATGTAGGAAAGCATAGACAAACGTCAGTACCCATACGAATAAAATCATAAAGATCTGAACGTATTTCGATTGCCAAAATAGTCTTGTTGGATGAATGACCGTGATATATCGATAAACAGCTTGAAGAAGGTAAGAATAATTTTGTGCACAAAAAGTAACATACGTCAAATACCGCAACTGATAATACAAAACAACTTTGAATATGTACTTCGGGTCAAATCATTTTGTAAATCAAATCTTGCCAATCCAAGACAGACACTTGTTAAGGAAAATACAGCTATACATGAATTAGCGATTAACATTATGGAAACAGTATGACATGTTTTCTCCTGAGTAATAATAGATAGAGACAATGATGCTAATAGAATAGTGGAACAAAGACAAATGATATTCAGAATATCGACCGGAATAAATCAAGTTTCTGTATTAATCAGTTATGATTTATTGTACGTTGTCATTTCGAAAGAACTTGCAAATTTGCAGATATAATGAGAACTTATTTGAAATCAAACAGAGTTCTCGAAACGTACAAGATGTCTAATGGTAGAAAATGAGTTTGCCCATCAGTTGCAGAGTTGTTAGCAAAAAACACAAAAGCAATTCTTAACGATGTCAGCCCATGCTATATTTGGATACCGAATCAGTTAAACATCTATGACATTTGAAAACGCATATGTTCATAGCCAATGAAGCGTCAAAGGAGCCGTCAGTTTCGAAGGAAAAGAAATTGAAGACATGTTAGCACCTGTTAGAAGACTTTTCTCCCTACTTTTACGGTTTTGAAATGCTGTACAAGAAGCCCTAAATCTTTAGAGAATTGCCCAAATTTCTTTCGTTAGTAGTAATGATGATGTCAAAAAAAGAAAGACTGACAACTAAAGCCGAAGAAGAGACCGTTTAGGTTGTAGAACATTGACACGTATTTAGTAAAACATCGATGGTGCTGGAACCAACACTCATCTTGATCAGATCTTGGCAAAAATCATTGTTGAAATCATCGATTCCAAGCCAGATTTCATAAATATCCACGCTACTCGAATCAATCATTTGAGATTGATAATACCCATTTCCATTTCCAAAAAATCCATGCACTCTATAAGGGTAAACTCCACCAATAATTATATCTAAATGCTTATCATTGTTCAGGTCACCGACAATAACTGAATACAATTCAACCGGTTCATTGAACATAATTTGGTCATCGACAGTAAAAGTACCATTGTCATAACGGTACAGTAAATAACCTGTGTTCCTCCATTGATGAACAAGAATGATATTTGACTGATTTCTATGATCGAAATCACCGATGAGCATAACAAATGAGCTAATATCGAATGCTGTGTAAATGCGTTTCTGTGTTTGAAAACCACCTTCAGTGTTTGACAGATATAGATGAATATGAAGTGATCTGGAATTCATTACAGCTATATCTATGTGATTATCATGATTATAATCAGCAATAGCTAATTGTCTTAGATCACTATTAAAACTCGTAAATAGCATTAACTGTGATGAAAATGTTCCATTTCCGTCTCCCCAACGTACATAAACATAATCATCCAGCAGAAACAAATAAACAATATCTACGTTGTGATCTTCATTGACGTCAACTACAGAAATATCTACTAGAAAGCCAGTCAATGTTAATGATTGTATGTTTGTTGTTTGAAATGTACCGTTGCCATAACCAAATAGAATAAGAATATAACGTATCGAATGCAAAAAGTCTGGAGGCAAGAAAACATCGTACGCAACGATTAAATCGAGTCGGTCATCATTGTTTGTATCGGCAGTACGAATAAAACGTATGGCTGTGTGATTTCCTAATGGAAACTTGCTTACTTCATGAAATGTCCCATTGCCTGTCCCAAGTAGCACATCTACTGTTTTTTTCGAATCGCAATACATTATTAAATCGGTTCGACCATCATCATTGAGATCGACAATGATACTAGGAATTAAACTGCTTACTAAACATTTTGTTGCTGTAGATATTTGTTTGAATTGGAACGAACATAGTGGTTCTAATGAGATGCGAATTAATTGATCAGAATTTTAAACAACTCCTTGTTGAGCTGACCTGATGTACTTGAAGATGGCGTTATTGTCGCACTCATTGTTGGACTGAAACTGCCAGTCGATGGTAAGTTCGTCGTCGCTGAATCTAAACAAGTTTTGTGTTATTTATCTCATTTTGTTTTCTTAGAGAAGTTCATACTTTGTCCTGCGTAATAGATTGAGAAAACGATGATGCATGTTATCGAACAGCTTAAAACTACAACGCCGCTGATTATTTTCGCATACGATCGAACCGACAGACTTGTCGTAGTTCTAGACGGAGAAACAGAAGAAATTCAAAATGTTCCGATATTGGTCACTTGCTCACTCAGGCCTTATCGTTATTGTGTTAGTCATCACGTGAGACGACGGTCGAACAGAGTTTGCTTGCTTTTTTCGATTGTGATAGATCTTTGAAACAATTCGAACGAGTTTTGGACAAATCCATTTGAGTGCAATAGTTAGACCACCTTGAAGACCAACTATAATCGTAATAGTATNCGAGAATAGCATCAACATATAGTGAATTCGTCAGCATTCAACCAGCATTTCATCCAGTAAGACGAAACATTTTCATATAATCGATATTTGTGTTTATTGTTTTTTTTACAGATCTGTTCAAGTCAATTTGTTTCGAATGAATGGCGGGTTAGTTTAACAGATGGTCTTGTTGCGAATTTATCGATTTATGAGAGAACAGATTATCGTCGGTTTCTTTCTGCTCATTTACAATATCTCCAAGGACTATGTCAACTTTCAATAGACTCAGCGAATAATTCAATCCATGAGTTTCTCACTTCATTATTAGTTATTACCGAACTTTTACCAAAGGATAATTTTGATGATCGCCTCACGAGCTTAATTGAACAAAGCAAATTGAAAGCTCCGACTTTGTTGTCTACTCTTCTTCTTTTCACTCAAAGTATTATACATGGAAATGCCTTCCAATCAACTTATGGAACAAATTTCCAATATATTTATGTAGATGGAAATGTAGCACTTCCTGAAGCCGAACAAGCGTTCATATATGATGATGATTGTTCTTGTGATGCTTCTCCGAGTTGTACAACTCAAGCCAGTTTTATTCAGGTGAACTCCTCCCAGAACGCTTCCGTCAAAGGAATGAAAATGGGATGTACGCCAAGTGAGTCACTGCTTGCTTCGACTCTCGAGTGTTTTTACGATCAATCATGTTTGGATCTTATTCAAAACTATACTAATTCTCGTAATTCATCAAACCCTCTTTCGACAACATCGAGCCGTTTTTCACAAAACACAACAGTCGATGAACTTCGACAGAATCTGTTTATAGAAGAATGGTCAACCGCAATGAATTATTCGTCTTATTATGCACAATGTTCGCCTTCAGTCTGTTCTTATACAAGTGTTGCGCAATTTAATATTCTATACACAATCACTCTTATCCTTGGTCTTCAAGGCGGTTTGACTATTGTTCTCAAATGGATTTGTCCAAAACTCGTTCGAATTGGATCAAAGATCTATTATAATCGGAAAAAGCGAGCATCTTCTATCCATCCTGTTGACGTTCTTGAAATGTCATCCAGTATAACGAATAAGACAGTCATTCAAAATACAACTTCAAATCTTGAGAATAGACCAATGGAAACACCATCTCAGTAAACTAGTTCACTATTCTTCCTCAGCCTTATATTTCGTTTGTTGTAGGAAGGATTTTGCATTACACAGTCGATGGTATTTCAAGACGATGTTCATCGTTGTATCAGTGACATGCTTATTAGTTGGTATAGCTATTTTTTCAATTTATTACGCTCGACAAGGTAAGAACGAAACTCTATGCTCGATAAAGTATGTATCGGTTCATAGGTTCGACGACAACCACACCAACCAGCGGCAATTTAAACACAATGCTAACCACAATTACATCAACAACTTCTAGTGTTTCAGGTCAGTTGAAGAACTAAGCTAGGTGTAGCAGAAGTACACTGTAAGAAGTTCTCTAAGTTTACTGAGTATTGATTGTTTTATTAATATGTTTAATATGTCGTAGGATCAACATGCCAATTAAAAGTTAAACGACAATCAATTAATATACAGTGTGCATTCTCGACTATCAGCATATATAAAATTGCTGATGTAAACAATGATAATCGAGTTGATCTTATCTTTTGCTGTGATAATAGTTCCACAGTGAACGTCTTATTAGCAAATTCGAACGGTTCGTTTGGAGAAGTGATACCAATTTATGTAGGTGGAGATATAATTAAGATCTATGTTGACGACATGAACAATGATGGTGTAGTCGATCTAATTGTGTTATGCTACATCCAGTACCTCAATTTGATCTTATTCTTATTTGGCAATGGTGATGGAACTTTCCAATTAGCAAACATACCGTATATTTGGCTGATTTCATCTCCAGCTGATGTTAGCGTAGCCGATATTAACAAGGACAATATCCTGGATATCACCGTCACATTCCGGTATTTTGATGCTGTTTATGTTTTTTATGGATACGGCAATGGATCATTTTCATCAAGTTCAATGCTATTCATAGAACTTACTAGTGATCCGCAGCAACTAGCTGCCGGTGATTTCGACAATGATGGCTATACAGATATTGCCGTGTTAAACAGTCGGTCTCTCCATATTCATGTATTTTTGAGAAATTCCAATGGAAGCTTTCCATTACCGACATGGCTATACACTGCATACGATATTAATCAATATCGAATGCTAGCTGGTGATTTCGATAATGACCATCAATCCGATATTGTATATTTCCATAGCTGGGAAAATACAGAATTAATACTATATCGATATAACAATGGTGCTTTTCATACTGATCAGCAAATTGTCATAGATACTTCAGTATTATTAAATTCAAAGCCAATAGTTATACACGATATCAATAATGATAATTACTCAGACATCATTATTGGTTCACTTTTATCGGATGAAATTTATGGTCTTCTAGCAGACGGAAGCGGACATTTTCAAACACAAACTTTTTATTCAAGGCTACTTATTAATTCTTCATATGACATCAACGACTTTAATGACAGTTCTTGTCATGAAATAATCAATATGAGCATAATTAACAATACTTTATATATTCTTTTCAATACATGTCAATGTCCAACATAACAGACTCTCGAAAATGACTTCGCGCTTTTTACTTTGAGGGTGTGGGTAGTGAACGTACCTTTTTTGTCAGCAAAATTGCAATTCAAACCTTTATTTTCATGTAAGAAGATTTTGATGAGGCACACTTGAAGCAAAAACGGCGTGTTCGCTGAACCAGTTTAGGTCGTTCCAGCAACTTCTGTGTTAGGTCTTCGATTAATTTGCTTGACTAGGTATGCTCGAACTGGATCAGCATAATGAACAGTAGTGACGCGTATGCCTACAACATATACAAAGATGTAGGCAATACGAAAATGATATTTTGGTGATCGAACGAAATATCCCATCAGGATGAATATTGCGTAAGGAATGCTGAGTCCGAGTAAATTGAAAATAAGTATCACAATACGATCTAATGAGAACTTATTTGAAATCAAACAGAATCCTCGAAACGCACAAGACATGTCTAATGGTAGAAAATGAGTTAGCCCGGTCAGTTGCAGAGTTAGTCGCAAAAAACACAAAAGCAATTCTTAACGATGTCAGCCCATGCTATATTCGGATACTGAATCAGTTAAACATCTCATGACACTTGAAAACGCATATTTTCATAGCCACAATGAAGCGTCAAAGCAGTCATCAGTTTCGAAGGAAGAAAAATTGAAGAGATATTAGCAGTAATGATGAGATAAAAAAAAAGAAAGACAAACAACTAAAGCCAAAGAAGAGACCGTTTAGGTTGTAGAACATTGACACGTATTCAGTAAAACATCGATGGTTCTGGAACCAACACTCATCTTGATCAGATCTTGGCAATAATCATTATTGAAATCATCGATTCCAAGCCAGATTTCATAAATATCCGCATTACTCGAATCAATCATTTGAAATTGATAATACCCATTTCCATTTCCAAAAAATCCATGCACTCTATAAGGGTAAACTCCGCCAATAATTATATCTAAGTGCTTATCATTGTTCAGATCACCGACAATAACTGAATGTAATTCAACCGGTTCATTGAACATGATTTGGTCGTCGACAGTAAAAGTACCATTGTCATAACGGTACAGTAAATAACCTGTGTTCTTCCATTGATGAACAAGAATGATATTTGACTGATTTCTATGATCAAAATCGCCAATGAGCATAACAAATGAGCTTATATCGAATGCTGTGTAGATGCGTTTCTGTGCTTGAAAACCACCTTCAGTGTCTGACAGATATAGATGAATATGAAGTGATCTGGAATTCATTACAGCTATATCTATGTGATTATCATGATTATAATCAGCAATAGCTAATTGTCTTAGATTACTATTAAAGCTCGTAAAAAGCATTAGTTGTGATGAAAATGTTCCATTTCCATCTCCCCAACGTACATAAACATAATCATCCAACTGAAACAAATAAACGATATCTACGTTGTGATCTTCATTGACGTCAACTACAGAAATATCTACTAGAAAGCCAGTCAATGTTAATGATTGTATGTTTGTAGTTTGAAATGTACCGTTGCCATAACCAAATAGAATAAGAATATAACGTACCGAATGTAAAAAGTCTGAAGGCAAGAAAACATCGTACGCAACGATTAAATCGAGTCGGCCATCATTGTTTGTATCGGCCGTACGAATAAAACGTATGGCTGTGTGATTTCCTAATGGAAACTTGCTTACTTCATGAAATGTCCCATTGCCTGTCCCAAGTAGCACGTCTACTGTTTTTGTCGAATCGCAATACATTATTAAATCGGTTCGACCATCATCATTGAGATCGACAATGATACTAGGAATTAAACTGCTTACTAAACATCGTGTACCTGTAGATATCTGTTTGAATTGGAACGAACATACTGGTTCTAATGAAATACGAATAAATTGATCAAAATTTTAAACAACTCCTCGTTGAGCTGACCTGGTGCACTTGAAGATGGTGTTATTGTCGTACTCATTGTTACACTGAAACTGCCAGTCGATGGTAAGCTCGTCGTCGCTGAATCTAAACAAGTTTTGTGTTATTAATCTCAGTTTTTTCTTACAGATGTTCATACTTTGCCCTGCATAATAGATTGAGAAAAAAATGATGATGCATGCTATCGAACAGCTTAAAACTACAACGCCGCTGATTATTTTCGCATACGATCGAACCGACAGACTTGTCGTAGTTCTAGACGAAGAAATAGAAGAAATTCAAAAATGTTCCGATATCGATCACTTGCTCACTCAGGCCTTATCGTTATTGTGTTAGTCATCACGTGAGACGACGGTCGAACAGAGCTTGCTTGCTTTTTCCGATTTTGATAGATTTTTGAAGCAATTCGAACGAGTTTTGGACAAATCCATTTGAGTGCAATAGTTAGACCACCTTGAAGGCCAAGTATAATCGTGATAGTGTACAGAACATTGAATCTTTCAATGCGAGCATAAGAACAAATGGAAGGTGAACAGTGTTCATAATAAGATGGATAATCTACTTGTGTTGACCATTTTTCGAGAAATAAATCATGTGCAAGTTGATCGATAGTTGTATTCTGTAGAAATCGGCTGTTGTTTATCGAGAGAGGAACTGACGAATTCGGACAATTGGTGTACCGACGAATGAGATCCAAACATGACTGGTCGTAGAAACATTCGAGAGTTGAAGCGAGAAGTGACTCACTTGGTGTGCATCCCATTTTCATACCTTTGATGGGATATTTTCTCATAGAATTTGCCTCAATAAAATTGGCTTGGGTTGTACAATTTGAAAATAGTCCGCATGAACAATTATTATCATACGTGACAGTCGTTGTAGGTGTGTATTCGAATGAATTTTCTTCCGGCTCGGGTATATACAGAAAATTTGTGCCATAGGTTGAGATGAACGCATTTCCATGATTGATACTACGAATAACGAACAGAAGCCGAGAGAATAAGACCGGAGCGTTCAATTTCGTTTTCACGATAGAACGATTCAGACGATCATAGAAATTGTTGAGCGATAAAAGCTCACTGGTGACTAACAATGATGTTAAAAACTCATTCACAGAATTATTCACTGACTGTTGTGAAAATTGGCACAGTCCTCGAAGATATTGCAAATGTGCAGAGAGAAATCGACGGTAATCTCTCTGTTCGTATGCAGTTAAATTGTGATCCAGACCATTTGTCAACTCTACTCGCCATTCATCGAAAATGAATTTACTCGAACAAATCGAGTGAAATACAGGTTCAATGTTAACGAATCGATCGAATGATGATGCAATATTCGAGCATGTGCACTCCAATTCATCACCATGAATTTCTATTAAATGTTTGTAGAAAGTAAACAATGGTCTATCATACGTTTTTGTTATAGTTTTNGCAGTTAAATTATGATCCAGACCATTTGTCAACTCAACTCGCCATTCATCGAAAATGAATTTACTCGAACAAATCGAGTGAAATACAGGTTCAATATTGACGAATCGATCGAATGATGATGCAATATTCGAGCATGTGCACTCCAATTCATCACCATGAATTTCTATTAAATGTTTGTAGAAAGTAAACAATGGTCTATCATACGTTTTTGTTATAGTTTTAGGTTGAATAGTGGTATAAGAAATAAGCAAAATCAGACTGCTGAGAAATAGAATGAAGAAAAGGCGCGTTGCCCATTGACCATGACGTTTGACAGTCGCTCGATCATCATGACTTCCAAAGTCATGCACCGTGAATATATTCAAGTTAAGTATTGTATTACGCAAGAGTGTTACGAATTTGTTCACAAGTGTTTTCAACCAATCGAAACAACTTCGATGAGCTAAACAAGGAAGTAGATAGTTTCAAAATTCAACTTCGAAAAACAAATTCATTACCTTGTTTTCGTTTTTTAGGTTTCTTCCCTAATGTAATCCAAAAGTCAAGAATGAAGTTAGCTAAATATGGTGCTATTAGACGAAGTGAAATGACGATACCACCGATCATCGATACTAGCATTATAACAACTTCAATGAAATTTCCTTTGTGAATTCGTTCAGAAAACGAACAATATGCCGGTGCACATGATTCGTAGAAGAGCTCGTACGATGCAGATATATTCCATTGTTCAAGCATCATTTCGTCAAAGATAACGGACATCGATGTATTAGGAGGATAACGGCTTATGGTTGAATCGTAAATTAACGGCTTAATTTGAAGTGATGATGATTCAAGATACAGAAAGACTTCCGATACTTTATATATAACACTCAGGAAGAGCGGAAAGCAGTCCGGGTTTGATTCTGGATATAGACATTGAAGTGTCGATAGTCGTAGCGAATCCATTCCGGAACAGCCTTTACTCCAACCAGGTACAGTATACATCAAATTATAATCAGATGATCGGTTATACAGAACAGCTGAACTGTGACAAGATGGATCTACAGCACAAACACATGTGGCCATGGTCGAATTGATTGGTTGAATTTCACTTAGAACAAATTGCATCTATACAAACAAAATCATCTAACTATGTATTCACAGGTAATACGACCTACCTTTGCTGTTTGACGATTACTTGTTTCATCTGTTATTATATTGACAGTTAGACCATTGTAGTAGAATATAAATGAAGCTTGAATTGATCCTCGGTAAAACTGATCGACTTGAATGATGAGTTGTTGAAAATTTTTCAGAGAATTGAAATTGTAGAGTGTCGATTGATAAAATTGTTTGGCTATCGAAGATAATTCCCGGTGAAAATCGCGCTGATTCATTGCAAAGGAAGCGATATATACTTGGGATAAAAATCGATTCGTAGCATCATCGATTGTCTTGTTTGCTAACTGACAAAAGTCGGACAAGACTCGAAATTCTGTGCCGACAGTGTTACTCCAATCGTTCTCGGTGATGCTAAAGCCACTACTTCGCAAGATTTTGATCCAATCATTTTGAATAAAACCGCTCGAACATATTTGATGAAAACGTAGAGAAGTAGTAAGAAATATTTGATAAGGTATGGCTTTCTTTGAACATGGACATCGAAGTGTCGCCGAATATATGCTTTCCAATGAATTGTAAGTCGATAGTGAAGGCTTCGACACGATTTTCGTCATCGTTTCACTAGTTAATGATGTGAAGAGGCAAAGGATGCATATCGTACCTAAGATTCATACCGAAAACACATGAGTAAATAGATAAATATCGACTTTCTCGGAAATGAGAGTAACTTTACCGATTAATAAAATTAAATAGAACCGAGTAATAATTCTTTGTCGTTTGATAGCTTCTTCCGTTC